GTTGTATCTTAGCTTCACTGTACTACAAATACGATATGCTTAGTTTTCCTAAATTGCTTCATTATAACATTCAGTTTGTTTTGCTGCAATCTTTTCACGTGTTTTGCAGGATTGTAGCCAAGGGTGAATACCATTATCATGAGTGAAGGTCTCTGAGAACCCATGTCTGAAAGCTGGTCATGTTGGCCCAACGCTGACTTTCATTGTCTGTATCCGCCACCTTCATACTGGAATGAACTGGAACATGTTCACTCTCTGTTTCTCATGTGGAAGGACGGAACAGATTGTTTGTCTGTCTCTGTGGATCACCGAAGGCTGAACAGTACAGTTGGAAGAATATTGGATCTCACGAAGTGCCTGAATCTGAAGCGGCTGACATGCGTCTGCACAGCGCTGTCTTTCTGAGATTTGCTTCAAGGCAGGTTATTGTGTACAATTTTGTCCACAGTATTCCAATATTTGCCAAACGTATTTCTCTGATAGTATTGCGACTACACACGCGCAATGATCTCTCCGTCATCAGTCTTTCGCAATGATGTGGCTCACTGATGACAGCATGCATAGCCATAGATCAAATGAGCAGCTAAGGTAGTTGAAGCAGAAGAATGGATCAATGCATCCTGAACCTTGTGTACTGCCTATATGCACTCTCAGAAGTATTTGTAACGTGTTAACTATGAAGTATCAACATTGCTTCTCTTCTATGTGGGTGGTGTGAGTGATGTCAGATGATCTGTACTGCCATGGCCGATGGTGTTCACTGGAAGATGTTGGGTTGGGCCATTGAGCCCTCTTGCAATATGCTGTTGCAGCCTGAAGGCACTGAAAACGTTCGAATGCTGATCTGCTTTCAAGCGTAGAATGTCCCATTGTGTGCATTACACATTTGCATTATTATGTTTTGTACTGGAGTGTGAATGTGCGGCAAGGGCGTGCACATGTAAGTATATCGCACTGGAAACAGCCTAAGAGTTCACGTGGTATGTGATAAGTACACTTTTGGAAAGTGCGTGCACAGTCGAATCATGTAATGTTAAAACAGCCTTCGTGCTCCTCCCTGAATGGCTACGCAAGTTGAAATCTCTGGCTTCCTTTGCTTCTTTTTGCTTGAGCTGGCATGGTGGTCGTAGAGTTGGAATTTGTCAAGTATGATAACAATCGTTGTTTGGTCTAGAGACAAGAATGCATTTGGATATTTGTCCCAGGACTGCATGGCTTCCCAAACTGCACGTTGAATGCCATAGATGATTATTGTTCGGTTCAAGAAAGGACCCGTGGGTCTGTCTGGCTATTGTGAGCTCTCGCTAGTCCATTTCCATAGCACTTGCTCTGGATTCCCTCGCTGGAATACCGTAAAAGGCCCTGCATACGCCCACCCTCCGTGTACACGCCCAGTCAGGGGAAGACAACACTTTTGTTTCAAAATAGCGCCCATACCCAGGTATGCCGGAAACACCAGTACATGTACAGGTACTGATACCCAATACTTACGGCTATCCCTATTCCAAGTATACGCCCGGTTCCAAAATAACGCCCGTGCCCTTGTATACACCCAGGAAATCGAGGCTGCTATTCTACACGCCCGGGGGCCTATACACGGGCTTTTACGGTATTCTCCGGTATAGACCAAGAAGTTTAGAAAACCTACTGGTGATATTAGTATGTTATACTAGTTTCTCCGCACTGTACCGCAGCTTTTGTTATCACACACATGTGGGTTATAATAGTTTATCTACAATCCAGCATGATGTTCTTCCAAGAACGCCCCCGACCTAGGCCCTCGGAACGACGTTCTTGGGTGTGCAACATCACTTATAGTTCTAAATCTTAGAATTTAGCGCAGGATTTTAGTGATCACGGTTTCAAATGCATGTCATAATGACATTGCACTCCACCTTTGGGATAAAAGCTTGTCATAAGAGAAGAGCTGGCATCTTGTACGCATGATTTCTAAAATGTAACGTCCCTGCCGAAGAGCGTTCTTCCATACTACAGTAGAGTCGAGCGTCCAAGAACGTTGTGTCCAAGAGGTTAGCCCGGGGTGTTCTTATTTTTCAGCTGTCCGGCTGTGCTCTTATAGCATGTTCTTAGAAACAAACATGTTAGCATCATATGTATCCCGAAAGCTGCCGGATAACCAACACCCCCATTCTTTTAAACTTTAGGCGGTGGCGTTCTTACCGTACTTCCGCACATATAAGCGCATGTCTTTATGTCCGAATATAAGCGCACCCCTCAATTATAAGCGCATGTGCTTATATGTGAACACTATTGGTGAAAAGGCGGGAGCGAAATATACCACTAAGTGGTGTGATGACACCATTGTTTAGGACACAGACAAACCTGTATTGCGCATATAAGCGCATGGGCTTCTACCCGAACATGTTTACCCAGCCAAAGATCTTTTTTGCAGCAAATTTTCGCTTATAAGCGCATGCGCTTATATGTGGGGAAGTACGGTAGCATTTCAGGCTGGCCATTCTTGGTCAACACGTTCTTCGGTGCCCGTGTAGCACTGCACATGAAATACAGCTACTACAACTCTAGTAATATAGTCTTATTATAGATTGCCGATTATCCGAATGATTGATTGACTTGATTGTCCAAACTGCTCAGGCTGCATGGCAGCAGGCTGTCATCAACATGCATCCCATGATAATTTCGAGGAGCTGGAGTGTGTGCCAAAAAGAATGAGAAATGAAAGTATGCATGAGGAAATGAGTATGTTTTAGATGAGTGTTTTCCCACGCCCTTATCCGAACATACATGCACTCGATCGCCATAACCCCTGGAGATGACTCCATGCAAAGAGGAGTGCAGACCATCAGAGCCCACAAGTACTCCCAGGTCCCGAAGCTTTCGTCTCAACAAAGAATCATAATCGACGACTTGTAATGAACTACATTTTGGTGGTATTATACCGTACTTGTTTACATTCAATTTAGGAATGAGTTTAAAGCATGAGAACTATCCACAGCAGACATTCTCACTGTTCGGAGTTGCCAAAAAAGTGGTGCATGTACAAATCAGGGATGGGTACAATACCAACATCTGAGGTGAGTCTATCAGGAAAGTGAATGCCGTCCACTCTATAAAATGGGGTCCCTCAAGAAAGATGTGATTTTGCAGCCATGGACGTTTCCAGCCAGGTGACTGTATATACAGTGATCTAAGTTATGCACAGCTTGACATGAATGATTGGCTGGACACGTCGAAGAGAAGGAAGAGAGAAGCAGACCAACCTTACACCACCCTGAGCTGAGTGTAGTGGCCCAAAACAACAAACTAATTCTGTGTGGCCTTAGAGGAGCTGGGCAAGAGGTGTACAGTGAATTAAACAATACAGTAAACGTGGGAGAAGTGACAAGACTGAGTATGATACACTGTGCCAGCACAGTGCACATACTAGTGCAACTGTTGGCGTAGTTACAGTTAGCCCACACAAGCAGGTCACTCGATTGTAGATACACAGAGCGCATTCTACATCATACAAAACATGTTGAGCTAGGCAGCAGTGGCTGGCATTTACGACATGCACCAATGCCAATGCGCGGCTTGAGCAAATATTACAAGCCTCGGAACACCCATACTCCATTTTAGAGACAGAACAAGGCGATGAGTAAGCACCAAAGGATTATACGAATAGCGACCAGGCAATAATTCAGGCCACTGCTGCTAATCAAGGACTAGCTACAAGTACTAGTATGTTGTCAGTGTACCCTGAAACGATGCAATCACAGCGAATGTGATACATGCACATCATGTTGCCTGGTTCTTGGTTAAAAGTTGTATCCTCAATGCTTGAAGTTTGTGGGGTCCCTCCAGCTTCTCAGAGTCCTGCACAAAAAAGATAAAAGCAAGTGCAGGTAGAATAATAGTAAGCTCACATAAAACCTCTTAGTCTTGCTAACGAATTTCGTGATTAAATCCACACCATGGGAACGGGGCTACAGGAAAAAAAAGTTCAACCATAATAATGCAAAAAGGCAACTTTAGCTGATCATATTTTTGGCAGCAACACTATACTGTTTGTATAGGAGAGTTGGCTTGGTGCATTCATGCCAAATGCACTCCCTGTAGTATTGTATTACTGTACTTCATCATTTTACTTGGGCATTCATTCCCAGTAGCCCCAATGTCTTCTAACAGAGTGCGCAAGGTACTGCATATTCGGCACATATTTTATTTTCGGCTATTGTCGGCCTGTGCATTTTAATTCGGAAAGTGGTGGGCATCACGCAACTGAATTGCAAATAAAAGGGGGTTTGTCAACTGACAACCGCATACTTTTTCGACATCACTAATAAAAGAATTTTTCGTCCAGCGCATGCGCCAAGAGTGAATAGCAACTGAATAGAGCGATTGTCATTTGACAACCCCCTTTTATTTACTAGAGGAAACGCAAAAGGTAACAAGATTACGTAACCAAAGGTGAGAAGGCACTGAACGAACTGTCAACCTACGAATACAACCTCAGTGCAACAATGTGCTCTTTCTGCTTACACAAGCAGAAAGAGAAAGAGCACGTTGTTGCCCTGAGGTTGTATTCGTAGGTTGACACTTCGTTCAGTGCCTTCTCCCCTTTTATTTACTGGGCATTTGTAGCCTAAAATTTGTTTTGCAAGGTTCAATGTGACAGTGTATGCAGGCATCAGCAGTACAGGCTGAAATTTCAATGTGGCCGAGATGTGCTTTTGCCCTGGGGAGGCTGCAATTTAAAAGCACCGAAAATTTGCATACTTTACAACACAGTACTGAGCATGCGGTGAGCTGATGACGAAATGAATTGGAGGTACTAATAATGCTAAGGGATTCGGGGGCGCATCAAAGGGGTCAGCACCAAGGAATGGGAAAGATTTGTGCCCAGTTCGGGCATGTATATTGGGTATAGAACGGAAATTATTGGCTTAGCCTCAGGCGACTCCTACCAGTATTGCCACCAATGGCCCATGGCTGCTGATCTCTGTGATAGAAATGAGACGTGTATGTGAAACCAAAATATGGCTTTTCAAGATGAACTGTAAGACATGTTATTATAACGAGTCGCAAATTTAACGATTGTCCAAAATTCATAGGTTAACGAGAAGATATGTTAACGATCTTGCAGTATTCTGCCATATCCACACACAGCATATATGAAGCAGTACGGACTCAACGGATCTTATTATAACGAAGAAATGTCATCCGTTAAAACGTTAGATTTGCTTCCTCGTTATATACAATCATGTCTTACAGTATGTGCATTTTGTGAAGATCTGATGTAAGTCATTAGGGACACCTTGTTGGGTCTTGCCAACATTCAATTATTATGATGTTCATATCTATGCAATAACGTTGATGGAATTATCAGCAAGAATCAATAACCCCAAGAGTATGCAGCTTTGTACATGGAGTCTGCCACAACACGTTGACCAAAGTACATGAACCTAGACACGAGCTGGGAAATCAGCTGAGCTGCTGCGTCATTTATGATCTGCTATAGTTTCCAGTCTCCATGGAGGTTTTTCTTGGAGACGTCGAATCTACAGTATTAGGTGTGAAACTTTTGTACTAAACCGCAGGAGATAGAATTAATCTATCCAGCTCGGACATCATTTCACTACGTACGGAAGGAAGTACGCCAATCAAAGCTTGCTACACTCAGGAGATAGAATCTATCCAGCTCGGACAACATTTCACTACGTACGGAAGGAAGTACGCCGATCAAAGCTTGCTACACTCCCGTTTAGTCAACTTAACGGCCCAAATAATGCTTGGGTCATGAACTCATCGCTGTTGGTCTTTCGAGGGTGCCTGACAATGGTTGTTAATGCACAGCACCAGCCGGGCCAAATGACAAGATCAGAGACATAGATCTTCCTACGAAGTAGTTCAATTGCTGAAACGTGACTTCTGCAAACGTTATGTAGCAAAAGGAACTGTACTACGGCACTACACGCCATTCACAATAATCAAAAAAGGCCCACTTGACAAAACAGAATTTCATCAACGGAGCCCCGTGATTTTTTCTTCTGTACATAAGTTATGCATTATGGAGTCATAGCATAAGGGAGACGGCACGGTAGACTTTCAGCCTAAATCATAACAAGGGCCAGCCGGGCAGCTCAAAAGAGAGTGCTATGCACTATTGGCAGAGTGGTATACATGAATAGAGAGTGACCACCTAGTGCGTGAAGCTTTTCGTGTCACCCTAGAAAATTTCACAAATTAATAATGTGGGTTCAACCCCGGGCTGCCAGTGACAGTTGCCCTTACTGCCTTAGGGGCAAGTGCGATACAAACATGTTGGCATATAGCATCGCTTGACTGACCCATGCTTGGGGCCAGTGGGTCAAGTCCGCGATCACGAGTTGCATAAACCACGGATCATGTAGAATCTCCATGGATCCAATCTGTGTACTGTAAAAGCAGAAATTTTCGGTGGTGTAATATTTTCGGAATTCTCCAAAATCGGCGGTTCGGTGGAGGGAAATAATAATTGTCGGTAATACCCGCTTTCCAGGTAAGGGTGCTAGTACTGGTGCATTTTTGCGGTAAAAATTGTCGGCACTGAAGTTACCGAAAATAAAACACCACTGAAAATTTCTGCTTTTACAGTACATCATTTTGGGTATCATGATCTCGTGTTGTTTCCTTGGGTGCTACGACTCCCTGACATGCATTGATCCATGGCACGGTATGATTTGGGCGATTTCAGCCAATCAGTAGACGTTCTGAGAGGGGTATATTCAACGATACACCCCGCTCAGTTCACATGGGTCGCGCCAAGAATGAATATTGGGAGGAGTCTTGGGAAAGTGCCCTGGGAGAAATGGATTGCACCATTGTATACATGTACTGCATTCCCCATAATTTCCTCGTGCTACGTCCTCGGGAAAATATTGAACATATACCCTTCATATACTCATAGAATAATCCAAACGTATCTGCAGTCAACCACGGGTATAACAACCCACGGATAGTGACACTATCTTCAGACCTAGTAACAATATAGCCGTATATTTTCAACCCTGTGAATGACGACAACTCCCAAATAGCAACACTTTTCTCATGCCCGATCAAGGGTCGTTCGTTACTGGCAAAGTTAGCTGGGCATCATGTCATGTAGTCATTATTACTTCAGGCAGGGACAATGAAATACCCCCGCCCCTATTCCTGCAGAGGGAACAGTGCTGTGTCCAGGTCCACATGCAGCATGGAGGTGCTAGTAAGTCACTGGCATATTTTCTCTTGTGGATCGATGAATAGGGCGTGACAATGCTTCCATAGTGGTGGTGGTGGTGGTGGTGGTAGTGGCGGGAGCATACTGCACTGCAGGGCATTACAGCACTGGCATACTATTATTTTCTCTTGCAGCCGTGCAGGACAATGCTTCTATAGTGGTGGTCACGGTGGTGGTGGTGGTGGTCACGGTGGTGGTGGTGGTGGTCACGGTGGTGGTGGTGGTCACGGTGGTGGTGGTGGTCACGGTGGTGGTGGTGGTCACGGCAGTGGTGGTGGTCACGGCGGTGGTGGTGGTCACGGCGGTGGTGGTGGTCACGGCGGTGGTGGTGGTCACGGTGGTGGTGGTGGTCACGGTGGTGGTGGTGGTGGTGGTCACGGTGGTGGTGGTGGTGGTCACGGTGGTGGTGGTGGTCACAGTGGTGGTGGTGGTCACGGCAGTGGTGGTGGTCACGGCGGTGGTGGTGGTCACGGCGGTGGTGGTGGTCACGGTGGTGGTTGTGGTCACGGTGGTGGTGGTGTTCACGGTGGTGGTGGTGGTCACGGTGGTGGTGGTGGTGGTCACGGTGGTAGTGGTGGTCACGGTGGTGGTGGTGGTCACGGTGGTGGTGGTGGTTACGGTGGTAGTGGTGGTCACGGTGGTGGTGGTGGTCACAGTGGTGGTGGTGGTAACGGTGGTGGTGGTGGTCACGGTGGTGGTGGTGGTGGTGGTGGTGGTCACGGTGGTGGTGGTGGTCACGGTGGTGGTGGTGGTTACGGTGGTAGTGGTGGTCACGGTGGTGGTGGTGGTTACGGTGGTAGTGGTGGTCACGGTGGTGGTGGTGGTCACAGTGGTGGTGGTGGTAACGGTGGTGGTGGTGGTCACGGTGGTGGTGGTGGTGGTGGTGGTGGTGGTCACGGTGGTGGTGGTGGTCACAGTGGTGGTGGTGGTGGTGGTGGTGGTCACGGTGGTGGTGGTGGTGGTGGTGGTCATGGTGGTGGTGCTGCTGCTGCTGGTGGTGGTGGCGGTGCTGGTAGTTGCGGTGGTGGGAGCATTCTGCACTGCAGGGCATTAAAGCAAGCTCGATTGTGCATGCATGGTGGCGGTGGGAAAGAGAAGCCAAGGAAAGTGTGTACAATATTTTTGTTGAAAGCACGAGAATTCAAAGAAAGCTGGCTGCTTCCTCTATTTCCATGATCGGCCAGTGCCTGCAGCACGAACAGTACATTGTATTACACGTATGTGCATAGACAGACAAATAAACACTAACCTGAGCATGGGTGCCGCTGGTATTCGTTGTCAGGAAAGTGAAAGTACGAACGAAGGAGAAGAAGATTGTTGACCATGGCGAACAACTGCATATCCAGAAGGCACACGGCTTGCCAGAATGGGTCGGCTACATCTTCGCTAATTTTCTATCTTAACAACATTCAGCTTCGAGGTCAAGGACGACGGCATTTTTGGAAGGAAATTTCGAATTTTGGAGAAGAAGCTTGCTTTCCGAAAAATGTTCCTTTCACGCAAGGCAGCATGCCAGGTCGAGGTCAGGCGTGTGAACCAGGTGAACTGTGTCGGCAGATCGACGTTTACGTTCCAGGCCGACAGTTTTTGACCAAGCCGTGAATCGCCCTCGCTCTGACTCGCCCGGCTACGAAGGAGTAATTTTACAACTCTTCAGGCCAGCTACAGGCCTCCGATGCAGAGCTGCAAGTGACGGATATCGGTCATTTGCAGCCACTACTTTCAGCCTCCTGGTCGTTGCAATCGGATACATAATATACCTCGCCTCGAGGCGGGATCCCGCCTCGCCGGGCCAGCCCGCTTGCCATGTAAACGCACCACAGGTTTTGTGTGGATTTGTGTATAACCCCGAGATCCCGTTGCAGGCGGGCTGGCCCGCCTGTCGACCAGCCCGGGCTGGAGCTGCACATATAATCACCCCCTTATAAGCTTAGTGCGCTGGAGTACTGCCAATTATGTACCAGATCACCTGATCACTGCCCAAAAGGCATGTCTTGGTGCATATTTGGCAGTGCACCAGCGTACGTAGTACGCCTGGGGTCATTCCTGATGGGCATGGCCATATGGGTACGCCGTACCCGGGCATTATCGTCTGATAATGCCCTGGTACGGTGCTGCTCTGATTGGCCAAATGCTAGCAACGATCTGACAACAGGCACGTGACATATATGAACTTTTATCAAGAGAGGGGCCGACGTGGGGGGGTTATGGACTCTTGCTTTTATTAGGGTTTTTCCAATACGAGCAGGTTGGGAATCGGAATGCTAAAGGGTTGGCTATCACCTGACCTCTCATGTTTATTGGCAGTCTTCGGACGGGCCAGGAGATGTTGAATAAATAAATAAAACTAACTTCCCTCGCATGAAGTTACTGTAAAAGCAGAAATTTTCGGTGGTGTTTTATTTTCGGTAACTAACTTCGGTGCCGACAATTTTTACCGATAATAAAACGCACCGAAAATTTCGGTACAACCGATACTGTATACATGTAGACTGTAGTACACTTACCTGGAGAACGGGTTTTACCGAAAATTTCCCTCTACCAAACCGCCGATTTTGGCGAATACCGAGAATATTACACTACCGAAAATTTCTGCTTTTACAGTAGTTCAGTTGTGGTAACACCGGGCGGGATCCGCGCTCATCATGATATCAAGAGTACATACATGTAACCCATGTACTCTTGATGATATCAAGCGCGCGCTTGTCGATCTATATCTGATGATGTCATGTTTTGATTTTTTCTAACTAATTACTTTTCATTCTGTTTTCGTAGATTTCGCTAGTAAAAAGAAGTCAGTAAAAGATGAAAATGGCGCTGGCGCTCATTATGATCATGCAAGCAGCTTTGCAGCATGCAGCAGGTGCGGGTGCATGCTGAACTAACTGAAGTGCTTGTAAGTTTTTCTTGTTTTATTTCTATTTTCTGTTGTGAAGTCTTTGCCTTGAATTGAGTTGATCTTTCACTACGTACTAGTATACGATATTCGGCGCTCTGAACATCTACAATGGCTCAAAGTGCTCCGTTCGAGCGGAAGAAAATATTTGTTGGTGGACTTTCTCACAGCAGTAACAATGACTCTCTTAGAGCGTACTTTGAGCGTTTTGGAGAAGTTACAGATGTTTTCATGTCTAAAAATGTGGAGACAGGAACTGCCCGTGGATTTGCATTCGTCTCGTTCGCAGAGGATGAGACTATAGATAAGCTGATTGCTGCTGCTCCTCATAATGTGGATGGCAAGGTTGTGGACGCCAAGAGGGCCACTATTCGCACACCGCGGGGACCTGGTGGTCCTGGTGGCCCTAGTGGTCCTGGTGGGTTCCAACGTGGCCCACCCGGTCAGGGGCAGGGTCAGGGTCAGTTTGGTGGACACGGAGGCGGGTTCGGTGGTCCTGGTGCTGGCCCTCGACCCCAAGGACCTAAGAAGACCAACGAGAAGCAAGTGTTTGTGGGTGGTGTGCCCAATGGCACCACAAAGGAAGATTTACAGCAATTCTTCAACCAGTATGGCCCAGTGGAAAGTGCAGTCCTCATGGTTGACCGGGAGACTGGACGTAGTAGAGGATTTGGATTTGTTAACTTCACGTTCATGGAAACTGTGGACAAAGTATTAGGAATACAACATTTTGAATTGAATGGCAAACCGGTGGAAGTAAAGAAAGCAGAGCGTCGCACTACTAAACCACCAGCTGGTCAGGGTGCACCTCCATACAATATGGGACACGATGCATCGGGAATGATGGACCCGTCACAACAGCAGCATCACCAGCAGCAGCAATATCACCAACAGCAATGGAATCAACAAGTGCCACAAGCTGGCCATATGCCAGATCAGTATCAGCAGCAGCAGCCACAACAATACCCAGGATATGATGCTTACGGTAATCAGTATCAGCAGCAGCAATATGGTGCTGCTAATGGACAGTATCAGCAGCAGCCACCCCAGCAGCAACAGCAGCAGCCATCTCAGCAACAACAGCAGCAGCAGCAAGGTTACAACCCACAGGCACAGTATGGGCAACAGCAATATAACCCTGTACCCACACAACAAGCTACACCGCAGGGACAGTATGCGGGCCAGCAAGCTCAGGCTCCGGCCGCCCAACAGGCCTATCAAGCAGCAGGTTATGGAACATCAGTGAACCCAGCTACTGTTGGTCAGGCAACGGCCAATCAGATGGTTGGAAACCCGAGTGATCCATACAACCAGGCTACTCAAGCTGCTGGTAATGGTGTGCAAGGTACCGCTGTAGCTCAAGGTCATTACGCTTACCAGGCGGCAGCTGGTTATAACGCAGTACCTGCTCAGGCTGCGGCTGGTGCAGCTGCGTATAATGGTGCCGCTGCTCCTGCCCAAGGCGCGGCAGGCTATGGTCAAATGGCTGCTGCGGGCGCTACTGCGGGTAGCAATACAGGCCAATATGCACAGGCTGCACCTGCTGCCGGTGCTCCTGCTGCACATACTGCTGGTGTGCCAGCACAAGCAGGAGCTGCAGCCGCACCACAGTCCACAGGCGGCTATCCTACTGCAGGCCACGCTGCCCAAGCTTCCAGTGGCGTGGCTGATCCATCGGCAGCATCTGCTGCTTACAATGCTCAGTGGAGCACAGCTGCTAACCCTGCTGCTGCTGCCGGCTATCCCACACCCGCTGCTGCCGCTACTGGATATGCACCGCAGTGATCACCTTTATTCTGGGCCTAGTGGCTTGTGCATAGTGTGTGTGTGTTTGTACAGACATTAGGTGCAGGCGTATTCATTTGAATTTGCACTTGAGACGAAATCATTCAGCATCAACACCCTCCTCTGCTGCCTGCATTGACATATGTACATGGTGTGTGCGTATTCCCTCAGTGCTCTTCTGCTTCCATGTGCTCTCTCCCCTTTCTTTCTCTCTCTCTCTCTCTCTCTCTCTCTCTCTCTCTCTCTCTCTTCCCCCCCCCCCCTTGTTTCGAATCCTGCCTCCATGTACTCGTCCCTCTCTCCAATCCTGCCTCCCATGTTCTTCCCTGTCTCGAACCCTGCCTCCGTGTCATTGTAGCACATCACCCTCCTCTGTGCGTGTACATTACTCCGTCTTGTAAATTTCAATGAAGCCTTTTGACGCTGGTCTTAATATATCGCCAATCTTGTGTACCACTGGCTACTAGTTTTAGATTTAGTATCAGCTTTTTTCTCATTCAGTTTCAGTCCTTACCGAACAAGCTGCTTTCGCCATGCCTCACGTTATTCCTTCATGTCTGCACTAACCAATTCTGTGCGAGGCCTGCACTTTTGTGAAAAGAATTGTACATTGACCCATCCGTCACATGCTGCAGGTTTTGCTCCCGTCTTGGCTGTGCTTTTGTTTTTTGGCGCACTGTATTCTTTGCTTTCTTAGAAGCTTGCTTTGACTCTGTGTGCTTCGTTTAAGATTAAATAAAAAAATAAGTTCTTGCTATGTTGCTAGACTCCAGATTCTCTTAGCCTTGGGAGTAGTGTTCTTAGCCTTGGGAGTAGTGTTGTTGATGCTGGTGTGCAGGGTGCCTGTCTGCTTGAGCTTGTGCTATGTGTGTATCATGGTGTAGCACTAACGTTGACGTGTTCGGTAATGCGCGTTGAAATGCTGTCAGCTGTTCTACACAGCAAGGTGTGTGTGTGTGTGTGAAAAAAAGACCAAAAAGTAGGGATTCACTGGCCAGAAAAAACCACTTCATAGCTGTGTGGTGTAGACCGGGCTGAATGGTGGCGGTCAATTCTTCAGCCTTGCAAGCTGTTGAATGGTGCAATCCCAGCACAATTTCCTATGGCTTCTGCTGTAGCACCGCCTCCGGCAATGGGCGTCAAACTTAATGGTGTGTGTGTGTATACCCGGCTAACATAACACCGGCATGTATCGGAACTGTTACTAGTATTAAGTACATGTACCTAGGCCAGATGGGCTGTATAGCATGTCGCCTTGCTTCAGCTGCTCTGAAAAGGAGAAGCTCCAGAGGGCCAGGGCAGTGGTCAGGGATGTGGTGCGCTGGTGATATACTCAGTCGGTTGTGGACTGTTTCAGCTGCAACAATGCCGGGTATAAAGCTTTGGTGGCATTCTCTTAGCTTCAGGTCATGTTGCATTGAAGTCTGGAATGCTTTTCCATGTGGTTGCTTCTTCACCACACAAGTACTGAGCATTGTGCGACAATATGAAGAAGAAAAAGCATGCCGCATTGCAGGTGCTGGTCCGCTAATCCCGTCACCGGGACAACTGATGCTGGCCTGACGAATTACGGCAATACACATGATACATGTGTGCATACAGTATGCATAATATCAAGAGTACATAAACCCGGTTTATGTAATGTACTCTTGATGATATGCACACATATCTCTTCTATGACCATCCGTTAAAGGCTTGGTTTGGCCTCTGACTGGCTGCAATGCATGAATATAGCCGCGGAGTAAGTAGTTACTGTAACTTACTTACAATCGAGAATACATGACAGTCGTACATTCCTTGCCATGTACTGTATCTGGATACAGGTTCAGGCAGGGCTCAGGTCGAGGCGAGCCTGGGTTACACTGCATGTGCATTACCAGTGCACGACTTGTAGACTGCATACCATGCCATAATGCATGCAGGTCATTTGCCACATGAGTAGTATGCAGCATTGCACGGCAGCTGTGTCAACGTTAGACTACAATGTACATGTACAGTCAGCTTGGCTAATAACGACTGCGGATATAACGACAATTCGCGAATAACTACAGAATTCCATGCCCAGAGCAAAGTCCCATCTAACTGTAATACATTATAATGAGACTTCGGGTATAAGGACACTTTGCGAATAAGGACACTTTTCTGATGCCCTGCCGAGTGTCGTTATACGCAAAGCCGACTGTACCCAGGCACATGTCTACGGACAGAGACATGAAGCGGGAAGCATAACTCATGCCGGATAGGATCGCTACTGGAGCGAGACTTTCTTGTACACATGTTACCAAGAGCTTATTTTACTCTTGATGTCACCTTTTCACGACACGTAATGTTAGTGCTGCAAGCGCATAACTATCAAGCAGAAAACTACCAGCACACATCAAAAACCCTATCAATGAGTTTGGACTAAAATTGGAACAAAATATGAAAAAACTATCCCAGAAAAGAAGGAGACAACCTACAAGTAAAAATAAATTTTGTGCAAAATCCAAATAGAAAAAAATGAATGATGAATATCAATCGGATGAGAGGAGAACGACATACTGGTCAGTATAAAAAAATATTCTACGCCTGAAATAATTCTAAGGTCAAGAACGGATTGTAGCCTCAGGCTCAAATAGCTCATGTATGGGCTTGTCAGTATGTAGGGAGTTATCGACTAAGGCCAATACCGACAGGAAAGATCAGACAATTTGCAGCTGTCTTGCGCACTGCACGAAGAAGCAGTCGCACAGCCAAGATAGCACTGTTTGACAACTGACAGGAAGTGTGCGCAGAATTAAGTGCCTGCGTGTCGACTACAGCATGCACAGTAGCGCAGAGTTGAAAGCCCAGTGTGCGCACACATAGAGGTCAGGGCTATGGTGCAGTATAGCAGCAGCAGGACCACACACATCATCACTGAATGGGGCAAGAAGATCCCAGTTCCTGGGCATACTGGTCTGCCAGCAGTGAGCGAAGTTGGTCCACTTCAGTTCGTAGCTTGCGCACATCACCGAGTTGTGCCTCTAGGTCTTCTACAAAGTTCTCACCAGTAGTGTCAACATCCTGATCGTGATTGGGTTGTTCGGGAACAACAGGGGCTGGGTGAACAAACACACAGAATAAAAGGATCATGAATGCAAAAAAGATCCTTGATGAAAGCAATGGGTAGAATGAAAGGCGCACCAACCGCAAGGCCCCCACCCCCCCACCCCATGGCATTGTTTCCATCGACGTTTAACGTGTTTATTCCTCAACATTTTTCAGAAATAAACACGTTAGGGGTCGTCCGTAATTATCGAAAAATTAAAAAATCCGTCCTCGTGCAAAATTGTCTCTGACCCCCCCCCCCATTTTTCCCATTAATTTTTTGATCTTTACCGATGCCCAGCTCGAAAATAAGAACTCCTGACCCCATGTTCACTGATTGCACCTCCATGTACATGTATTTCAAGTACTAGTACAGCTGTAGCTAAGTAAAGTGAGTAGGAGGTCTACCGACGGCCATGCACGTCCTACAACTACATGAAGAGTCATGTACCGGTATAATTATCATACTGGTGTTTGCGACCCTACACTACGCGTATACGTCTACAGTGCACTACATGTCAGTGCAACAAGTGTATGAAAGTCACTGAAGAAAAAAAAGTACGAAAAATCAAAAAATTAAATTCCGCCAGCGCCCTTGAACACCCACCCCCTTTCTGCCTGAGGACGGATTTTTAATTTTTCGAAAAATACGGACAACCCCTTAGCAACAATGCTATGGTCCTTGGTGCGCCCTTTCGCTCTATTCACTGCTACTTTGTTACTATTGTGGCACTTTGAGTAAGTCACGCGACTACAATGACAATAAAACAGGTGAGTAGTCTGGCCTCTCAGTGACCCTCAACACGCTGATCGACATCTCATGCTCTAAACAAAGAGAAAATTGGATACACAAGCCCAGGCATGGTAGCAAGCACCTCCTTTGTACCAGCGCTAAAATATGCACAAACACACTAACGGTGGGTCCAGTATGGTACTATCGTATGTCCGCACCTTTAAAGCCATGGAGGTATATTCGATTATAAAGCCAGTCTCAGTTATAGCCATGGGCTTCATAAGTGAAATGACATTTGAAGTATGTTTTGTAAAAATGAAGGAATAAGTACTATACTAACAAACTTACAGCCCAGCAGGAAGGGTGAACAAGTAGAGTTAGATTGAAATTTCTGTGTGGACTTTGACTTTTATGGCATGGCGTAGTGGGTGAGTCATTTTGCATCTAAAGTATCGAGGAAAGCAGCGGTGTTTCGAATATAAGGCCATGGCTTTAAAGGCGCTGGCATACGGTATGAATGGAAGTGCACAATTGTACTTGATCCTGGTGGAGACCAGGAGAAAAGCAAAGAGTGCATAGCCGATAAGGTATACCAGCAATAGGAGAGAACAGTTGAGAGAGCAAGCATGCTTACCGGAAAGGCCCAACAAGCGAGACATGTCCGGGTCATGGCCGTCGACAAAACTTTTCCAAACTTGAATCAAGTTACGCAGGTCACCCACGCAGGCTCGGAGCTACAACAATGTGATCGAAATCAAGACAGACAGACAGAGAGAGAGAGAGAGAGAGAGAGAGAGAGAGAGAGAGAGAGAGAGAGAGAGAGAGAGTAGTTAGGCTGAGGGTGAGCTGTGACTTAGGTCATATAACACTGAGCCACTATCATTGGCAAAATCAGAATACTCGCCTGGACAATTATGACCCCTGATCATCCGCAGATCTTCTGAGTTTCCACCAATTTGAATGAAAAGGCGCCGAGTATCCGGGGCTGATGTGCCCAAGCCCTCCCAGCTTACATAAAGTCTGTAAACAAGTATGTGGCCAACGCAGGAGCCTCCCTTCATTTGTTGACACTGTCCACTCCGGTAGAGTTGAGCCTAATGCATGCACTGATAGCCAATGGTACATGCTCAAAGGGAACTTGAAAGCTTCTATACGGGTATGCAAAAGTATATCGGTGATCGTCATGCTGAAGGCTCTTCATCTCTATCCTATCGAGAGTCTGGCCAGTAGGTTAGACAAGAAGGCAGAAATGCCCGTATATCAGGTGAAGCAAAATGAAATCAAGCAAGCAAACAATGTGAGCAGCCCCTCCCCTCCCCTCTCCCCCACCAGCCCATCCTCGTGGATATGGTACACTAGTCGACTGATACAGGAGTGGCATTGTACCATAACCAATACCCCCCCCCCCCCACACACACACCAGCCCACTAACAGCACACCCTACCTCTGCCTGGACACTGCGCACTTTGTGGATCGATTCGGAAGACAGCGAGCGCAAACGGAGTCCTTGCTGGAATGACAAACACGCACACACACACACAACGATAACTGACCAACCTGAATAAAGACAGACAGCTAGCTAGTACCAGAAGAACTGCATGTGCTGGTGATGACCTGAACATGTTCACCCTTTCTGTTTGCCGCAAACGGATGTCAGACGATTACTCTGAAGTACCTCTGAGCACATTTTATTTATTCCACCTTCCCGTGGCCAGGGAATATAGCCTAATAGGGAATACTTGAAGAAGATGTAAAGTACATGTACTAGCACTTCCCGAAAAAGAAAAAAACATCTGCACCATAAAGTACCCCCCTCTCCTTCCAGGTATCCGACAAAGTAGACTGACCTGCTGATGAGCTTGTTCCAGCTGCAAACTATGATCCAGCAGCTCTTGATTCTGTGTGACAAGCTACAGAAGAAGTGACACAAACACACATATTCAGTTTTTCACCATACACATCCTATCACCGCACATGGCTTTGTCTCACATCTCACAGTTGGGCAGTCGCTCAGATAAGAGTCTGGATGCACGAAAATTGTCTAGATACCCCCCCCCCCCCCCCCACCACACATCAATCTCATGCAAGTCCAGCCCAGGATGCACACACAGGCAGTTCATGCAAATCTGGCTCATATTCCACACGCATGCAGAGCTTCGATAGGCAGGGACATGAACAGAGCATAGCATGTACGGTAGAGTCAGCGGGAGATGATCACGACAATGGGACAAGTGGGCTAGCGCACTGTAATCAATACGCAGATCACAACGCAGATAATGAGATGTGACATGAGAACCAGGGAAGGGGAAACACACGGAATACTAAGGACCTATAAAGCATGCAATCAGAACAGCCTCAATACCAAGTCCAGTACCTGTGTGGTGGTCGAGCGAAGGTCATCGATTATGGACTGCCGTTCGGACAGTCTTTCTTGGAGTGCTTTATTGCTCAGCTGACAAGAAATAAGAGGCAAAAGGAATGCAGGTACTGTGGATAGTTTTCCAGGAGACAAGAATGCAATCAGACGAAGAAAAGAACAAGCTTCGAGTTAATCTAAAGCCACGTTCGAAAATTTCCACAAGTAGCTTTGATGCCTTCTCATCAGTTAGAGTACCGCAAAGTACCGTTGACCCGCCCCCGCTCTAACCCCCCCCCCCCCCCTCCCGTCGAATTTCTGCCCATGAAGTGACGTCAGCGTACACAAATGTGCACAATCCAGCATTCCAGGTCTGATCTTCTGCTTTGTTGTACACCGTACCGCACTTGAACAACTTGATCTAATTCCCGCCCCCTGCTGAAAAACCAGCAGGGAAGCGACACGGCGTGGGGGGGGGGGGGGGGGGGGGGTCAACGGTACTTTACGGTATAGGCAAAATGAAACTGAATGAGCACAATGAATTTATACAGCGGAAAGGTGACAGAAATAGCACACGGAAGAGTAGCCAGAAACAATGGTGGTACATGGGTAACATCCTACACATGGAAGGCAGTAGAGAGAAAGGAAGAAGCGATGCTGCAACTCAGATGATCACGTTTTTCACGATCATCAGGCAACCAAGGCAGTGAACTTACAGTGTAAAGTACAGTTGGATACATGCGCAGAGTGTACTGACAGCATTGACGGGTACTAACCTTTTCTTCGTGCAAGGCAGAATCTTGTTCCTCGGCACGTTGTTTCAGCAGCTGACATTCTTTCTGCAGCTCAGCAGTGGCACGCGCGTAGAGCTGCTTGTAGCGATGCCTGACCTTCTGCATATCATCAGTTGTCTGCGACTGGGTCTTTTCCAACATCTGATCATAGGCAACAAATGCACAGAGGGAAAGAAAGGGAGGGAGAGAGAGAGAAAGAGAGATTGTTGTGTATATGGTACAATGCACCCTCTTGCACAGTGTTGCTCTAAATGTGTACTTCAAATACTAGTAAGACTAAGTGCACATGAACTTAATTCGTTTAGGCATGTATCTACAGGTAGAATTGAACACAATGGTGATAAGTGCACTGCAAACAACTCGGTGACATGACTACAAGAGCAGCAAGCAAGACAGAACTACAGTAGTAGTAGATAGTAGATACCGATATCGCAAATGGAGACTAGCAAAGTCGAAGCAGCCCACAGTCATGGCAGTATGTGTACTTACGCCATGCAGTTCACTGCACTGCGCTTGGCTTTGCAGCAAGAGAGCCTGCAGCTCTTCGCGACTACAGTGAGATGTGTTGGTCAACTGCTCTTGAACACTTCCACTGCAGTAGTCAGGAGGTACCCAACAACCCAACACCGACACACACACAACATGGATGTACAATATTACGTGCACCCCCACCCACAATATGTATGTGCAATATTACGTGCACCCGCACACACAGAGTACAGCTGGTCGAGTCTACTCCCAAAAGGTCATGCACACCAAGCCGGGAAAGAAAACGCATGACTAACAGCCAATCGCGTTAGTCACATGCTCGCTGCTTAGCTCAGCTGCATGCCATCATGGCATGTATAGCCAAAGCAGTATCCACATTTTGCCATTCAACACGCCTTGTGTACTGTACGTGCAGGTCCTCTGAATAATGCATGGTATATCACGAGTCGACCATACTGGAAACAATGTGCTTCAGTGCTGATTCAACACGGTATAGCTGTACATTGGCGAAAGCATTGATCATAGCTGCAAGCCAAAAGTCAAAACTGCTCAGCCTGCCAAGCTGTTGAATTACAACGAAAGACGAAAAGTGAAAAGAACATTACTCATAGGTACACACCTGAAAAAGTTGAGACCAGGGAAAAGTTGTCAGTGGCACAAAGTATGAAGCAAGCTTACCTCTGTAGTTGCAATAGCGCCGATACCTGTGCTTTCACACGATCCAATTCAGATCGCTGCAATGACAAGCAAAAAAGGGAAAAGCATACAAAGGTTCAGTACTAGACAGAATGAGAAAGAGATGGACAGAGCAGAGCAGAGCAGAGAGAGAGAGAGAGAGAGAGATACAGACAGGCATGCAGTGACAGAGACAAGTTGACGATGGATTGTGAACATACCTGCGCTTCCATCTCATCCTCTTTCTGCCCCAGTGCTTCCTGCGCTGCATGGCAAGCATCTTCAGCTGCCTGACAACGCTCTCTCCATGTTGTAAGCTGACAAAAGCAGTGATGAAGTGAGTTAAGGAAATCAAGAATGTGATCACTGTATGTCACACACATAGCATTGACACCAGCACCCTGTGCAGGCTGTACCACACTGCCTGGAAACTTGTGGAAAGTGTCCTGTTGACGTCAACTCTCCCAACAATTTCAAACAAGCACACACAAGTACACATACAGCCTATGCAGGAAGAAAAGGATACTGCTTCCTGCGACTTCTTCACTTCCTGAGGAGTCGGGACCTTGGTCAAGTAGCGCTCCAACGACTGAACGCGTTGCCTGCAAGTAACGAGATACAAATTTATCCCAAACCAAAATATACAGAAGGGAAGAGGGCTAAGCTAGCATAGCACGGATGTACATGTACTCTGTGAACGGAAAGTTGGAAACACAAGAGCTGTCGTTGAGAACTCTACAAGTAAGCCCTGGGCTACATGCTCAAGGCAAAACAACCAGCTCTTGTGCTTGTGGTGACTTACTGCAGATATCAATGACCAAAGTCACAACATTTCCTCATATAAATAGTACATGCATTGACCAGCAACACTATCAAATTGCACTTGGGAGAAGGGCGCTGTCACAAGACTGCCACTGCAGTACATACTTTGTGGCTTCCTCTCGCTTCGCCGATTCTTCCACTTCGCACCTCAACTTGTCCAAATCATCATCGTGCTGCAGGTTCTGAATAGAACACATGAGGTAGCAACATAACATTGAAATCATTCTTACAAGATATTAGAAACAAGAAGGCATGGCGCACATACATGTCCAGATGTACACTCCAGCAGGTGTAGCATCCAGGAAGACAGCCGGGCAGGAGGAACTCAAAACAATGGGCAAGGTCGCTGTCCATGCATGCATGCTTGCTGGTCTGGGGTGCATTTAGGATTAGCAGGCTGCACATCTCGATTGTGTGATGCATCGATCACAAGTGAATGCCTGAGCTGAGCAGGGATTCTCAGCAATGGCATGTACCAACACAAGACATAAACATACCATTTTCTTCACATCCTTGCCATGCGCTGCCTGCTCGCCTTCCAGCTCGTCAATTCTCTTCTGCGCTTTACTGAGCGAATACTCAGATTTTCTGCACGTCAAAACCATAACACGCAAAGCACCTAGTCAGGAAGTGAATAAAGCCAAGATGCATGAAGACTGAAGAGAGAACCAATACAGGTCAAAGATCGATAGATCTAGTGAAGACCAAAAGGCACAGTTGCACTGTGCCAGTAGTCAAGAGTGAAGACCAAAAGGCAGGGAAAAGCATGAAAAACAAAAGGCAGGGAAAAGCATGCAGAACAGAACATGATTTGCACTGAAAGGATGCAACATAAATTACACGTAAAACGAACAGCACAAGTAGTAGAGGAAAGGTAGTCAGGGGTACCCGTCGTATATCGATATGCTGAGAGAGAGAGAGAGAGAGAGAGAGAGATAGAGATAGAGATAGAGAGAGAGAGAGAGAGAGAGATAGAGAGAAAGAGAGAGAGAGAGCAGTGAGTGAGAGATAGATAGATAGAGAGACTGCACTCACCCAAGAGTGGCCTGCATAGTGGCAAGCTGTCTCTCAGTCTGCTTGCGAACCTGCTCAGCCTGCGCATGCGCTAACGCCAAATCGTTCTGCGTCTCCTGCATTCAAAGGTGTACACGGAGAACACCTGATATCAAGTTCCCATGACTTGTCACATGTTACACCATGTGTTCAAGACCAAACATGTACACTAGAGCTTCAGGAAGAATGGGATCAAAGTAGACTGACTACACACTGCACCGCTGCATACACATGCCCCATGCACGCACGTGTGCACGCACACACAAAAACACAGAAAACCAAAAACAATCTTGAACAAGGAGCGGTTGACGATTAGCTCGCTTTTTCGTAGCTTGGAGAGTATGTAAGGCTGGCCGTGCGCTCACAGCCATTTTTCCCACTGGTTAGAGGGAGCAAGCGAGAAGACACATCCCTAGAAACAATGCAGTGACGGTGCCAGACCGCCGGTGGCAGCAACATGTGAAGGAGACAAAGAGGACACAATGCAAGCAGGGGTGTTTGCTACGAGGAGAACTCACTGCAAGCTTCACGTCCAGAGCGGCATGGTCTCCTTCGGCTTGTCTACGGACAACCTGCTGCATTCTCAGCTCACTCTCGTGGCACTGGCGTTTCAGCAGATCAGCTTCGCGCTGCAGCCTACGGCAAGGGTGGCAACACCAGCGAGAGCAACACACACACACACACACACACACACACACACACACATGCACACACACACATGCACACAAACACACACATATCCCTCTTACTCGGACCTCCAAGCTACGGGCACCTTGGTCTACCTGGCACCCTGTAGGTGAGATTTAGTGGATATATTACTACTCTTTCGCCAAGTAACCTTTCATAATAGCTTTGTTGAAAAGTGACGTCATATCTCAAATCTCTGGTCCTTTCCCATCAAAATTAGACGTGATTCAGAGCTAGGGGCATTTCCAAGTTATGGGCAGTGCTCGGTCCCAGACTGCCTGGACAGAGAGATACAGTGCAACTTGGATAAGACATGCCCACATTTGCAGCAGGAAAGTCTACTAAGTATCCGAGGTACTTTTTAATCCTACAATACTGTACTTAAGTATGGATGAATACACCCGTGCTACGGACAGTGGCCGTACTAAGCAAGAGTATGTCCTATTAGAGTACTAGTACGTAGCAAGTGAGTTCCACGGTATGAGCGTACAACGCAAGAGAGTCGGGGTCTAGGCGACATGAAAGCGCGATATGTTACACATGGTACATGGCGCAGCATGTGTGTGTGTGTGTGTGTGTGTGTGTGTGTGTGTGTGTGTGACTGAATTGCTATTGCGGATGATTCCACACTGTTTGCGACATCTCGATCCGGGCTCGAGCGAGCTGCAGTGACATTCGATGAAGTGGCCTCCGAGTTTGGACTGACAGTTAGTCTCTCCAAGACCAAGTTCATGGTGATCGGCAGAGACATTTCTGATGCGGACCTCGCCCCTGTTTGTGTTGGTTCGAACCAGATCGAGTGCGTAACGGAGTTTCGCTACCTTGGGTCGATCATCGATACGTCTGGCCGGTGTTCGATTGACATCTCCTCCAGAATTGCGGCTGCCTCCCGTGCGTTTGGCTCCCTGCGGAAGCCAGTTTTCAGCAACCACCATCTGTCCGTCCGCACCAAGAAGAATATGTTCAATGCGTGCGTTGTCACCATTCTGCTGTACGGAGCTGAGTGCTGGGTACCCCTCCAAGCCGACATCTGGAGGCTCTCCACGTTCTACATGCAGTGTCTGCGTAACGTTCTTGGCATAACAAGGTTAGACGCCTGGCAAGAGCGGATCAGCAATGATCAGTTGCTGGAAATGTGGGGCGACAAGCGCCCACTTGCTGTCCGGATTCGCCAGCGACGACTTGAGTGGCTGGGTCATGTTGCTCGCATGCCACCAGAGCGCATCCCGAAGATTCTGTTGTTCGGTCTGCTCTCATCCCGCCGTCCACCTGGCGGTCCACGCAAACGCTGGAAGGACTGCATTAGTGCAGACCTGAAGGCCCTGAATGCTGTGGAGGGATGGTACGATCCGGCAGATTCTCGCCCCGACTGGCGCCGCATGCACCGCTGTTTCGAGCCCGAGCCGCCCACACCCAATGTCCATTGCCAAGTATGTGATCGGTACTTCTCTCGCCCATCAGATGAGAAGCGTCACAAATGCTTGGCAGAACGGCAGAAGCCAGTGTGTAATCAGGCTGGCGCTTGCCAGTGTCGTCTCTGCCAACGTTGGTTCCGCAGCCCCGGTGGATTGGCTACCCATCGGTGCGATCACGGACCTGCTCCCAACATCGAGCACCCCGGCAACCCGGTCACTCCGCAGTGCAGCACCTGTCACCAGAGTTTCAAGTCCAGCAGCGGCTTGGCCAGGCACAAGTGCGACCGCACGAAACGAAGGATAGTGTCGGAAAGGGCTGACTTCCCGTTTGAGTGCCCTTGCCAAAGGAAGTTCCGACTACGTCACCATCTAGTGCGCCATCAGAAGTGCTGCTCCTCAGCCTCTTCCACCCCTCTCCCCTGACGGGGACCGTGTAACCTATCAAGGCAACGTGTATCAAGGTCAAGGTGTGTGTGTGCGCGCACACGTGTCAATCTGGCTTAGATACAAATTAAGTGACAAGCTCACTCACACTTTACCTCTGGATCGTTAAGTCTTTCTGGTGCAACAGGTTGTCCTTACTACGAACTAGTGGCTCCCAGTGGTCAAAGTCTTGACCAAACTTGTCCCCGTCAATGGCAGGCTGTGGCAGAGCACTACCAGCGGTGGCGTGGCTGCCGGGCAGGAAGTGCTTGAGGTGGCGATGCACGGCCGGCGTACTCCAGTCCTGCATTGCCACCGCTGTCCTGTCGGTGTGTGGCGGGAGTGGTGCGCGTACGGACGGCCGCATCGGCGCTGGGTCCGAAGTGCCACCGCCAGACGTGTCGGAACTGTCCGAAGTCGCAAACGCGCCCTCCGTGCTGAGGCCCTTTACAAAGGAAAATCATACGGAATAATGAAAAATGCTCAATGTACATGTACGAAGATATACAGACGCCCTGGTAAACACCCCAAAGGACGTGCTTGAATAGACGAAGCGGAGCGCTTTAGCCACATCAAACTGCAAGAGTAGTTGGGCTAGTGTAACAACTACAGACGTGTACACACACAACTTGCATTCTGGGTGTGCAGGTGCAGGTCAGCTAAAGAATGTGTTGCTAGACAACGGCAGAGGGCTTGGTGGAGTAAGCTACTTGTGCGTTAGAGTACCACGTTACACTTTATGCTGCAGGGTACCACATTGCCCCTCGCTGGAATCAGATCCATGCCTCGGACACCATATGCTGGCCTCCTGACGGCCAAATTCATCTACTAGTTACTCGTGCTCTGTTGTGACTGGATAGGGTTGTGCTGATAACAGAATGTGGCTGAAGTGGACTGACTCTCAATCACCTAAACCAGCGAGTGGAGCCAACCGTAGTAGTAGGGTGCATGGTCACTATTTGCAGCATCACTCTCTCATTAACCCGACTGCTCCACAGATGATATGTCGTACACGTACCTCAAATTTAGCCTGCACTTGTGACAAACGCCTACCCAGGTCACCAGTACCAGCAACACTGCTAGCCGAAGATGGCATTGCTGCACCCACCGGTGCTGGTCTGTCACTCGAAAGAGGAAGATGTGAATGAGCATACCCCAACGGATCAGGGGAATTCCCAACTACCGGCACACTATGCCTCTTGGGCTCGGTCCTGTGCTGGCGTGGCTCTTCCCAGCGATTGCTCCACGTTCTGCCAAACTCTGCCATAGTCCTGCCGGGCACAGGCACTTTGCTGCTTTTGCTAGTACCCTCTATCACACCAGATCTCTGATCTACAACAGTTACTGTAAAGAACGACACTCACAGCTGACACAAACAAAACTGATCGCAAAACGACTAGAAAGTTTTCAAAGTTCAAACCTATTGAAGGCTTTTCAGAGCCCATCAAAGATACTGTGTGGATTATTGAAAACGAAACGACCAGAATATCTGCTGGAGAAATGCATTATTTTGGAATAGTACAGTATTCCAAAAAAACATTTGCGGACGTGGACGTCGCGACGTCGACGCTCGTTGACCATGCATGCGACAAGCTTGTGACGTGTACATGTACATCGTAGACTCCAAACGATTTCCCGCCACTCGATCAAATCTCCTTGGCTATCATGACAACGGAAATGGCGCTGCCTGCCGGGATCATCGTTTCCATGGAGTCGCACCAAGTCTTGTCCGGTCCAGCTCTCGAAATTATTTTGTTGCACCATTTTTCAAGACGACGTTCGAAGATAACTTCGAGTTTCAGCACTGAGTATGTTTTGAGTGAGTCAAGTACTAACTTTGCCACCTTGCCAGGTACTAGGTGGAGCTCTTGTTTTACTTTGGACCGGCAGAGTGTGATAGCCATGGGTAGTGGGACATCCAGTCCTGAGGCGCCGCAGCCGCAAGCTTCTCCTGCACCTGTATCGCCACCCTCCGGTTGCCCAATGCATGAATCCAACGCCAAGGCACCCGATAAACATGATAAAGGGCCGGTGTTGACTCGTGCTCCGCCAGGGTCAGGTTGCCCTATGCACGAATCCTATGATCCCTCTAAAGTCAACCCTGATAATAACGTAAGTCAGAATGACAAACTGCAGTGGTTTGCTGGCCCAGACGTCTGTGATTATGTTTGTTCAAAACATGTACAGATGTACGAGTCGACCATGCGCATATATTGCCATTGCACTCAGATATCCTCCACAAATAATTATGTAACTTGTTATTCGTCATGACTTTTAAAATGGCATAAGAAAGCAGACAGTTTCGGCGTTGGTCCTTTCCCGACAGAGACACCCACACGCACGCACACACACACACACACACACACACACACACACACACACACACACACACACACACACACACACAAACACACACACACGCAAACACACACATACACCAGATACAGGTACTAGGTGCTGTTGTTATTATTGTACTTGCAACGTAGGCGGGCTTGCATCACTTGGTGGTTGATGGGGACAGAAAATCCTTTTTTTACCTAGAACCTGAAAGACTTGATTCACATCGCAGAAGAGTACAGGGACTACAGACATCTGACAGCAAGAGTGCATAAGGGGCCATCCGTAAATATGGATATTTATTTAGAAACAAAAACTAGTCGTTTAGGGGGGGGGGGGGGGGGGGTTGAGCGCCTGTTCGTTTCTCGAAAAATATCGATGTACATTTTGCATGTATGAGCATGTCCAGAAAAAAAGACCAAAATATCGATACAGTACTATGTACCATTTGTGTATGTGTGGTATGTGTTCGTTTCTCAGACACTATCGTTATACACTTTGACTACAACCTGTTGTAATAAATCTTGTGCATCGCTTGAATGGTGCACCGAGTGGCGAAAATCAGCAACAACCTCGAAAACCTGATTTAGTGATTTTGTTTTAATCCAGCCCGACCAGGCGATCCAGATATTCGATCGTCCGGATAATTGGTGTTCTACTGTGCCTTCTTGTCTTGTGCTGTCTGCTCAGGAAATGCCTCCAAACCAGATGCCATCCCCTGGTCAGCCGTTCGCACTACCAACCGATCGCGAAGTTTCGTCCATACCCAAGGGCGGCGTAGGAGATGATAAGTGGGTCTATCCGTCGCAGCAAATGTTCTGGAATGCAATGCTGCGTAAAGGCTGGCGATGGGAGCCGGAGGACATCAAGCAGCAGGACATGTCCGCGATCATCAGCATACACAACAGGAACAATGAAGAAGCCTGGGAGGAAGTGCTCAAATGGGAACGTCTGCATGTACAGTAAGTCACTTTAACCCTTTTCCGACCGACAAAGTGGACAAATTCTCAGTTCCAGCGAGACACCGCGACCCATTTTGATGATAACTTTAGTTTCCCTTGGGTAATATTGGCATCTTGGGCTTTTTGGAAAGCTTGAGTGATAAGGAGTTCTCTAGAAACAGTTTCTAGCCTTCATTTGTAAGAGGGACAAAAATCCACCCCCAATTCCAATTTTTGAAGAGCAGTACGGCTCATCAACATGAGGACTATTTGTAGTTTTTAAAAACAATATTTAGTCCACATATCGAGGAGCCGTACTAAAAAGTTGTATTTTCATGCTAGCAAATTTTGAATGTACCATCAGAGAAGTCTCCAGGCAAGGTTTTAGGTTGGCAGCGTAATCCTTGCCAAAGTTGAAACTTGTTCTGTGTGTACAATGTAGTGTGAAAACAGACCTCCTTCAGAGACTTCTAATCAAGAGTACATAACCCCCCAGAGCGTGCAACGCCTGATCCAGCCCTGCATAGGGTCTTGGTCGAGCGTAATCGGATCTTCTGATGTCATGCGTACACTCCACACCAGCGCAAGGCCGGTCTCGAGGCAGGGCTTCGTTGTTTTTGATCCGAGAGTCACCGCGACTCCCCGGGTTCCCCTCAGATGTGTACGATATTGTGACGCAAAGATCCGATTACGCTTGACCAAGACCCTATGCAGAGCTGGATCAGGCGTTGCACACTCTGGGGGGTTATGTACTCTTGCCTATAAGGGCGCGTTTGGTTGGTACGAACTAGAACAGGACTCACCAGAACAGCGCGTTTGGTTGGGACTGCACCTGTTCTGGGTCGGCCAGAACATGTTCTGCTTGCTCCGGCTTCAAGGCCGGAGCAGACCGAGCAGTTTCACTTTTTTTACAGTGAAACGTGGTGGGAACATCGATTTTGGTCCCAAATGATCACGTGCATACGCTTTTGGGTTGGACTCGTCGTACCGTACACAGTGACAATGGTGACCCATACACATTTTGAAGAATGCACCAAGTTTGGCATATTTTTCACAAAAATGTGCTCTGTTTCTGGAGTACCGTTTGGTTGGCATGAGGCTGCTCCATGTGCACCAGCTGTTCGATCCTGTTCTAGATCGTACCAACCAAACGCACCCCAAGTTATAGCTTCTTTTTGGAACATGCTAAGACGTTCTGGTTTTTTTTGGCGGATGAATGGTGGGTCTTTCCTGCTTCTCTTGAGACCAAATTGGTGCAAATTCAATCAAAAATGAGTGAGTTACAGCTTGTTAAAGTCATCGACGGATAGTCGTCGATTTTACAGTCAGTTAGTGATTCATGTTTGTTCGGTGGAGGGGGGGTGGGGGTGCTTCTGCCTTTGAGCAGTTGCCCTGAAATTCTCTTCTATTATATCTACTTCCCCACATATATGCGCATGGGCTTATAAGTGAAAATTTGCTGCAAAAAAGATTTTTTGCTGTGTGAACATGTTCGGGTAGAAGCCCATGCGCTTATATCAAGAGTGCATAAACAAGAGTATGCAACTGTGGTTATGGGCCAGTGCGCGTCATTATGTAACTTGCCTCCAGTGCTGCCAAACCGTCCGATTTTTCGGACAGTGTCCGATTTTTGAAGGCTCTTCCGAAAACCGGTCCGAAAAGGGAAACGTCCGAAAAGCAGCCAAAATGTCGGAGATCATTACTTCCTATACAGAAGTCCTGTACTTTCACTTTTCAGCGCAACTGAAGGCACAAACCACTGTACATTTGCTTCTAAAAAGGCTAGCGCTTGGCTGTGGAAGTGCAAAGTAACATGCCTGGATCAGGCTGGATGGCATGTACACTGACAGTCTGTACAGAGTCAGTGTGCGACCACACTCATTCATGACGACTCTGGGGTTACCATGGCAACGAAGCGAATTTTCATGGTGTTTTAGTCGATATTTTGAATTCTCTGTAAAAAATTGCCGAGGAGAAAAATTCGCACCATGTGGCCACCCTCGCGGTGAAGGGTGTCCGATTTTAGGCGAAAATTATTTGGCAGCAATGCTTGCCTCCATCACGCTCTGAAAGCATGCACTCAAACCCACAATTTCTCGCACGAGCTCATCCGTTTTTGCTCTATTCATTCCAGTACCTACGCGCTCTCTAAATTTTGGCCCGTGAACTCCAGTTCCGAACGAAAATTCATTTCAAACCAGAGGGAAAGCGCGGTGTTTGATTTTCCGCAGTGCGCGGACTGCAGCTGAATGATGTAATGAAGGCAGCGCGCCGCGCATCTGGCCCATAGAAAAGAGATCACAGTTGCATACTCTTGTTTATGGACTCTTGCTTATATGTGCAATAAAGGTTTGTCTGTGTCCTAAACAAAGGTGTTATCACAATGCTTAGGGGCCGTCCGTAAATATCGATGTTTTTTTAGAGACGATATTGGTGCTTCTCTCCCTTGACCCCCCCCCCCAGAAGACGCACATGTACATGCATGCATGTACATCTAGATCATGGAATCAATATTTTTGGATGCTCATTTTTTTCCTTTTTTTTGGCAATAATATGAACCCAAGATGGCAAGTTTGCAGTATTTATATGGTCTAATTGAGAAGGAGAGCGTTATGACTTTTTTGGTCGCCCTCCTTGTTCAGACAGTGAAGACTGGAAACTCTTGTGGAGTTCGTCCGTGTTTGTTCGCACTGCCTCTACGTCTTGAAAAAGGTCTCCTGCAGGCATCGTTCGGCCGATTTCCACAATCAATAGCTCATTCTTTTGCTCTTGAAATTCGCCATGGGCGTACAGCTTCCAATTTTTGATTTTGTTCTTGTGTCGCGAGTTTTAGCTCCGCGAACGGAAGCTGGTTTCACATTTCTTGTATAGCCATTTAGACGTCCGCGTGCAGGGATCGGCGAAACTTCAGATATTTACATCAATATTTTTCTGATGCTCGAAAAGACGCACATGGCTCAAACCCCTCCCCCCCCCCCCAGACGCACCAATATCGTCTCTAAAAAAACATCGATATTTACGGACGGCCCCTTAACAGTATATTCAGCTCCAGGGGGTTTCACCAATGGTGTTCACATATAAGCGCATGCGCTTATGTCCGGACATATGCGCATACGCTTCTATGTGCGGAAGTACGGTATGAAGAAAAAGCTTTAGGGTTTTCCTCTGGTGCACCTCTAATGACAACCAAGTCTGAACGACTCTATCCAATAAGCTGCATCGACAAATCTCTAGAACTCTGCCTAGTCAGTGAACAGTCAGCGAACTTGTACCAGCTGAATTCTATAGCGAGCAGGCAGCAGCCGCAAATAGAGAGCGAGCAGAGGTCAGCAGGAGTGAGCAAGGAAAGTAACATGCAGTGGAAGCAACTGAGACAATAGATAACAGGCCTGTGGTAAGAGCAAGTCTAGGCAACATATTGAGATTCTGTCTTCTAGAAACGTACCTATGTATTCTTTTATACCTCACTCCATATACACCCACAGTCTTAGGCATGCCCTCCCTTAGTGGTGTATATATCTCCATATACACTCCTAAGGGAAATTAGCAGTAGTTGGCGAGGAACAAGCCATTAGGAGGCCACACACGGTGAGTATGGAGAGGTATAAATATATTATAACAAAGGGACCTTGTGTATATGTATAGAATAAACACCGATGTCGTAGTGTTTATGGGAATATAAACACCGCTATAAAAACCGAGGCGTAGCCGAGGTTTTTATAGACAGTGTTTATATTCCCATAAACACAAGACAGAGGAGCGAAATATATACACTCGGTCCCTTGTTATAATCTATATTATCACTCTCTTATTATTGACCCCCACAGAAACTTGTGATCTCTAAGGGCGCGTTCAGACTACCGTGAACCCCGTCAAACCGTGAATGCCGATAAACCGTGAAGGACATTCACACTACCGATAACAAACTAACGTCACCGTGAAGTTTTCAGCTCTCACCGCGGCACTGACAAGGGATTTTCCCTTTTTTCCCAGCGCGCATGCAGCCTGAGCACTTTTTTACTGCCGGTAAAAGTTTACTGCCGCAGCAGCCGCGGCAGTAAAACTTTCCCACCGGTAACGTGCCAGTAACGTCACGTGATCAAATCACCTTGGCGACTTTCCCAATCGGTCACTTTTTATCGGTAGTCTGAACGCGCCCTAAGCGGTCAAATATCAGCATATATTGACCGCTTATATTGACCACTTATATCAAGAGTCCATAACCCAAGAGTATGCAACTGTGATTATGGGTGCATGCGTGGCGCGCTGCCTTCATTACGTAACTTGCCTTCATCACGCTCTGAAAGCATGCATTCAAACTCTCAATTTCTCGCACGAGCCCATCCGTTTTTGCTCGATTCGTTCCAGTACCTACACAATCTCTGAATTCTGGCGCGTGAACTCCAGTTCCGTACGAAAGTTCATTTCAAACTAGAGGGAAAGTGCGGTGTTTGATTTTCCGCAATGCGCGGACTGCAGCTGAATGATGTACTGAAGGCAGCGCGCCGCGCGGTTGGCCCATAGAAAAGAGATCACAGTTGCATACTCTTGGGTTATGGACTCTTGCTTATATTGACCACTTAGCCCGAGGACTTAGAACTTTTTCCTCAACTTAGAAAAAAATCAGAACTGAAAGAAGAAAAATCTGAAGATTCAAACCCAAACTGTGAGATTCTCAGTCAAGGAACTTGGGGAACATACTAAAAGTGACAACTGAAAACTTCTGTTTATAGAGAAGTTATGTCCAATGTAAACGGCATATGTACATACTATGTACTACAGTCAAATCTGCTGTAGGCGACCATCTACCGTTAGCGACCGATTTTCCGTGCACCGACGGTTTCACATACAAACTGATCTCTCCAGAGCGACCATCTGCTGTGCGCGACCAGCGACCGCGATTTCATGCACGGTGGCTGCATTAAAATCTGCTGTAAGCGACCGCGACCCAGGTTCAGTAAGGTGCGAAACTGTACTTGCCAGTGCGCTGTCAACTGCAAAGTGTGAAAATGCGCTGTCTTGCAAGTGCGATCGACTGGCGCCTGGCCTGTACCATGTGTACTGCACTGAGGCTGTGCTGTAGCTCTCAAGTCCAGGCAGTGTCGATCTACTGCCGCATAATAATATAATAATCTTTCAGGATTACCCAAAGGCTAACGCCTATCTGGGGGATCTCCTATTTGTGTATGTACTAGTAACATAGTTAAGGATGCGAGAGAAAGCGCGCAAAGTGAGTGTGAAATGTTGGTTTGAAAAAGGAATAATAAGAAACACAAGGAAAGAAAGTAAGACAGAAAAGAAAAGAACAAGCATGTAAATCAAGCCGTGTCGCATACGCGTACTATACGGGTATGGTCGTCGTTGAATATCCAATAAAATGATATTAAAAATCACATTATTCTCGTCGATTTGAGTACATGGAAGCATATACGTGGTATGCCGGATTTACCATACATCTGCCGTAAGCGACCGCTTTTTCTTGCACCAAGGGGCGGTCGCTTACGACAGATTTGACTGTATTACAATAGTATTCCTTTCTTCCTATAAACACAGCTAAAAACAGTTTAGGTATGCTATGTCGTGATAAATCTATTATTGCCCTCATAATCGGTCAATATATGAAATATAGACCTCGTAAAAGACCTCGGGGGACCTCGGTCTTTTACTCGTTCTATATTTCATATATTGACCTCTTTAATCGTGCAATAATAGATACGTAATACATATAAACTCTGGTATAAAATATAGCAATCCAGTACTGCGTACTACGACGGGACTGGGCAGCGACCGGCCTGCCTGGCCACACCAATGGCAGACACCAGGCTGCCTTTTCCTCGCCTTTCGTTTTTTTCTCCTCCCTGGCATCTCCAGCAAAGGCATCTCCAACAACAACAACAATATCTTTTCGATCATCTTGAAAGGACTTCGCTACATGGTGACTGTGCCGTTCGGCTATCGTGAGCCACTCCTGCCTGTGCCTCAAGAGTTTCTTACCCATTTTGGCTGCTCTCCTACCCTCCGACGACAACAAAACGACAAGGACCCCGGAAAACAACAACTTCCGAAGCCCATGCCAGCACGCTCCACATGGTCACGCATATACTTCAAGCAAAGCACAGGAATAACCGTAGACACAAAGGAAATAGGGGAACGCATGGTGAAATCCGTCGAGCTGTGAGAAAGCGGCATCGAATAATCATTCGTTAATGAACCAATGGGCGGTGTGGACATAGACAGGACCGCGACGAGGGAATACATGACGAGGACGACGATTGGGTGGGTGCCAGCACGCTCCACATAGTCACGCATATACTTCAAGCAAAGCACAGGAATAACCGTAGACACAAAGGAAATAGGGGAACGCATGGTGAAATCCGTCGAGCTGTGAGAAAGCGGCATCGAATAATCATTCGTTAATGAACCAATGGGCGGTGTGGACATAGACAGGACCGCGACGAGGGAATACATGACGAGGACGACGATTGGGTGGCGGGCCAGTCCAGTTGCGGTAAGGCGCGTGGCGTGGCATTGTTGGCAATGAAAGGCGGTGGAGTGGCAGAACGTCGGCGTCGAAGTAGCGGTGTCGAGTTGGGCGTATCGTTCGTGGTCGTTGTTGTTGTCGGTGGTTGTGCTGCAGGTGTCGTCGCGGTGGCTCAAAGCCTCGTAGGGTTAAGCGCCGGCGGATTGCCGTAACAAGTTCCTCTGCCGAGGGAACCCGTGGTGCAAAGTTGAGCTGCCGACAAGCGGCATCCAGGCGCGACGGCCTGAGGAGTCTGGTCGAATCCGACTTCGTTTCTTCAAAGAGGTTCAGCAGGTGCGTATTGAGGCCGCACTGCTTTGCGTAGCTAGCGACGCTCCAAGTGGACAAGTCATCGGCAGGCTTCCTGTCCAGCCTGGGGGTGGGAGACCTAGATCTCGATGAGGATGATGAAGACGACAAGTCTCTCCTTTGCTTCAGGGACCTGCCCTGCAGCTGGCTAAGACTGCGCTCCAGCATGCGCACTTTGACTCAAGTTCCAAAGAGACAGGCCCCCTGACCCCTCATACAGTTGGAAAATGTAGCACCACATGGAGCAGCAATGACTACACGGGGGGCGCCACAACATATACATTCATATTGCCGTAATAACCCAATCAGGTCATCAACCGATATAGTTGATCCAAGTATCCATTCAGCCCCTCACGCTCACCTTGGTCAATCGAGAAGGTTTTGGAGAGATTGTGATCTGAGTTCGAATATCAGGCTGAGGGTAACTTTACATCCAAAACAGCAGGAGTTATAGACGGTACAAAATGGTTGAAAATGACACAGGTGAAGCAGAGGCCACCAATAGCAGACAAGAGGAAATGCGTAAGGATTATGGACTCGGATGGAAATGACCTTTTTCTTTTCTGTAAGGATTATGATTTGATTAACCCGCGTATACAAAGAGACAGTCAGCAGACAAACAACATTCCGTGCATTGATACGAGTGATAAGCGTCTGCAAGAATAACAGTTGTCGTACAAACAACATCGGTATGTACAGCGGGAGTCTTGCTGTCGTAGCGGACATTGCAGCTCCCCCGCACGCTCATGTGAGGAACACGTTCCCCCAACATGACGTTCTTAAGTTAGTAGTAGTTCGTCGTATCATCGGGAAATAATCAGCTGCCGAGCCCGATGTGACACAAAAACCAATGTGCTGGATCCTGCCAGGCTCAGTGAATGCGTTGAAGGGCTTGTTGCAGACTTGTGCAGTTTGTCCAGACTTCCTGACAAACTTAAATCTCCGCCCCAACTTCTGCAGAAGGACCTCTTCCACTGCAGATTAGGTGGACTGAAGATATGCTGTGGTGGTGGACTACTGTGTGCATTGTCTCTGTGTGTGTTTCTACCCGTTTTTAAAGATCTGTGTTTCTTGTTTGTCTTATTACTTTGTGTGCGGACCAGTGAGTGTGAGCAGCCCAAGTTGCTGAGGTTTGGCGGCAAAGCCAAGCAGTACTCGCCCCGTGCTCGTCTTCGCAGTTGGATGGGGTGAGTACTAATTAATTGTACTAAATAGTACACTATGTTATCATGCATTGGATACTAGTACATGTTTGCTTGCAGTGGCGAGTGCAGTGTGTGCCATGGCTGTCTGACTAGATAGTACAATGGCAATGTGAACATTGTGCTAGGCCGTGTGTGTCATACTGAGCAACACTGTACGTGTGTACTGGTAGTTGCAGGTTTTAAAGTAGCCATACCCATGCGAAAGTGTGTGTTCTATTATGGCTGGTCTGTTTGTCGTGTGGCTATGCTGCAGATTTGAGTTGCCGTTCGACCGCCACGACTGGGTCGTTGACCGATGCGGTCGGGAAGTGCGCTACGTCATCGATTACTATGATGGTGGCGGCGTTGACGATGAAAACGCAACGTTTGTGCGCCTGGACGTGCGGCCTGCCTTCGACTCCTTCACCGCAGTCTACGACCGGGCACGTGTGGCCACGTGGAGATGGCGTGCAGACTGGCAGAGCCGTGGCCAAGAAAAGGGTACCTCTGAAGGTGACAGCTAAGAGGAGTTGATAGTGCTCAAGCTCAGACCTGTGAATATCTATTATTCAATACATGTTCGTCTATTTCCATTGACAAGGAACACTTTGGCTGCAGCAAGGCTAAGAAATGCCTCCCGAGCAGGGCAGGAACAGTCCACCATAGGAACACGGGCATCGATGCTATTGGAGCATGCAGTGAACGCCATTGACTCTTATCTACCTGGTATTTAAATGCTATGAAGTCGCTCTGTCGGAACGCAACCGACAGAAGAAAGGATGGTTCTGATGAAGCATTAGCGACTTACCTGGTGGCAGTTGCAAGGAGAACAGGAAGAATGCCGTGACAGCGAGCACAACAAGAGCGTGGACAGAAGCGACAGCTACGGAGTCACTCCTTGCTTTTTTTGAAAAACTCAGAAGTGCTCCAGAAAACAGTTTGTCTTTACGTGTTGCTTGGTTGGGAAATGAATGATGGCTTGAGCCCCCGTCAGAAGTGTGTGTGTTGTTTATTAGTGTACTGTGCATGTGTTGGTAGTGCCAGAGCTTGCAGAAGAGATTTTGAAAGCCAGGAAAACGGACACAGTTACCCGTAGAAAGCACTCTTTGCGCCACGGTGTGAGATGCACTTTCAAGCTCGTCACTTATCATACCGATGACAGTGCACAGGGTCTGTGAATACCGACCTGTACATGTTGCAGACTTGCACAAGGGTGTGTGGTGGGGGGTGGTACAGCGGACCTACTGTACACATCCTTTCAAACTTCAAAGCATAGCAATGGTGTGGTATTCTTTGTTTTATTTCACCAAGCATGGTAATAGGGAGGTTCAGTGACTCGGTGCGAACTCGTGCACAAAATGAATTTCATTTTGTTTTCGAATTGTATAATGTGTACACGAGGTTCAATGTCTCGTGAATAAGGTGCACTTTGGTTGGCAACTGAAACAGCTACAAAATATGGGCACTACGAGTACCGGTGCTGTTGTGGACATTGAAATCCACTGAGAAGTCAAGCGGCCATGGGGCGCTGGCTTGCAGCTGCGAGCCCATTTCTACAAGGTGTATGTACACACTACGGGAGTAAGGGCGGCAGCCCAGGCCAGTCACCCTATCGTCCACAACAGTAGATCATACTTCTTGTTTTGCCATGGTGTATCCTTGTTTGGGGCACTGTCATCAGTCAAACGAGGCACAGAACTAGAACCTCTCTGAAACCCATAACGGAACGAACACGCAGTACCATAATTATAATCATTCATTACATCTGTGGACAGTATGAAAATCATTCTTGCACTCATTTACTAGGATAGTGATTTTCTCACACACACACACCTTCCTTCGTTTAATTTTTATTTTCTCACGCACACACACACACCTTGATAGGTTACACGGTCCCCGTCAGAGGAGAGGGGTGGAAGAGGCTGAGGAGCAGCACTTCTGATGGTGCACTGCAGTCCATTCATCGGAAACTGGCCCGCTGGCTTTTGAAAGTCGGATTTGGGCCGAATTGAGGATCAAAAACCCACTTTAAATCTCAAAAATCTGGGTTTTGGATCTGCTTCTCCATGCATTTTGCCATGGCATACCTGTCCTAATTTTGTAAAACCTGGCTGAATTTCTATTTCCCTGTTCTTGGACTTTCTGGCCTCAAATGTGGCAAGGAGTAATAGGGCTTGAAAGTGATGACGTCAAAACGGCCAGGGAGTAGTAAGTTGACATCAGATTTCTATTTTTGGATCCACTAAGGTGTGACTTTGCTATTGCCTAAGTATGTGGGTGCATAGCAACCAACTCATGTCGCATGCAGGTGTGACTTTTATTTCGCCACCAGTTGTAACCCCGCCCCCAGTAGCCAAATCAGTCTGTTTCACTGGCTACATCACCATGCTGTGGGTAAGACCGCTTGAAATGTGCTTGGATCCATACAAAAACTGGATCCAAGTGGATCCAATTTTTGAATTTTTGAAATTGTTGCTATGTTGTGACGTAGCACTTTCAAGCCCTATTGCACGGGTCACACAATGCAGGGTGTACTGTTGTTTCCACGATATCTACAACTATGTGTGGGAGACACCAAAAAGTTAGGGTGCCAGTTTCCAATGAATGGACTGTAGATTCACACACACACACGCACGCACACACACACACACACACACACAGCAAGGAAGGTTTGTTGCATCCGATGAGGTTTTCTTGCGATGGTCATCATCAATATCAGTTGGATTTATAAATATCACTCAAGAGTAAACAAGAGAAATAATCAACTACCGGAATATTCAGAAAAGTGAGAATAAAAACTTGAAATAAAACGTCCTACCAGAGGGAACAGCATGTTTGAATCTGTTTGCGCATGGATAGTGGTAGTGGAAAGATTACAATGTAGGTCTGCATGTACATCAACGACATTGAGTAACAGTGTGCTTCTGCCACCCTGGAATATTGAAAATACCTAACTAGCTAAAGTATCACTGATTACCATAGCGATGGTGGAATCAGTCAAGAAGACTCCAGATCACACAAGATACCATAGTGATCGCTGGGGAAATACCCTTCCGCAAGTCGCTGTGTGCCGACGAGTCGAAACGTCTTTGGGACTAGTGCCTTCTGCGGACTGTCGCAAGGCTGCCCACTAGCCCAGAACATCTTGTCGTATTGTGTCCGTATCTGTGCACCCACCCAGCCTTTCTGCATCACGTTATCATTGGTTTTCACGTCAAATGTGTAGCGGGCATCTGGTGGCTCACCGCATGCTTCGTAAGCATTGCGAATGCAGGCCGGGGCGCGGCATGCCTGCACTTCTGCCTTGCGCAGGTTGGTGTCGCCACCAAATAGCACCGTGTTGTGCGAGACAGCAAGCAAAACCATTTGCTGGTACACTGCGCTCAGCTGGGACTTGCGCTCCGCCGAGCTATTTGCTAGGCTCTCGAGATGTGATGTGCATACAGCCAAGCGATGCTGTGTCCTCAGCACAACAATGTCAGTGGCCACCAAGAGATTACGATCCATGCGTGACTGTGGGAAATCAACGACTTTGTGATTGGACTTAGCCACATCACATGCATCAAACCTGAGGAGAATGGCTACGAAGTAGTGCGATCGCTCGGCAGATGGTGCAAGAATGCTGTACGACGTGGCCAGTCTTTCGGCTAGAATAATCATCGATTCCGACACCACTTCCTGCAGCAGCACGACCGCCGGCTTTTCCCTCTCGATGACGTCACAGACAGCACGTGTGCGAACGGCAATGTCTAGGCCATTATCTAGTCCGTCAATGTTCCATGACAAGACGCGTAGCACAGGCTGATCATCCTTGCCTTGCAGTTGCTGCTGGGCCTGTGCAGCATTCTTTGCTGCCATTTGCGGTATTAAAATCAGTACCGAAGCCAGCAGTGAAACAGATGATGCTGTGTTCCACTGGTTCCCTTGGCAACCTAATAACACAAAGAATTAAAGCAGATTCCGTACAAGTCCTGTAAATGTATTGTAGTATGCATGCAATGCGATCATACTGAAGATTGAGTGGCTCTACCAACTGATCATCGGCGACGAATACCAAGATCCGCTCCATTGCATCTAGAGATACTGTCAGTAACATACATGCACATGCAATCTTCCTATACTGTTACCAAGAGTACATAAACCAGAGTGTGCAACTGTGCATATCTGATCTGAAACAGCGCAGTTCGTGCACTACGTCACCCTGATGAAGTCAGCCAAGCCGCGACTTGCGTACAGTTCTAATTTTCATGTTTCATAGCCCGGAAATCAGCCAAGTTTGCTTGATTTTAGACGTCCTGTTTCAGGATTTCGGTGTTTTGTGTGACTGTGTACGAGTGCGTACATCCACCGAGAAGTAAAGTCACCAGGCTATCCGTCTCAAAAAACCGAAATCAGGACAAACTCAGTGAACTGCACCACCGCGACTGGTGACGCAACTTTTCACCGTACCTGTGGCTTACCATGCCGTCAGAAATGACGTAGTGCACGAATTACGCTCCCACAGGAACCATCCTGAGTTGCACACTCTGGTTTATGTACTCTTGCTGTTACCAAGAGTACATAACCCCAAGAGTGTGCAGCTCTGATCTCAGAGCCGATAATGGGTGTCCTGCGTGGCGCGCTGCCCTCACTACATAGTGAAATGACGATCCAGCTGCCTGGATTTGAGCTTTCCTACAGTTTAGCCTCGATGATTTCACGTGCAATATGGTAAGTTCAAAGGCAATTCCTGTGCGTGACGCATCACGTACAAAACCATCCAAAGTCTCCGAGGAAAGCGGAATTGGAAGCGGGAAACCGTAGCAGATCAATAATGAGAGATTAATGACGCAATGACCCACAGCTCGTGGCTACGTAATGCAGGCAGCCCCCCCCCCCCCCCCGTCATACCCCATATACGAAGGTGCATACTCTTGGAATTTATATGTACTTTTGCTGTTACCCTGGTTACCATGACTCTTGGTGTAGCAAGAAGGACCCACGGGCGTGTGTGATCCCCGGTAACCTATTCGGTAGGGCACTGTCCCAGAAAGACAGGTTGCTGGGTTCGAATCCCGCCCGTGGATCCTTCTTTTGCAACATTGGCGCCTGGCAATGGCTCGAACCCACGACCCATCATACCCCCCCCCCCCCCCCCGCGAGTAGGTACGGCGTTAGGACACAGCCTGTTGGGGCGCGGGAAGCAGTGTAGCAAGAAGGACCCACGGGTGCCTAGTGATGGTAGCCTAATCGGTAGGACACTGTCCCGGAAAGACAGGGGTGCTGGGTTCGAATCCCGCTCGTGGCATTCTTTTGCAACATTGGCGCCTGGCAATGGGCAACAGCGCAAAATGTGACCAACAGTAACACCGAACAACAGTTTGCATTTTGACAGCCTCCGACATACTAGTACAGTGGTTAAAGCCTAGATCAAAGTGACCGTTTTCGAGCTACTTATTAGAGCTTCAACACTGGTATGTAAAAGACTCGAGGAAGTATACACTACTCGTCGTAGTGCTCAGTGGTGATCCCGGCCATGTACATAATTATGTATCTTCCCCACTAGCTGTAGTACAATTATGCATCACAGGGGCGTAGCACCCGCTACGACTGGTACGACCATGGCCGTACCATTTTTCGAAAAGTGTGGTCCGTCCGGAACGTGCAAAACCGTAATAAAAAAATCAGGATCCATCGATGCATATGCGCATCAGACTTTGACCTTTTTCTAGACTCGTACTCGTAGATCTGCCATGCATCTGTGCATGTCCATGCACGTCTCTTCTGACCGTGAAGTAATTCTATGATTTTAAAAACTGTGCCAGAAGTGTGCCAGAAGTTCCCAGAACGCAGTATTTTGTGTCTTTTTTTACAAAATTTTCCTGGGGGAGGTCCCCCGGACCCCCTCCAAAAAGGCCTTCGGTCGTACCACTTCCGAAACCCCTCCTACGCCCCTGCATCATGTTCACTTTGTGCTATGGCGTATCACATTCCGGTTGACTCCCTGCTACCTCTCCTCTTTCCTCTCATCCAAGCCATTCAGCATTGCCATTAGCAGAGCTGCAGACTCGGCACCCTACTACTAATGCACTTCAACGCGGGCATGCAAATACTAGTAACGATAAAAAGCCACCGCATATATGGGGTGGTGGTGCCGTGGTGCCACATGCGTGTAACTTGGACCCTGCGGAACTAACATTCTCTTCTAGGCACTGGCTATTAAAAACTAATTTAGTGCGTATTAGAGCTAGTAGAACAAAGAGAATGCGTTCATACCCGTGTGTATTGCTTGTGCATAACCTGGTAACATTGCAGCTGGAATATGTAGAAGACTGGCTTCAATAAGTGCATACTCTTCCCAACAGCAGATTACTAGTATGTGGCCCAACAAAGTCAAATACTTTCTATTGCGGACCCTAGGCATTTCGTATGGAGAGCTTTTCAAATTGCTTCCTATACGCTATTCTTTATTAGCTGCAGTGCCGTAATGCTAAGTCTGCAAGCATTGCGTAACTGTGACATAACGTGAGCTATGACTGAGAGCTAGGCTAACAATACGAACAGCATTCTCACAAGTGCAATGTGATCAAATCGCATGTTGCGAAACTATCCAAACTAACCTCCTGGTTTGCCGATACTTGAACACCGTCGTTTCTCAATTGTGGTGTAAAATAATACCCGCAATGATTGTATAATGTATCAGAATTCAGAACACAGCAATTGGTATGACTGTGTCTCCTAACATACAAAATAATTACCGTGGATACTACTGTCTACAGTCGTTACTGGTACTGTAGCTGTGAGCCGTTGTGCTAATCAGTAATCTGACTCTGGAGAGAAAAGATATCGATGCCAAGGCAAAGCTCTTTCAGAAAAAAACTCCATAATGTCACCGGTGCACCTTGCATAATTATGTATTCGAAAGTCGGACACATAATCGTGATAAAGTATCCGACTTTCGAATATTCGAACGCACGTGCAACAACATGAAAATCGAATGATGAATGATTGATGAGTGATGAGACTGATGACGTGATGAGTGATTAGTGATGACTCACTCGTACTCGACGTCATGAAAACTGCTGGACTTGTTTATGATGATGTCATGTAGCATTCCACCGTACATGGTTTCGAAGTTCGAGTTGGAAGCTTCATGACTTTGAAGCTGAGCTACATACCGCCAGGCGACAGACGAACTGCGAGAGAAATGAAAATAGGTTTGTCTTCACAAGGTCCTTCCATTCTTCCTGAATAGGGTTTCAGAGTTTTCTTCGAGCATTGTAATAAACGCCCAGGATTCGGATAACACAGCTTGCAGTTGCACTAAATATTTACGAAGGAATTCCTTTGCCCCCTCTCCCCAGACTAGAGTAAAGCTACTAGAGGTTGTAAGCTGGTGACAGGCCAGTCAGCCATCCGCTCGACGGTAGTTCCCAGCTTCCACTCATCATTGTGTGCCCCGACTCCTGCTCTAAGTTGCCTGCCTGCCTTTCCCCGTAGAACCCGTGCCTCTTCCTTTGTCAGACAGCTGAATGTGGAGTCGCTACGTGGCTTGGCATTGACGACGACTAAAGTTTGCGCTCGAATATGGCTGCAAGCATGGAGCCTAGTGTTCCAGTGCCGTCATTCGAGTCTGTGCTTGTTGCTGTGCGTCGAGATTGCGCCTCTTGGCTGAGGTCGTACGAACGTATTGTGACTGCTTCCTCTTCTCAATCTACCTTGATCGGAGCTGCTGCTTACTCGCTTGTGTTCGCGTAAGTTCACCTGTAACACTTTCCATGTTGTGCATACACTTAGTTTGCCCAGCTGATGATGTAGATGTGTTCATGTCAATATTATCGTGTTTCTCTGTGTGTCTATGTTCCGCAAGTCCTTGCTCCTCTGTTTGTCGGACTCGATACATTTTCTCGCCATAGCTTGCCTGAGTGTTCGAAAACGAACCAAAAAAATAGGATATTTCACGTTTGCTCCCCTGCTGCGAGTACTCTATAACACGTAGATCTACGCGGCATACTCTACACCTGTCTAGAAAGAATACTGCACCTGTAGACTGACTGCTTTATAAGTACTGTAGCCAGTAGGCGTGTTTTGGTTTCAATGTTTTCGTCCCCTTGAAATGAACGTGTTTGCAAAATTGCATGCTGTTTCGCTTTTCTGTAAACGTTGTACCATGATGTACACAGACTTTAAATTAATGTTTCCACTTACCAGGTACATGTACATGTACGTGTAATACTAGGGATATCACCGTATTTTTTTCTTTCGTAGTAAACCAGGAAAACTGTTTGTTTTCGGGAAGAACTACAGTACAGGATATAGCACAGAAAATTTGGATGAAAAATCTTGAAGGATACCAGAGATATGAGGCGTCAAAGTCATACGCCAACCTTCATCATGATGTATGCGGAATGCCATACTGCTGTGGCACCAACAGGGTTTTCCGGAAAGCCTAGCTAACGCTTAGCAACATTACAATAATGTCAGAATGCTAAGAAATCTGGCCTGTAGGTGCAATATAGGTGCAATATAGGTGCAATACAGGTTGGTTAGTCCTAATGTTGACCAAAATATAATATTTCGGCAAGCGATGACCAATGAGAACGAGGGCGGCGCTCGTAGCAACCACCATAGCAACAATGCTAAATCCATTGAACACGAGTTCCATTACTATGAAATTGAAGTGAGCACTGATGGCTATGGTTGTATATAACTGTGCAAAATAATAAATACAGCAGTTTGGTCTTCAGATGCCCAACTTAACTGCGGCAGTCACACAGTTGATCAATCATGTACAAGTACATGTACATTTTACATGTAAAATGCACAATAGTGAAATACGCGTACAATCCAATCACTGACGCGATCCATGTCAGAGCACCACTTCATAGCAAATTCTTTCTGGTTTCAAGGCGAAGGGTCGAATACAAAATCATAGCTCACTTTGTCGAAAGTCTCCGTCAGGTGCAATCTTTCACTTGGGCCAACAAATCATCTGAAACACTCCTAGCGCTTGAACATATTGGGTCAAGAAATTCATTCATTTTGGGCGACCAGGAGGTGAAAGTCTTGAAAGCGCGATGAAGAGCGATCCCCCAGCTCGAGAAGAAAGCACTATTCTACATAATTCGAGGTCGCTGAACACGATGGTGGGTGTTTCCTGGCCGTGTACTCCCTCCAAACGGATGAAAAATCCAATTGAAAACTACACTCCTCACAACAAAAAGCTCAAACTACAGTTGACCAAGCAAGTGCGGCACCAAAACGAGCAGGAAGACCTCAGCTATCAAACACACCAACTTTCAACTTTGAAAAAGAAAGCAGGACAAAGCAGTTCGAAAAAAACTGCAGCGAAGTCCATGGTGCCACCGCTACCATGCTAATGTACGTGACCCGAGTGAAGGCTGTTTTCAGCTGATTTGTCACGTGACTGAACTCCCTAGTAATACTACTCCAGGGTACTATGTATGGTCGACGGTCATGAACACTGTACTAGTAGTAGTACTCCTACTATTACTAGTTCGAAACTAGCATTAGATAAACTAGTACTGTGCTGATGTGCAGCATGGGCCATGGACACAGTAGTGGGTTGTGTGTTATTATGATAGAACAGTACATGCAGCAGTTATGCGTTGCAACCATGGCATGGATCATGCAGTCTTTACCAGTTGTGCTGCTGGCGAACAAAACCGTATCCAGGAAATCTTTAACTCCGTTGAGCCGGATTTAAATTGAAGATAAAAAGGAGTACACAAGAGAGAGATTGGAAGCTTTGTTACAACTCTGAGTTTCACGATCATCAGGTAGTAATACGTGAAACTCAGAGTTGTAACGAAGCTTCCAATCTCTCTCTTGTGTACAAGGCTCTGCCCTACATGGGTATTGAGCACTCTTCGGACAGTGAAGCACACCACTTGACTACAATAAAAAGGAGTAGAAATTTGAAACAATGAAACCAACTACACATTACCTATGAAGCAAGACCTGAAATGTTTATGTACATGTGCATCTAGTCAATGTTTGAATTTTCCATGCTTGCTTTTTCTTCTAGCGTATCATGATTTCCTGCGATTCTTGTAGAATTCACTCGGGATCATGCCTTTGACCAGCCCATGGAAATTCATATGCATTACTGATGGTTAGGAAGGAACACTCTACATTCGGCACTCTGTGTGTACATGTAGACCTGAAGCATGATCTTACATGTACTGGTTGTCAGCAAGCTATTCTGATTCATTTCTGGTGTCGCTATGTTCCTGCAGTCTGGCGATGTCGATATTTCCGCGCACCGTGTTCGTCACTGTTGTGGCACTGCCGGTGTTTGTGTCCGGCTACTTGCTCTACCCGTGCACCTGGTCTAACGGCACGCAAGCGCCAGCTGTGGGCGATGGCAGTGCTCCGTCACAGTCCGAGAGCACGGCCGTAGAGTCACCATCAGCATCAGGTGCCCGCGATGCTGATCAAGCCACGGCTGAGTCCGACCCATGGTATGTACTCGACAGTGAACTGTACTGTAACTGTTACTGCCTCTCAGTAATACATGTACATGTACAGTGAGCGGTCAATAATACTATGTCATGTACATGTACAGTGAATGGTCAGTATTACATGTACCGTAAAGCACCGTTGATCCGCCCCCAATCTAATTCCCGCCCCCTGTCAAATTTCTGCCTGTGAAGCGACTTTGGTGTATCTCTTTGTCTGTCGATTTCCCCCAATTTTTGGGAGAGGGTAGATCACACCTTTCAAAGTAGAAGTTCTTTCTTCAAAAACCTGTTGGAGTCTGCGTTCTGTGTTTATCAGAGATGATGTCTGCCAAGTTTCACCAGCACGAGGGCTTTACTTTTTCTGTAACAGGCCGTCTCGTGCAAAGGTGTCCAGAATTTTCAAAATCCTATTATTATAATTATAGGATTTGGCCTCTTCAAAAATTGGTTTTGTACAAGTACTTCCCAGTTTCCCCTGCCAATAAAAACCTTAGGTTGCAATATCCAAGCCTAGATATGGCCCATGTGGAGCTACCAAAAAAATTCTATGCATATAAGACTATAGAAGAAGCACCACCTAGGCTAGTACCTCAAGAGCATTCCACTATTAATTATGTGTACATACTTGAACACAACTGATCTAGTAAATGCCCCATACATGTAGTGTATTTAGTTTATAGTGATCTGCGAGCACTTTAGGACATGACTTCAATGCTAGGATGGTGCTAATATTCATCTATTCCACTCCTAACGAATGATGTTTATCCTAGTCTATTTATACCACTTGTAATTGCAATTCATCAGCAATAATAGCACACAGAGACCTTTCCTGCGGGTCTTAGCCATTGGGTGACCTCTATTCATTCATTTTAAAGAAAGAGATGCATTGTAGGAAAGATCGAAATGCATCTTCAATAACATTGCTTCCACTTCGATCATTTTTGAGGCTGCAAATGCGTCTTGAAGTCTAATCCTATATATTATATATAGGATTAACTGGTGACAGACAAAGAGATGCAACGAAATACGATGTTGAACCGACGCATGTACTGCTGTGCACAATACGTGCGAGTGCAGGATGAAGATCTGATCTTCTGCTTTGTTATACATCGTACTGCACTTGAACGACTTGATCTAATTCCCGCCCCCTGGTGAAAAACCAGCTGGGACACGCGGCTCTATGCTGAGAATGCACTTGGAAATTATATCTAATCCAGTTCATCAAGAGATAGTAGTGTGTTCTTTTGTGTACATCTACTATACACAGGGTATTCCGCAAGCTGTTACTGACTATGTTACATGTACATCTACTATAGACAGGGTATTCCCCAAGCTGTTACTGACTATGTACATCTACTAAAGACAGGGTATTCCCCAAGCTGTTACTGACTATGTACATCTACTATAGACAGGGTATTCCCCAAGCTGTTACTGACTATGTACATCTACTATAGACAGGGTATTCCCCAAGCTGTTACTGACTATGTACATCTACTATAGACAGGGTATTCCCCAAGCTGTTACTGACTATGTACATCTACTATAGACAGGGTATTCCCCAAGCTGTTACTGACTATGTACATCTACTATAGACCGGGTATTCCCCCAAGCTGCTCCTGGCATGCTTACCAGCTGATCTTAATTGATTACAGGTTAAGTTCAGGGATGCACAGATTGTATATGGTGGGGAAACACTGCATAATGGCACGTATTCATCGAACTCCCGCCAAAATGACTGCGGGGACACTGCGCCGCGTGGGCGAGCACGCTGCATGCTTCTGACGAGCCTGTCGACACGACAGCTACTAAGTACTAGTACCTGTCTGTCACTCGCGGCGTACTCTGTCAAGTCTTTGGCTTTGATCACACAGTCCGGCCGTGTGTACCAGTGACACATTCGTGATCGAGCTTGTTCTTGCATAAAAGCGAAAAGCGAAGATGCTCGATGTTATCTTTGCAAAAGTTTGTTTTCGACTTCCAGTTCCTCTGCTTCGGAAATGCCTTCTCACGCCAACTGTGTTGTTCCTGGTTGTCCTAATCGGAAAGACAGGTGCAAATGGGGATTGTTCCCTAGTGAATAGAAGGTGCATGGGCGCAAGGTGTACGTGAAGCGCTGTCTGTGTGGATCTCCGCTGGAGAAAGTCGGATGTGGAAACGCTTCAGATATTTGTCGCAGTGTGCCGTTCCGGAGGAACGCACAATATCCTTAGTGACGGAAGACCTTATCTGCATCGCTCGTTTATGCCTCCACGACGATGAGGATGACTGTAATATAGTGGCGGTACATGCGGTCACGGTCGCTGGCAGTTACTACGACATGACGCTCATACCAGTCCGATTCTAGATATTCCTGTACCCACTCACAGTCACTGGGAACTGGTGTTGATGGTACCACACTGGATTGCCATTCCTCTAGCCATTCACAGTCACCGGGAACTGGTGTTGATGGACTGGAGTGGCTTGCCATCCATTGCTCTTGCTGCTGCTTCTGACGTGCCAAGCGGGCCTCCTTTGCGGACTGAGCCTCCCTTCACTCACTCTGTTTAGCCTTCTGCTTCTCCAGCCGCTCCTCTCTGGCTTTCGCTGTGTGAAAGTCATCACTGGCCACTAGAAAGAGTCCAGTCTGATGAAGAGAGCTGCTGGAGTCTACAATACACGCAAGGGTGGAGCGAAGAAAACAAAAGCCCAGTTACTGAAGAAGCGTTTCTCTCCACACTGGAAACAATAATCTATTGACAAAAGTGAATATTTCAATAGTGAACTCTACAAGCCACACGACCAGCAACACTAAAAATGCGTTCAAGTACATGAAGTACACACGGCGAAATCTCCTTCTTACCGGAAAACAGTTGGTTGAGTGACGACGACACATTGCCACGCTGCGCTGCTGCTCTAGGGTCGTTGTAAGCGTTCTTCCTCTTACGTTTGGCAGCGCCAGTCCACGTCATGTCGGAATGCTGCATTGGTTCCGACTTCTTCCCATGCAGCTGGTTCCAGGCTTGCAGTTTATCCGTGCAAGTGACCAAGTCCCAAGTGTAGCCAAACCGAGTAAAGTCGATTAAGGCGTAAAATAGGGCAGCAAGGTGCTTGCAAGACCCGTGGGGACCTTTGCCAGCGGGACACGGACACTCGGCATGGGTGACGCGCTCCACGGTATGGCAGTCAGTGCCACTGCCGCCCTTGGTCTGCACAGACAGACGGAGCTGATACGCCTTCAATGTACGCATTTCGGGCTCACAGCGAGCCTTGTAGTGGACACTATTGCTGGATGACGCAACCTCTATTTTCTGCACGTATCCTCTCTTATAAAGTCTCGATGACTTGTTATCTGTGGCAGAAATGGCTTTGAAATTGCTGGCTGACTTGCCATCTCCAGCAACAGTATCCAGGAAGTACTGCAGCATAGTTTGCACAGTGACCTCTGCGCACAGGAGGCGACCCGCTACAAGTTTTTTCCACACCAGAGTTGGGGCTTGCTGGTCATCCACTCCAGCGGATGACACATGCACGACACTGCTCGTAGCTTGGTGAGGCGAAGCTGCAACTGCACTGGATTCAGCCGTCACCGCAGGTTCGGGTCTACACACAAACAAATCATGACAGAGCTGGATTTAGTTCGAGCGTTCAGAAAGACAACTCGAAGTTTATTTGCATTGCACTTTCTGATAGCCGAAGCCAGATATATTTCAAACTAGTTTCTAAACAAGACCAGTGCATTTCTCGGCTGCTAGAAGGAAGCAGTCACTTACCGAGGCGAAGAGTCACAGCCTGGGGTAGATATGGCACTGGTACTCTGATGAGCAATGACCCTGAGCGAAAAGCAATAAAGGCAAAGCGAGAAACATCGCCTTCCTGTTGTTCCCACGCTACACGAACGATCGATTTTTTCTCGCCTCTCCTTCTTTCCTGATCTCTTCAGCTTGTTCCGCACGCAGTAATAGCGGAGAACGTTGCACGTCCAGAGACGGGGATTACTGGATACCGACATTGCCTTGCTTGACACTAGATGTCAAGACTCGACACGAACTGACCAAACCAAACGCCACTTTTGTTCAAAAATGCAGCAACCATCTAGTCGCTGCTGTTTTTTCGCTCTTCGCTGCTGCTGCGTTGACCCAGTGTCCCCGCAGTCACGGTCCAGAGTAGGGAAAACCCCCACCCGCCATTTTGGATGAATATGTGCCATTGTGAACATACCACAGTGAACATACCACAGTGCCTTCCTGCTCATGTACTGTGTACCGTGTGTTCTGCGTGATCTGTAATGTCATGTGTAGCTTGTTGCAGCCGCTGGCAAAGCTCTGCTACTGGCGCTATTATGTCATTAACAGTCTGGAAGGCCTCACTGGGAATGTAAGTATTGTACATGCACTGCTCTACATGTACATTTGTGGCAAAATGCTCTTCAGTCCAACAATCCCTCTGCGTGTTGGTTGTGCCCTGTTCCCACTACTGTACCGTTTGACGCATAGCTGGCCTTTATTTGTTTTACCGCTATGCATGTATGCGTTGGTGTCGAGTGTGCGTCTTAGTTGTAGTTTTGTTTCATACTGTCTTGTCTTGAGACTGGTGAGACTGGATACTGCTTGCTGTTCTAATTGTGAGTTGTGGGCCCACAACTGTATAATTGTTATATATACTGTATAAAGGAAAAGGAAATATAGATACGAGTTGAGAGTAACTCTCCATCACTGTAACCAGATACTAAGGACGTTTAGCAATGCGAAAATTCGAACTTTTGGTCGTGGTGATATTTCGCGAAAATCTGTTTCGAAAAAGAAAACTTGTGAGGTTTAGCAATGCGAAATGACTTTTTCTCGAAGTTATTTGAATCTTATAGTACCGTACCGTATATGCAGCTCAGTCTCAAGCAGGGGGCTGTAAAATTACTACTCCCTGTAGTCAAATGCGTACCGAGAAAAGAGAAAGTTACTTTCGCAAATCACTACAACTTCGCGTCCAAGTTTTCGAAGTTTCGAGCTTTTTTTCTGTACTCATTCCCAGACTCGAATTTTCTTTCGAACTTTCGCATTGCTAAACGTCCTTACTATATTATACAGTCAGAAAGTGCAACAACTAGGCACAAAACTGACAGAGTACTGAGATATTCTATATTTCTATATCCAATGCTGTAGACAGCAAGCTGTTTCGGCCATAAAGGCCTCATCAGTACAGCTACGAGCTAAATAGGCCGAGCTACCAGCCATGGTGCAAAGGAGGCACCACAGACATTACGACATTTCTATATCTATATTTCCTTTTCCTTTCTACATTTATTATTGGCTCAACATCCGAGTTTCAAATATACTGTATAATTGTTGATCTCTAGATACAGTAGCTGCTTGTATTCAGTTCCCAGTTTCGCCTGTGTCTACCATCCCATTTTGCGTAGACTAGACCAGTTAAGGCAGCATCACCAGACTGCAGGGTGATACACACGCACACACATACACGCGCGCACACGCACGCACCAGAGATGATAGGCTCTTTGGCTGTTACAATCTTCCATTTGTCATTGTTCAGTGCGGGCAATTTCTTTGCGTTTTCTTGTGCTTACGTGCAGGCGTATGTGGCTGGCGTTGCCTGCGTCTTTATTCTACCATGTGTGCTTCTTATCATCTTACCGATGCGTCTCCTCGTCTACCTGACAGGTACGTTTGAGCATCATCACCGTACTTCAAACTACATGTAGTTGATTTGTTTTACCACTGACCAGTCAACCCCTTTTGTGTGCTCTCTGTGTCTGGCTGGTATTTCTGCGTGTATCTTTTTTTCAAAGTAAATTTACTATCAAGTAAAATGTCGCGGATTGCTGCAGGTAACTGTTTGGTGAACACTTCAACAGTTCTGTATAATTGTTATATATACTGTATAATTGTTGATCTCTAGATATAGTGGCTGCTTGTATGATGTTGATCTGTCTCCCTGGTGACTCTGTGCTCCTTTGCTGTCTGTTCAATCAGGATTGTATCTACTGATCTATCCATCCTGGAGGCACAACGCTATGTGGCGCTATTTGGAGCCCTACCTCATACAGTTCCTTCAGATGCATGCTGGCAACCAAGCGGCGCGCAAACCAGCAGGTGTGTTTGCACTGTGTGTTTGCACTGTGTGCCTGGCGCTGCACACAGCTTACTGTTTAGGCCATGCGCCAATGGCGTCTCATCGGTTCAACTACTTCGAAGTGCATGTACAAGCTAATATAGAACTGAACTGTTAGCCATGATGACAAGAGCCAGAGAAATTATAAGGCAGCTGAATGTACAAGTGCTGAGAGTACTTCCTCCGCCCAAGCAAAATTTTCGCTTATCTTTACACTTTTTACTGATACATTCCAGGTTCTCAGAACGGCTTATAACGACTCAGAATGAGTTGAGGAGTCGTTGAACATCAAGAGAAACTCTCAAAGTCGAAAAATGTATCCTTTGTCATCAGCCGATGCAGCACTTGTTGTCGGTTAGTACTTCGCACTTTCCAGAAGCGCAAATATTTCGTATCGACACTTTTCCAAGCGCTTCACCCCCTTCATGGGTACGATCGGCCGTGTTTCCGACCAGCCGAAGCTTACGCGCTCAGCGTCGCTTTGCAGGGTCGTTCACGTTGACATCAGGCGAATGAGCTGGGTGAGTGACAACACTGTCATCGAAGCCTTTCTTTTCCCCCCTGTTTTGCCCAGTGCCGATTCTGGTTCATTTTGCAGTATGTGGGCGAGCGTCGCTGTCGCTGAGTAGCTTTCTCAGCTTCAAGCTCAGCTTCACGCTCACGTGCATTTTTACCGTACACACATTTTGTGCCGGATGCAATCAAACACGCTGGCTTTTCGCAACATGACACCTCTGCTCTGTACTCCAGTGGTACTCTAGCAGCACCCACCTTGACGAGTGACTGACTTTGTGTGCCTTTTTTTACCAGTTCACTCGCGTTCAAGGCGCTCTACTCTAGGTTCTTCTTTACTCTTTGCCGACTTCGCCGACTTGTTTGGAACTGGTACGCCTGAACCAGTAGATTTGTGTGATGGTGAAGTGCACAAGATGCAAAAAATGCTGTCAGACACCTGTCATTGGGCTGAAGGAGATAGACGAAAATTTTGCCTGGGCGGAGGAAGTACTCAAACTACAGAAAGTAGCGGGACAGCCAGCACAAAGCATGCCTTATGTGTGTGAGGGCAGTGTGTCTGTGGAGATTCCAAGCACAGCCATGGCTTATGCCAAGTATGGTTGCACTGTGATGCACTGTGCCATACACGTTTGTCACCAGCATCCCGTGACTATGTGATGTTAGTTGAAGCCTTGTAAAAAGAACAGGTTGTCATACCAGGCTGCCAAAATGGCTGTCAAATTATTACCGTATTATTCACACATATCCGCCGGATGAGTACACGTGGTCCATGCACCATGGGGATCCACGGATACAAACCAGCATATGTTCCCTCAGCAATACAAGCAAGCAAGCAAAGATAAATGAGAGCCCAGGCATCGGAAACAAAGCAAAGAGAGAGGAGGACATAAGCAACGAAAACAGTTCCAAAGCGTATTAATACGGCTACGGCTAGTGCAGCCTTGGAGAGCGCAGCAGCACGGAAAATACAAAAATGCCACAGCAGCAGCCAAGAGTGTGCAAACACTAAAAAAGATCAGTCCATGATGAAAAAGGAGAAGGACAAAATGTTATGAGTTCTGACTTACTGTCCACCAACGTAACCAGATCTTATACAGTCAGCGAGTGCGACGAAATAACTCATAACATTTTGTCCTTCTCCTTTCTCACCATAATTTAATTGGCTCATCATCCGAGTTGATCAGTCCATGAATTTAAAAAAAAATTATTGTCGTCACAGGTGGACATTTCCGGCGAGAATGCATGCATGCACGCTGTCAAATACTCCTACATTACTACTCTTTTGCTTTTGCTGTGAGACTGACAGTAGTTGTAGCAAAACCCTTACTCTGTTGTATGGTTTTGGATGTGCATGTGTGCGTGTTTGTGTGTGTGTGTGTGTGTGTGTGTGTGTGTGTGTGTGTGTGTGTGTGTGTGTATGTGTGCATATGTGTGTGTGTGTGTGTGTGTGTGTGTGTGTGTGTGTGTGTGTGTGTGTGTGTGTGTGTGTCACTTGTTTTCTTTAGCTGACGATCAAAAGACGGAGGTGCAGGCCGAGGATCCCATTCCAGCAGAAGCTGCAGACGACGATTTCCAAGAAGCCTTGCGTAACGAACTGGACATGGATAAGATGGATGCAGATGAATCTGCTATTGAAGGCGATGGTGATGATGATGATGATGACACTGGTGATCTAGTTCAGGATTCGTTATTAGGACTTGACATGGAGTCGTATGTTCCCGTACAGCCTAGTATACCTCATAGCCAGCATCACATGCTGGGCAGTTCTGGTGAGTGTTAGCTGTCCGTAGTGTGATGTTGTTCATGCTGACGATAATGCTGATGCAATGCTGATGGTGATGCTGCTGCTGTTTGTTCTAAGCTATTTGTCATAATTTGAGGTCATGGGATGCAACAAGATGGTAGGACTGTTGGACCTGCTTGATTTGGTAGGACTGTTGGACCTGCTTGATTTGAAGCTTCAGCTGGCAAACAGAACTGTACACAGCACTACACAGGACAAATCACCGAGAATATTTTTGGCTTTATGCCAATATCAAGCAGCACTTTTCATAGTTTTCTAAGTGCTTACTACTACTAGTTGTTGCTGCACTGTCATTTACTACTGGTGTTGCTGCTGTTGCTGCCGCTCCTACAGATCCATGGGACTTCAATTCCACTGCAGATTTGGATGATGAGTTTGCTGAGGGCCTATCATTCACATCCCTGCAGCGCACTACGCCTGACTCGGTCGTCACTGATGGTCGTCGTCGTCCCGAGTCCACGCCTGCGCCGGTGTCTAGTCTTGCATCGTCACAAGGCTCGACGGTAGCACCGCTGCAGACCTCTCAGCTTGCATCGACCGCTGAGGCATCCGTAGCAACGTCGGCACTTACGTCCAGCACAGTAATGGTAGAGCATGAACATGTCAATGCGGAAGTGCCTTTACACGGCAGTGATGTACACACTCTCACCGAACATTCTTATGCTATCTCCACTCTCGGCGAACATTCTTACGCGGTCTCCACTAGCAGTGACATACACAGTCTCGGCGAACATTCTTACGCTGTCTCCACTGGCGGTGAGCACGGTCGCTCTGTCCCGGTAGCAAAGCCAGAAGTCGTGGATCACAGAGCACAAGCTCAGGAAGTTGACAGTGCTCAGCTCACCCAGGACATTGCCGATGCCACCTCCACTGAATCTTACCCACACACTGCGTCCACAGAATCTCACCCACACACTGCGTCCACGGAATCTCACCCGCACACTGCGTCCACTGAAGCTTCCCCTCGAGTTCGAACACCGGGTGGTGATGATTTGTCCATTTCACCCGACATCTCAGACCATCTGGGCGATGCCATTCAAGAAGCGGATGCTGCTGCTGGTGCCGCTGCTGCTGGTGCTGCCTCAAAGGATGAGGATTTCGAACTGATTACCATGGAGGATGCACAGAGCATGCCGGAAGAATCATCTGTTTCCACTACCGAACCTCAGCCATCAGCTCTTCAACAAGTGCCCGGCGGTGCGTATGCAGCACAGACGGGTGCTTATCTGAAAACATGGCTATCCGGCAATCAGTAGTTTACCGCAAGACTGGTGCGGCTACGAAAATGAACCAGCTCCGCCGTAATCTCCTTGGCAGCACCAGGAAGTAAGTCACCATACAAAGTCTTGCTGTTACATACAAAGTTACAAACATTTCAAGCATAATCCTTTTCACTTCTCCAGTGCTGACAATGTGTGCGTGTTGCACCCCTGTGTAGATATCTCGCTGTGCATAATGTGTGTGTGTGTGTGTGTGTGTGTGTGTGTGTGTGTGTGTGTGTGTGTGTGTGTGTGTGTGTGTGTGTGTGTGTGTGTGTGTAGTGGTTGTGTAGTGGTTGTGTAGTGGTTGTGTAGTGGTTGTGTAGTGGTTGTGTAGTGGTTGTGTAGTGGTTGTGTAGTGGTTGTGTAGTGTGTGTGTAGTGTTTGTGCTGGTAGATATGTGGATTACTTGTAGATACACTATTCCAAGTATGCGTTATGTGCTATATGAGCTACTGTGCGTGTGGGTATTAGAATTCCAGGCATGGGTATGTATCTAGATGCAAGTGTTCTTCCTTGTGCAAGGTCCCTTCTGCCCTTCCTTTCTTTCTTTCCTTCTTTTCGTGTGTGTGCTCTTGTTCCTACTGTGACCACCCTCATACCGTTGCACTATATTCGGCATCGCCATTCCTGTCCTTTTGTTTGTCTTTGTTTGAATATCTTGTTTCGAATCTAACATTGCTTTTCTTCCTCATTCCCTCTTGTCACCGTACATTGTATATAGTTGTCACATACCTGTTAGCTGCTATGCATCTGTAAGATACACTTCAAGCAGATAACAATCACCCCTATGCGAAAGGCCTGTTCTATGACCGCTCTCAGTACTCCGTATCATGTCTACGTTATTTTCTGTCAACTTAGGGCTGCTGCTGCTGCTGCTACTTTTACTGCTGTTACTGCTGCTGATATTGCTGATATTATATTCCACTCCTATCTCCCGGTGTACCTGTGTGTGTGTGTTTGTGATTTTCCTAAGCAGCCTGCAGTCTATATTTTACCATGATAACCACACAACTCTATATCTTCTCTATCCTGCGGTGTGCACGACTTATTTGCAATTGACTTTAACCCATCTTTTCTTTCCCTTTATTGCTGCTGCTTTCAACTAATGATTTCTGAGAATCTCTGATTTCAATCTTCTCTCCCTGCTATGTGTGTATTGCTGAGATGATTCCGCTCTATCAAGCCCCCTCCTTTTTAACTACTGAATGTGAGCGTTCCGTGTAAAGTGACTCATTGCTTTGTTTGTATCCGTGAACAGTTTTCTTAGGTTACGTTTGTGTCGTGCTGTCTTGCTCTGTACCATCGTCATCAATCGCTGTCCGTCTTTCAGCTTTCAGCGCAAGCGACTCATTTCCTGTTTCTTTAGTCGCAGCTATGGCTTGCGTTATCTCATGGTTTCATATCTGTATCTTGTACAAATGTGTTTCCCGCACGGAGGTGGTGGGCATGGCTCTGGTGTCAACTGAACAATATTGACTGGGTAGTCTACTTTGAGTACAACATTAGCAGTGTACATGTACACTAGAATTGCCGGTGTGTGGCTGTGTGTGTACCGGTGTAACGTTAGTGTTGTTAGCAGTACACACAGCAGGAGTGTGCTGCTCTGGCAGAATGAGACCATGGTGAAGTTTTTGTTGTTTTTGTTGTTTAAGTCAGGGTAACTCTCTGGCCTTTGCTGCCCCTCTCACCTGTTTACATGGCCGTTTTACTGTATCACTAATTTTACATAAAATAATGTAACCCATTAGTGCAAGTGTGAGTTGATCACCCACACCATCGGCCAGGGTTTAATCTCGTTTATATCCTTAACGCTTCCGTTGCCATCTCGAAAGCCTGTACTGGCAAAACGTTTAGGATTAGGCCATGTGATTGATTGTTTATCGTCAGATTTTCCCGAGAAATCGGGGCGGACAGGAGGTTTTTAATTTTATTTTTTATTACCGGTGTGTATGGCTGTAGGGTAGGTGTCATGTTCGCAACCCCAGACATGCCTTTTCTTCGCTTTTCTTTTTTTTAAGCCATTTTGGCGCAGAGAATTAAGATAAATCCACGTGATGCAGATGAATCGTCAGCCATGAACGTCTTGCAAGACAATTTTAGGATTCTAGTAATGAAAAGTGCAACAACCAACGTTGCGTAGAAAAAACGAAGAAAATTAGGCAGCTGATGATCAATTTCACTATTTAAGCCCATAGCAATTAAGTTTTGGTGCAGTCTGTGGACTTGACCTTTGAAAATCTACGGCCATGCTGATTAGCGGCTGTAGACCACAGTACATACAGTACATTTACCAGTACTAAAAAATAAAATATTAGGGCGGGCGCGGACGATAAACAATCCCATCTTTTTACTTGGCCTTACAAACCCCTGACCGAATGTGTGCGATGAACATGCAACTTGCATTAAAATGCCACCACCGACCATCAATTTGCACATGGCTAGTGGTATCTGACATGATATAGCGGGCTGCTACACCAGGTAGCGCATAGTGCATAGAAGAACACGCCAATCATAAATACAGCTGCAGTAGCCAGTGGAAACTTCAGCTTTGATCATAACACCATGCATGGTGCAGGTTGCTAAGTAAAAATTGAACCATGCAAGACTCAGTAGAATAATAATCTGGAATTGCTGGGAAACACACTGCGACAATCACTGCACCAGATTGCCCTTTATGCATGCCATACATGTGAATGTTCGCTGAGAAAAAAGAAAAGAGAATGAAACACAGAGGAAATATTCATATGATGGATAATTCTTATTCTCCTGTTGACCCCTGTCAGCAGTGCATGCTTGCAACATAGGGATACACACCTGCAGCCGGTAGGATTCAATGCTAGCACTGGCGCAGAAAATGGCGTAACATTTTGAAGCAGCTCAGGCCGGTGCATGAAACAACAGTTACGGTACTTGCAAGCCTAGTAGTAAGCAAAGTTCACACGTCTGCCGGCGTTACAACCGCAACTGGCTATGCACGGTACTTGTGCTCACGCACTATTCTGCAACTTAGCTGCATGATGCGTGGCTCATTTCCACAGGCATGCGCACAGCACTAGGTGGTGACAAGCTGGCCAGGCTTATTCACCGTTCCTGTGACATGTCTTCCTATATGCACTGACATGAACTGTACATAGCATCTTCACACGCACACAATACATTCACAACTATGTAAGAGAAAAGGTCAGAAATATAGTAAGTTATTAGAAACACACCAAAAGAAGAGTCCCGGCGCTCGCAAACGAATCCCCGCACAGCAGGATGTGTGTGGGTGTGTGGGTGTGTGTGTGGGTGTGTGTGTGGGTGGGTGGGTGTGTAATGATGGGTCCTGCGACTCACCGACGCTTTCTAGCCGGTCAATAGTGAGTAGCAGCAGCTTGCCTGTTGATCGGTGAGTGTTGCTGCAGGAGCACAATGAAGTCTTTGGCCCTGCTCAATGGAACAGCAGGCTCAATCTCCAGGTGCAAAGTTGCCCGATGATTCCAGGGAGGAATGCGAAGACCAATCTTCAGCACTCGACTGTTCGTATCAATAACTGCCGTAGTTGCTCCTTGACTCCATTCCTTCTTTCCACAGGTACAACAGGAAAATACGAGCTATGCAGAACAAAATTGTAACAAACATACAAATTGCAGCCGCCGATAAGGATAATTTAGCTATGAAGCATGCGAAAGCTGCTGACAAAACCACACAACATGACACTTGTTCAGACTTTGGCAGAGGTTATCTTCCAGAATCGATGTCTCATTCCGATCATCAGTGGATTATACAGAACAAGGATAGCCAGCGATTGAAACTAAGGGTGCGTTCTTATTTTCTCTAGCTTCTCGGAGAAATTTCTCCTGGAAGTCGAAGAAACTGTGATAATTTAGGAACGGGTCTCGAATAATTCGGAGATCTGTTGCAAACGTGAAGCGCCAAAAGAGGCCACAATCTTGAGTGACAAGAATGTAGTGCGCACTGTGCGTATGCGAAAAGGTAATGTCTCTCACTCATGATCAACACTTGGCTTTTGCAGTGGCTCGCATGCGCTGACCCCAAAGCGCGGGAATCTCCAAGTTTCAACCACCTCTGAAGTTTGGAGAGCTTGGAGAGCTTTGGAGAGTCTTTTAAAATTCAGAGAGGATATAAGAACACTTCTTCCACTTTCCCGGGCGTAGAAGGTTCTTTTTTCCCGAGAGTCTCGAACTTTTCAGAGAGGATTTAAGAACGCACCCTAAAGGCCGATTCATACTTCATCTCGTGTACGGGAAATAGTTGAGCTCAGATCAACTTTTTCGCGATGTGACGCGTTTCCCGTACGCAAAATGAAGTATGAATCAGGCTTTAGGTGTATACCGTTTCATTACCTCCAAATGACGAAAAGAAGCCTCTGTGTAATGCTGCACGTCACGATTGACCCCATAACACGTCCAATCTCTGTATTGGGTATGTTCTCTATAGCTTGTCCGTCCCCACTAGCTTATCTGTTCCCAGTAGCTGATCTGTTTCTCATAGTGGGTCTGCTCATTCCCCAGAGTAACATCAGGGTTCTAGCCAAAGGGGGGGGGGGGGGGGTAGGGGGCGCAGCGCCCCCCCTACTCCGTTTGCGCCCCCCCCCCCCCCCCTGTGAAAAAGTGCCCCCTACTCATTTTCCGATTTTTGGGTTTTTCACGCAATTCAACGAAAATACAGTCGATAGTCACTACAAGAGGGTTCATAAAGGCACATTTGTGAGGGGTGAAGTCGGGGTTCACCCTGTATGTTACATGTTGCATGGCAAGACAATTTTGGACAATGGAAAAAATGGGTCATGGGGTGACTGTTTCCCATGCCCGCCCCCCTACTATATTGACCTGGCTAGAACCCTGAACATGATGGGAATTCCAAGCATTCAAGAACTATTGCGAGCAGCAGTAGTATATTCAATATTGTGACTCTATGCCCATTCAATGAAGTCATGTACATGTGTATGTCAGACAAGTTACTGTACTTGAAAAGTAAGCTGTTACGGCATGACTGCTCGTCAGTACGGCATGTAACTCACCATGCAGCAAACACCGCAGCAGCAGCAGCACTTTCTTGCCGACGAGAACCAAGTGGTTGCCGAAGCGCTGGTGACTGCGTGCAGTTCGACCGATGCCACGTTGTTGAGCGGCAAGGGCTTATACTGGATGTGGTCTGACAGAGTTGCTGACATGGTGTAGGTAGCATTCTTGCCACGGCTGTCGACGCCCTTAGACAGCGCTATGGCTACACACACACACACACACACACACACACACACACACACACACACACACACACACACACACACACACACACACACACACAAACATGCAAGATGGTGAAAGACACGTATGGACACAATAGAAAATGCACATCATACAAATCATTTCCGTTTGAAGTACAATTCTTTGTCGCCATCTTCAATACTGGTAAGTCCGTCAATTCATAGTAGTAATAGCAAGAGTACATAACCCCCCAGAGTGTGCAACGCCGATCCAGCTCTGCATAGGGTCTTGGCCGAGCGGAATCGGATCTTCTGATGTCATGCGTACACTCCACACTAGCGCAAGGCCGGTCTCGAGGCAGGGCACCGTTGTTTTTGATTCGAGAGTACCCGCGACTCCCCGGGTTCCCCTCAGATGTGCACGATATTATGACGCAAAGATCCGATTCCGCTCGACCAAGACCCTATGCAGAGCTGGATCAGGCATTACACACTCTGGGGGGTTATGTACTCTTGGTAATAGGTTTCCATTTGACCCGACGAGACCACACGATGCTTGCAGACGACAGCGCGAACAGTTCACCAGCCACACTCCACGAAAGCAAGTAGTGTTACTCGTGACAAGTCTTGTTTCGTTCCATGAAGTTGGCGGGAACTCATCAGAGGAGAAGCAGTTGTTGAATGACGGGTTAAAATGCTATTTTAAAGAGAAGAAACTGGTGCAATTTGTGAACACTCAACTAACTCACATATGTGACAAATCAACACAAAAGGCCCGGAATAGTGCAGAATGGAGGTGTTATGAACCCTACCTGACACAACTATCACAAGTGCTAAGTCAATCACAATGAGAAGGAGAGGTGCACACGAATAGGTTGCGCTATAGTTTACACGTCCCAAAGAGTACTGGGGCGGTGACTCAAAGTTAGGTGGAAAGTAGACGCCAAGTGAAAAAAGAGAGTAAATTATCGTGTCCGTTCACGAAGGGAACTCACGACAGCCGCTATCACCCGGTAAACCACTAGGGTTAGACGCCAAGTGAAAGTCAACAAATCACCATCTTGGATGTCTAACATTACATCTGAAGATTGCTAATTACATAAGACAAATACTTCACGAACCTTGAAAATTGAAAATTCAACCAACGGTAGGTGAAAGGAAGGCTGTTGGTATAAACAAATTATGATTAAATTTTGTTGGCTTTCAGTTGGACTCTTTCACTTGGCGTCTACTTTTTACCTATCTTTGTCACCGCCCCAGTACTCTTTGTGACGTGTAAACTATAGCGCAACCTATTCTTGTGTACCTCTCCTTCTCATTATGATTGACTTAGCCCTGTGTCTGGCAGGGTTCATAACACCTCCATTCTGCACTATTCCGGGCCTTTTGTGTTGATTTGTCACACATGTGAGTTAGTTGAGTGTTCACAACTTGCGCCAGTATCTTCGCATTTTTTTACCTCAACCCCTTCATTCAACAACTGCCTCTCCTCTGATGAGTTCCCACCATCTTTATGGAACGAAACAAGACTTGTCAGGAGTAACACTACTTGCTATCATGGAGTGTGGCTGGTGAACTGTTCGTGCTGTCATCTGCAAGCGTTGTATGGTCTCCGGTCGGGTCAAATGAAAACCTATTACTTCTTTGAAGTCCAGTAGTTACCCTTGGTGAAATCCGACCCAAAGTGCAAAGCTGGCGCCCTGGACCAGTTCCGATTACATCATTGTATTTGTACATGTGTGCGTACATGTACGTCCAGCCGCATTCGTGCCTCTTCCAGGGGACTGGGCGCCAGGGGCCGTGCAAGTTGAGGGCGCCAAATATGTACTCCAGGTCAGGTTTCATGGAGCGCAACTGTACATGGTCCGTCTGGCTAGCACTCCAACTTAGCTACAGGCACTGTATCCGCATCTTCAGCGGCAACTAGGCTTTTGGACATGATGAGCCACAGTCTGAATCATTCACTCCACCATCATCACAATCATTGAAAAATGAGACTTGGGACATTGGATATACATACAGTCATCGTCATGCACATATCCCAAGCTCATCTGCAACACACCAATTTAGCAGTGAACATTACCTTGTTCATTGGCGGATGATAGAAGAAGAAGACGCTGAGTGGTCAGTAGCGCAATACCATGTGACATTTTCTCCAGCTCCACTGGTTTACTAGCTGGATTAGTCGCTAACAGTGTTGGTTCATCGTTGTAGAGTACGGCACGTTGATACGCCAGACGCCAGTCGTTCATCAGCAAGCGCTCGTCAGGAAACGTCAAGCCCTGCAATAGCTCCTCATAACTCATGTTACTCTGTCCACAAGCATGCATAGACAGACACACGGGGACACACACACGCACGCACGCACCCACGCACGCACGCACACACACACCGTTGACCTTTTGACACCTATCACCAGAGGCGATGATAGCGATGCTACAGCAGAAGCCATAGCAACTTGTGCTGGGATTACACCATTCAACAGCTTGCAAGGCTGAAGAATTGACCGCCACTATTCAGCCTGATTTACACCACACAGCTATGAAGTGGCTTTTTCTGGCCAGTGAATCCCTACTTTTCGGTCTTTTTTCATTTTTTGCACACACACACGCACACACGCACGCACACACACACGCGCACAGAAACACACACACCTTTGACCTTTGACCTTTAACCTTTTGACACCCATCGCCAGAGGCGATGATAACTGCTACAGCAGAAGCCACAGCAACTTGTGCTGGGATTGCACCATTCGACAGGTTGCAGGGCTGAAGAATTGACCGCCACTATCCAGCCTGGTCTACACCACACAGCCCAAGGGTGTCGGAACCGCACCGGCCGGGCCCCTTTTTCGGCCGTTTTTTGTTTTGTTTTGAGCACACTGCAACAAAGCGCGATGATGATTATTATTAAATTTTGAATAGGGCAGTCCCACAGGCCAAGGGCCTTTTTACAGGGTACCCTATGAATTGTTGAATAGATGAACGATGATCTCAGCGCAAACGTGGCAAATCCTTGTCCCCGATCGTGGTTTGTTGCAGATCATGTACACTGAAATGGCACCAAATGCCTGGGAATGCTTGCAATTGGCTTCAATTTTTGAATTTTTCCCGGGGAGGGCAATGTTTGTCCCCGATCGTAGCATCTTCTTGGTTTTTTGCAGAATCAAAAAGTCTTTCATTGTAGTTACCGTACACTGAAATAGCACCAAATACCCGGAAATGCTTGCAATTGGCTTCAATTTTTGAAATTTTTCCCCGGGGGAGGAGCCCCGGACCCCCCTTCCATGGCCGCCCCACCTCCAAAGTCGGTGCGATGCGCCTGCAGCCAAATGTATGTAAAGTTTTTTTTCTGGCCAGTGAGTCCCTACCCGGTCTCGCGAGAGCGTCTCACGATGATTTTACAACCAAGGAAGGGAAAATCATAATTATTATGGTAGATTGCAACTACAGTAGTTTACTGGCATGCTGCTGAGTAACACTGAGAAGAAGGACACACTTCGGGCTCGAGATCTTCAACATCATCTTGAAAGTTTTTCAAGATGATGTTGAAGAGCCTGAAGTGTGTTCTTTTTCCCAGTGTTATTGCATTCTTGTCTCCGAGAAAATTGCATGCAGTAAGTACCGGTACGGTTGAACATCGACTATCCAACCATTCGATTATCCGGAATGGGTTTTCGAACCACACATGGCTCAGGTTGCGCATTTTCGAACGGGGGCTTGCTCGCAAAGTTACTGTAGTTGCTGCAGCGTGCACTCTCTGCCTGTACCACTCACTGTACAGGCTGTACAGTCAAACACTTACAAAACTTACAAAAACTAACATGAAAACGACTGTTGTTGCGGGTACTGTGATATACCGAACACAGGTATCGGCCTGTGGTGATATTTTCCTCATCCGGAACATTTTCATTACCCGAACACCTTCCCGGAGCTCGCTGCCCAGAGGTGGTCGGGTAATCGATGTTCAACCGTATAGTATGCCTGTTCTGAGTTACGGGCAATTCTTAGTTACACCGGGGCAGTGCTTGCTCCCAACATGCCCGGGCTTTGCTCCCAACATGCCTGGGCTTCGGGGAGTTTTACAGTACTGTAAATATACAAAATTTCGGCGCTGCAAAATTTCGGCACTTCACGATTTTTGACATTTCGGCGGCGATTTATTTTCGGCGTGGGGTAGAGGGCATGGTATTGCGACAGATGCTGTGAAAAATTTCATCGGCGTTTTAATTTAGGCGTTTTGGTCAGTGCCGAATATAGCCGAAATTAAATAGCTGCCGAAAATTTGTATATTTACAGTATTTTAGTCCAATGATACCCGGTACCCGGTGATACAGTGTACGAGTAGATATCTACATGACTGTAGTACAGTACCTGTCCTGCGTTTGTGGTGCTGTTGATTGCTTGCAGTAGTCGACTGCCACCCTGCCGCATTACCCCGTGCAACTGGCTTCCTGTTTTGTGCGTGTGGGAGATACCATCGTAAAGCTGCTTGGACGAAACGTCGAAGAATGTGGAGTCGAACACTTGACTCGTCATTCGCCTGGTGTTCAGGTCGTGGGCGGAGGCGGCGGAGACGGGTTGTTGTCGAATAACCGCCGGTGCTGCCGGCCGCGGTGGAGGTCTACTCATTGCAGTTGCTGTTGTTGTTGTTGCTGCGCCAGGCAACTGATTGTTGTCGATCTGAGGCTGTGCACCAGTAACTGTAACGATGGACTGCTCACTCAGAGAGGAGATTGCTTCCATAGGCATGTCGTTACCAGCGCCGGATGCCATTGCTTCTTCTGCTTTAGAAGCCATCGCAAACCAGGAAATGAAACGCGGCGAGGTTTGGGACAACGGCGGTCTTCCTCCTCAACTCCAAGAAACTCGTCCACAGATACGGACGGACTAGGGGCGGACTGGCAGTAGCCGTGTGGCTAGGCCACTATGTCCGTAGATCTCCTCCTCTACTCCACGTGGCTGAACTCTTCAGTGCAGGACGCGTTTTCGCGCTCGAGGATACTGCTCCAGGCAAGCCCCTCTTTTTCAACGCGACATCGAATGAATACCACCACACCTTCTCATGGTCATGCAAGTCGATAACTGGCTCGCAGGGTGCAAGAATTCATCAATATACTGGTGTGTGTGCTCTAGATTATACAGCATGCAAGACGGGAATATTCCCGACACCGAAACTTTCACACAATAACGTCGACTACTACATCATGTAGTCTTTTTGTAGATCTACCCGATACTGCCCGATACTGAAACTCTCGCACGACGTCGCCTATGATGAACGGCTTGTACTTAAACACAGAGCAACTATCTGCATAAGGAAACAGGAAACACGAGCCTGGACAGACTCACAGACTGTCAGTGCACTACAGGGTAGTGGTTCGCGGCAATGATTGGAGGAAGGATAGTTCTGCGGAATTGAAGTAAATGACTTGAAATGCCTCCGAAGCACACAGTCTTGCCGCATGCAGCCACAATTACAAGCAGAAGACTAGCAGCCACGCTGGTCGCTATGGATGGACTAGCGAGTGCGAGAGCGAGGAAAGTGCACTGGGTCGAGTCGGGTGTGAATTTGGCGCTATGATGGACTTCCTTTACTCGAGAATCGAAGTTCAACTAGCTGAAACTAATTGAAAGTCGACGTTAAATGAAAGCAAGTAAGTAATAGCAGTGTTAGAGTAATGGAGGTGTTGCTTGATAGGTGCTAAGCGTCTCCCCTTTCGACACTGCACTGCGCAGTGATCGAGGAATTGCGAACAAGGATATGTGCAGGCATTTACCAGCCGGACTGGCGTGTCCTATGAAAAACGAATACCGCAGAACAGCTGCGAGCGATCAAGCGTTAACTTTTCACACGTGTGACCGAGCAGGAGAGGAAAACTCGTTTCTACCACCATAGCCGGCATAGGCCTACATGACTGTAGCTAGCAAGGCTAAATTTCTTCGTGATGTTTACTGAAAGTGTTTAGCTGGCATGTGTTTAGCTGGCATGTAGATCCGCAATTCACTAGGATCACGATCCTACGATCGCTGGGGAACAGGAACTATTCCTGTCTTCCAGTTCCAGCATGGTGGGTGACATATTTATACATAGCGTAAGCACAACACTCGACAGTGTAGACTACCGGGTATACCAAGAGTGCAGGGGTGTTTGTACCCGTGGGATAGTGCATGATCACGCATGGCGATGCGAGACCCATTGCCGTACTGTACTGGTCAGGGAGTGCCTGTAGCCTCACCAGCACTGCTACTGCTGTACTGGTGGTTTGGGCAAACACGCGGAGTCGCTCTACAAGCGGATAGCTTCTCTTCAAGCAGCGAAGACTGGAGAAGCATACAGCTGTGTTATGTCTTGGGTTCGATGCAAATTGAGTTTTGCCCTACTCCGGTCCAGCGTGATGTGTTTGCGCGGATCCCGGAATCTTCGGCCGGTGCAGTTGGACTCAACTCCCACCTTGGCGGTTGCTGAGGCAGGCATTCGCATTTGATACCATTTGCCTCTGGTTTTGTCTGTATTGGTTTCGTCTGTGCTCTTTTCATCCTACTACTAGTAGTTTTCAGTCCGCTATTGGGCGGCAGCACTCCAGCTCTGCTTTGCACTTTTTCCTTCGACTTGTTCATTGGTATTTAACCATAAAAAAAGTAGGGACCAATAATAAATAAAATAAAAAAGCACTGCTACTATCTGTGACTGTGGTGACCACCATTCAATGTCTTGTCCTCCCCAAATCGTACCCCCAACTCTCCCTCCCTCTCTGTCTCTCATCTCATCTCTCTCTGTGTCTCTGTGTGTGTGTCTCTCTCTGTCTCTCACTGGTACTTGCTGACCACCAAAATTGGTCACGTGGGTCTCCCCGAAAGTGAGGAGAGAGATTGGAACGGCGACTCAATTGGCTATTGATTTGAACCGCCCAACGCTCAACACCGCTGAAACCCCCAAACTCTGGATGGACTTGAAAATGATTCCACGTATGGGCTCACCACACCATAGTAAGATGCAGAAAGGGATTCACCGCATCAAAGTGTCCTCCCCGGGGTCCAACTACATTTACCCCTGCGCTGGGTGAAGGTAACACATGTTGTGTGGATCGCTAAATCAGAGTTCATCTGATACAGCCTTCACTAGCATTATTACTCCAAAGAGATGTAGCTCATTGCTATTGGTCAACAGGTATGTACACTTTCAATAGAAAGTAAATTTATTATTATTACGGACCCTGAAGCCAACAAATGTGGTAGTGACAGGTACAACAGTACGCCTTCAAGCAACCGGGCCTGATGGCAACCGGGCCTGATGGCAACACACCCAGCCACTATCTGGCATAAGTGCATCCGCCGACCGAACTAACACACCATGCACACGCACATGCACACCCACCCACACCCACACATCCACACCCACAAGCAGGAAGGCACACATGGGCGCACGTGCACAGCAGGAAGGCACACAGGGGTGCACAGCAGGAAGGCACACAGGGGCGTACACACGACAGCCGGATGAGGAGAGACTTAGTTCAAAAGTCAACAATTCCTAAAAGTCGTTTCAAACTCACATGAAAATCACTGGGCACTGTAGCACTGTAAACGAAAATAAAAGATACACGGTACGGAGCGTCTGTTGACGAGAGCAGAGGAGGACCAGAGAGACAGCAGACACGCGGACAACAGCAGACACACAGAGCAAAGCAAGAGAAGAAGGTGGACATACCATAAGAAAGAATAATGGTCACATGAAAGCTGGCTATGAGGCAGTGCCAGTGGTTTTGTACGGGAGATGGTTTTTTTTACAATCAAGAAGTTTAAAAAAAGAAGATTAAAGATAAGTTGGTGTTACACAGGGCCTGCCTGCATGTACATGTGTGAGCTTGACATAGCTACGTGCAGTCGTGACTGCGAGGACGATGTGACAGCCTCATAGTAGCGTTGAAGCTGCTCTTGAAACTTTGCCGAACACTGTTGAGAGTTGGGTGGCGCGTATACACACACATACACACATACACACGCACACACGCACACGCACACACACACACACACGCACACACACACACACACACACAGCAACAGCAGCATAGTCGTGACCAGCAAGTACAATAAGGTAACTACGCATGGTATAGACTAAATTCCATCGAGCCTGCCACAATTACATGTGCAAATGAGCATGTTGCTAGCTTTACACATGTAATGCCATTTTATCTGACAATGAAACTGTAGCAGTGTTTAGGTGCTTTCCTCACATTATACTTTTACTTCTTTTCGAAGTATCTACAAATGAACTCAATCATTGTTTTACGCTATACCAGCTATGTTTCTGTTAGAGACTTGCAGTATGCATGACATATCACACCAGAGGTTAGCATGTGACATGCCTTGTTCATTTTCACAATAATAACCTAAACTGCCTCAACTCCATGCGTTTTTAAACACGATTATATTGATAACATCTCAAGTAGGGGTGAAACGGTTCCATGTTTTTCATGTTCGGGTACCCGAATGCCAACATTGTTTCCCACGGTTCGGGTATCGGTTCCATGCACTCTTTTCTCCAGACCGACAAAATGCGTTCGCGACAATTATTTTTTAGAAAAAACATTTTTAGGAGCAAGAATGAGACATCGGAGAGTCCAAGTGCGAAGAAGATAATGACCATGATGACCAGAGAACTCTTTGGAAGAGTGGGGATCGTAAGGTAAGACATTTAAAATCTTGAGTAGACTTGACGTGTACATGTATTTGTACAAGAACGAGATTTTTCGGGTTTCGGTTCGAAATTTGACGGAACGGGTACCCGAATCTTTTCAGCTGGCGGTTCCAAAACCGGTTCCTTACCCGAACTGTTTCACCCCTAATCTCAAGTACAGGTGAAGTGCTGATTGTGAAAAAACTCATTCCCCAGCGACAACACACATTTCATTTCGCCGCTCCAGTGCTACGCAGTACAGCCATTGGCAGTTTAGCAGCACAGCACGACCCCCCCCCCCCACACACAAGTACTTCACAAGAAGTAGCTGTAGCAGCTGCTGCTACTGCTGATGCCGCGGCTCTTACCTCGATTGTACTCGAGTCAGTGCAACCCGGCGATGCAGCATTGTTCAGAGAAGTGGCTAAGTGATCTAGGATGGTGTAGGGTAGCCATGAGATAGGAGATTGAGCGTGGACAGCATCCTATGTAAACAAACACAAGCAAAACATATAAATGGAAAAAAGGAGAATGAACGGCACACTCATGTCACACTATCATCACACCAGTTCTGGATTCTAGTTGTTTTCCAAACTGAATGTTTTCAAGTGACTTTCATCCGTGGATAATTTGTCACTAACATGATTCAAGCTACAACAAAGATATAAAATATCAACAGACAGACAGAAAATATCAATAACAACAACGATAGTTAGTACGTCATCGTGTAGACAATCAAGCTTCTGCCAAAGACAAGGGCAGAGAGGGAGAGACAGAGAGAGAGAGTGCAGTGAGTGAGAGAGAGAGAGAGAGAGAGAGAGAGAGAGAGAGAGAGAGAGAGAGAGAGAGAGAGAGAGAGAGAGAGAGAGAGCGAAAGAGAGAGAGAGAGAGAGAGAGTGAGTGAGTGAGTGAGTGAGAGGCAGTGAGAAAGAGAAGGGTGTGAGCAGCAGTTTGTTCCTACTTTGATGCCAAACTCTTCTTTGCCAGTGCCCATCAGTGCAGACATGTAGCGAATAGCCAGATTGCCTGCATCCACTACACGCCCAAACTGCACTAGGAGCTGGATCAACTGTGCTGGGTTGATTATCTGATACATCCAAACATCCACATCCACACACACGGAGACACACACACACACATCCACACACACAGAAAGAGAGTGAGAAAGAAAAGAAAAAATGTGATACAAGTACACGATTCAAAGGCATAAAATCCTATGTATATGATAAGGCTATGAGAGGGTAGAGGAGCACACGCCTACATAGACTGATAGTCCGGCGGCCATTATGTTCTCACGGTAACTTCTTACCTTGTATGCATCAAGGAACCACTGCGGTATTGCTGCAGACACTGACAGGAAATGAACGGTGATGGCCCGGAAACAGGCAGACTGCTGGTCGCAGGGGACGCGGTTGAACAGACAGTGCCGTAACAATTGCCATGCACACTCCACAACACTGTGAAAGTCATACATAAAGCACAAACACGCACACAAACACGCACACACACACACACACAAGCACACACACACACACACGAGCACACACACACACACACACAAGCACACACACACACACATATGCATTGAACGGATAGTACGGCAACGGCTATCGTAGTGCTGAGTAAACATGGTGCTAAGCCACGGTATATCTATCAGGGGTTTGGTGATGTTCTTTTCGCAAGGAAGTCTGACTGACAACACCAGTGCCCAAGTGGCTCACTACCTTTGCATGGTGTGCCTGTTGAACTACGTGCAGGTTTGCAAAACGGGATCAGAAACAGCACAAACCCACATGCGCATTGAATGCAAGTAACAAAGCTGATATCCACTGGTAGAAAATAGCAATGCCGGTAAAGGTCTGCTTCAGGTCTTCAGCCCACTTGCAATACAAACAGTGGGAGCTCTTAGATCGATCATGTGACTATGCGTGAGCTCACCTGCCAGAACGACTAGATGTGATACCGCTGACTTCATTCGCCGACAACCAATCCCAGCCGTCGTCAACATCGGTTGCAAGCCTGCAATCATGCACAGACAACATGGAGATGCCCGCTTAGCGCACGGGTGTGCGGAACACACAACAGTTCACACAACACTTTGACAGCACAAACGGTGCATTCTTGCAGGTGATGGCAGCCAGAGCAATGAAGGCTGAAAATGCTATGTCAATATGTAGCAGCACAGGACACAGTGTTGCTTGCTTATTATCAGCATGAGAAGTGCTCCAGTGAAGCAAACTTCATTCACATCATCTACGGTTAGTGCAAGGTACTAGCCTGGATACCGGTATGAAAAGTGTGCATCAAAAGAAAATGTTGGCGTTCCGGAAAGCAACAACAAGGCCAGTCCATCCAGGGAGGCCAGCTGAACAGCTCAGCACAAAGCATGGAGAGGCAGTATTACTTACTGTTTACTGCGAGCTGACGTCAGTTTCACGCATCTAGCGCAGGACAGAACACAAGGGAGAAAGATAGAGCAGAGTGGAAGCAAACTCACCATACGCAAAAGAGAATTGTGCGCACTTTTCAGTTTTCATATGCATGTTTAGGTTTGCAATCTGCGGTGCATCTTGAATGGTCCAGATTTTGGTCGGGTTGGGGTGGGACAGGTGTGCATACCATTCTCCAACCGATGTGGCATTGAGCTGAAATTGCTATGCACACACCATGACCTTGTACATGACTTCTGTACTGGGACACACACCTACACAACAACGTGGGGTTAAAGGGGAAGTTAAGGCAAAAATTAAAATTTCACCAGTTGTAGTCTTCGGGGTGCTGAGTCGAATGGTCTTGGTCCGAGAAAGCTGAGACGCTCCCTTCCTACTTGAATCCCAATCGAACTCGCGCACTTCCACCGAAACTGGATGACTGCGCCCTACTAGATGGGGATTTGTATGCAAAATGTCACTAAAAGCGCCGTTTCGTTCTTATAAAACCGCGGATGACCGCGATTGGCCCATATGTTGTAGTCTTTTGGACGCTGAGTCGACTGGTTTTGGTCCGAAAAGGCTGCGATGCAGCGTTCCTCCTTTATTCCCAATCGAACATGGTTGAACAAGCGGTCACGTGCTCCTGCGTACACCAGTCAGCTGGTCACCGTGCCTGCAGGGTACAACTTACTAGCCTGTTTGACCTTTTTTGGGTGCAGTCCTGTCACTCGAGTTGAACTCGAGTTGAACCTTGGTGTGAAAGTTGTCGCCTGCTGGCGTGGTGACCAGGTGATTTGGGCACCCAGGAGCACGTGACCACTTGTTCAACCATGTTCGATTGGGAATAAAGGAGGAACGCTGCATCGCAGCCTTTTCGGACCAAAACCAGTCGACTCAGCGTCCAAAAGACTACAACATATGGGCCAATCGCGGTCATCCGTGCTTTTATAAGAACGAAACGGCGCTTTTAGTGACATTTTGCATACAAATCCCCATCTAGTAGGGCGCAGTCACCCAGTTTCGGTGGAAGTGCGCGAGTTCGATTGGGATTCAAGTAGGAAGGGAGCGTCTCAGCTTTCTCGGACCAAGACCATTCGACTCAACACCCCGAAGACTACAACTGGTGAAATTTTAATTTTTGCCTTAACTTCCCCTTTAATGATAACTGCAGTGCTTACGATAAGACAGCATGTAAGGTGGCGATGGAATGCTTACACTCACCTTGCAGCGAGGCCTTCAAGGACCGGTGTCGGTGGGAATTGGAACATCTGTGATACATCCAGGGCGACGGTGAACAGACCAGCGGCTATCAGCAAGGTCAGTAACTCATCGGGGTTGGTCGATGTGCCTGAGCACACAGCAATAAGTCAAGCACACAAAGTGATACATATGTGCACACATGCACACAGACAAACATGCGTGAAAAGAAGAAGGACAAAATGTTACGAGTTTGTCCTTCTTTTCACAATGATTTAATTGGCTCACCATCCGAGTTAAATATTACAAATATGCGTCCTCGTACATGTGATGAGCCGAGTAAAGCTATGCTGCATGGAATTGGATAAAAGCTGCACCGCTGCGTGGCCCTTGCATTCCGCAGGTCTTCGTCTTGAGCACACCGTGTAATTTGTGCCGGATTCATTTAGCTTTCACTGCGGCACCTCACTGCGGTATCTCACCTCCTTGCACAATAAGTTAGTTCAGAGCTCTGTGAGTCTGCAATAATCGTTCAATTCTAACAAGGAATGCTTGCTACAAGACAAACCAGTTTCTGACATCCCAACATAACACCAACACGTCAAAGCAAGCAACACTGGCCATGGTAGTTGTAGTATCAGTGCAGTGGGCCATGCTAACACAGCTCCATCCAGATCAGTGCAGTGGGCCATGCCGACACAGCTCTACCCAGATCAGTGCAGTAGCCATGTTGACACAGCTCCATCCAGATCAGTGCAGTGGGCCATGCCGGCACAGCTCTACCCAGATCAGTGCAGTAGCCATGTTGACACAGCTCCATCCAGATCAGTGCAGTGGGCCATGCCGACACAGCTCTACCCAGATCAGTGCAGTAGCCATGCTAATACAGCTCTACCCAGATCAGTGCAGTGGGCCATGCCGACACAGCTCTACCCAGATCAGTGCAGTAGCCATGTTGACACAGCTCTATCCAGATCAGTGCAGTAGCCACACTGACACAGCTCTACCCAGATCTGCAGTGGGGATCTCTATCCAGATCAGTGCAGTGGGCCATGCTGACGCAGCTCTACCCAGATCAGTGCAGTAGCCACACTGTCACAGCTCTATCCAGATCAGTGCAGTAGCCACGCTGATACAGCTCTATCCACGCCACACTCACCAGCGTCGGCATTGCGCTGCAACAGCTTGAGCCTTGCCGACACTAGGACGTGCTCTTCGCGTAGATCCTTCAAATCCACAACTGTTATAGGTTGGTGAAGAGAATCTACATGCAGTAGCACAACACACACACACACACACACACACACACACACACACACACACACACACACACACACACACACACACACACACACACACACACACACACACACAGAACTGCAATCAATACTATCTGTGCGTGAGTGAGAGAGAGAGAGAGAGAGAGAGAGAGAGAGAGAGAGACCATATCCGCAAGATGACCACAAGAAGTTGAAATAGAATACAATGTACACACATCCATACATAGACCAAGTGAGGTAAGCAGAGCGCAGTCAGGTACAGTAGGTATCGGTTATAGCGTGGGTGTTTGAAAAACGACTTTCTATTCTTATTTCCGATATTTCGTACACACGATACATCAAGTGTGACATATCATTATGCATGTGCGCAGGGGCCGGAAGATCATCGTACGTGCAACGTAGTGCTACTGTGCAAGCGGCTGGTCATAGTCCCATAGGCTTACCATGTGGCTATCCAACATGAGTTACATGACCACAACAGTTGAACCTGCAGCACTACGACGCAACGCGAGTCAGATCAGAACTGCATGGGACAGATGTTATTACTACAGGCGATATACTTTGTACTAATCTGGCATGTTTTGCTACACAAAGTCCATTCTTAGGACCGATATATTCTACTATGCGATAAAATTGCTTGTAAGAATAAAAGTGCACTTGAAACCCGTGTTATGATTATGAAAACATGAGAGTTCATTCTTGTAGGCAGTATATTCTTTTACACGACCACGCTATAACCGATACGCACTGTACATGTACTAGCAAGTGATGTGATACACTCACCCTGTGGTACTACGCTTGTACCGTCGTGATGACGTTTCAATACATCCTAGCAAACGTGAGGAAGCAAACAAGACAGTAGCAACATCAGGTCAAGTTCAGCTCTCACTGGGTTACACTGGGCTAGAGGTTCAGAATACAGTGCATACAATACTCAGCACATGTACACAGAGTTGGCAAGTGCAACCAAACACACTGGAGTGAACACAGCTTCACGGCACACATATACACAGATATGCACCACACAGACACACATACACGCCCACACACTCATACACCCACACACGCAGACATCCATCCATACCCACACACCCATAGACACACTCACACACACATAGTACGCTGTGCTCACCTGGGTAGAACTCCTATCTACAGGTCTGACCAGCCAGGCATCATCACTACGGACCAGGTGCAGAGCGTTCATTGCGGCCACCAAACATTTAGCCTGAACAAACAGAAGAGCGCAGGGTCTCACTACATACACTCCAATCACAGAACAACAAGGGCAAGGCTTGTTAGTCGATACTCTGAGTTTCATCGGGCAACATGAGGATACACTCTAATCACATCAAGAAGCGTGCATGTAGACCTTCATATGTTTACATGGTTGTGTATGGAGCTAACACCCCACTCCCATACCCACTTATTTCCACATGCTCATCAGCGCACAAACGAAGCAGAACATAATGTCAAGTGTACGGTGAGTTCCGTCTTTTGATTCATTGACTGCTCGGCTTTTCTAGTGTTCACTATAGCCCCTACACGACAAGTTGTGTTTATGTTTCGCGTATAATTTTTTAGCTTCAGGTTCGTGGATTTGTGTTTACTACATAGCCTAGGTACTGTCTGATTCGCATTGCGTGCTATGGGGACTGTTTTCGGAGGTCTCTGATTGCTGATTTCCCCACTAGATCTGTTTGGTGTAGACAGCTAACATGGAGTTAATCTGTCTGCTACCGAACACAACGTTCCTCACACAACCCTGCGATTAAGGCATTATCCGCTGCCTCAATGTTCATTACTGCAAGAGAATGTTGCGCAAGGTGAGATGATGATTTGCACATCTTTTGTTTTCCCTCTTTACAGGTCCTTACGTGTACATTGCACTTTTACTGAAAAAATATAGGGTACGTATGCACAAGTACATGGTATGTGTTTGGCTTGTAGCATGAAGAATAAACTCATTACAAATGTTGTCTATCTTCCTTTTGTGCGTGTCGCAGGTGATCAAGCACTTTGATGATGGCAAGCCGAGCGATAATACAAAAATCACACCTATCGAGGCACTTCGGAGCCTCAAGGTAGATGACCAATGTTAATTCTTACTCTTTCCTCGCAGAGTGTTTGGAGCAATGTTGAAGAGTCGACGATCCGTGCTTGTTTTCGGCATTGTGGTTTCACCATCGTGCATGATGAACGTGATGAAACCTTGGCAACTGATGAGGAACCAGATGAGGGACCAGACGTCTGCAATGGCGTGAAGGAGATTGTTTCGCTGATTGACGAGTTGCGTGAGCGGTCACTGATCGATGGTGATCTTGACGCCACCGGATGTATCGCGGCCGAGACAACTGAGGACGTTTGTCTTATGTCACAAGTCCTAAGTTTGGCCAAGGCTGACGAGGGGCAAGATGATGATGATGATGTACAGGTCGCCGGCAAGCCTGTGAACCGTGCAGAGGCACTGGGCTGCATTGCTAAGGTCCAGCTCTTCCTTGAGCAATCACAGCCTTCACCGATGCCATCCAAGGGATTTGACCTTGTTTCAAGACTTCGCCGTCACGTTGAAGCTTATCTGGCAGCTCCATCACACCAATCTACAGTGTTGCACTTCTTCAATAAGAAATGAAGAGAACTCCAACCTAATACTATTCAAAGTCTGGAAAAATGTTGAACAGTCACTGCTTGAATGACGACTACATCGTAGCTTACAAGAGCATCGCTGGCCATAAGTGAGGGTCCCTGCTTCGAGTCCTGGTGGTGACAATCAATGTTTCCTTCAGCCTTTTCCCGTTTTCAACTCCCTCAACCTTATGAATAATGCTATTCCGTTCGAGTGTCATTTACAACATGAACGCATTGTGAACATGTTTGTCCTTGCCTGTATATGCACATATAATATGACTGTGTGTGTTCTTCCGGTGTGAAGTACATGTGCAGGGATAATGAGTATGCAATTCCGAGCAATTTGACATACCGTAAAAGCCCGTGTATACGCCCACTCGAAATTACGCCCACCCTCCGTGTACACGCCCAGTCAGGGGAAGTCAACACTTTTGTTTCAAAATAGCGCCCATGTATACGCCCAGGTATGCCGGAAACACCAGTACATGTACAGGTACTGATACCCAATACTTACGGCTAGCCCTATTCCAAGTATACGCCCGGTTCCAAAATAACGCCCGTGCCCTTGTATACGCCCAGGAAATCGAGGCTGCTATTCTATACGCCCGGGGGGCTATACACGGGATTTTACGGTACAGTACTGTCGGGCGCCGAAGAACGGAACGTCGAAGAACGACCAGGCTAGAATATTAGCAAGCACAGCAAACCATTGCCAATGTATACACGGTGACTCAACTGCGCACAGAGTGTAATACATGAAAATTAGAACGGTATAGGCTAGGAGGCTGACCCCCAGTTCTTCGGCGACCGACAGTACTGTACATATTGCCATGTGGGGTGGAACTTTGGGTGATTAGAAGTTGGGGCCCAGCAAATCAAGGTTCAAATCGAAGGGGGTCTACCCGTACATACAATCACATTCTAGTGTAAAGCGCTGTCTGTGTAGATGCAGGTGTTGGGTTTCGAGGCCCTATCTATACAGTAGGTTTCACAGTGACTTATCTATACCCAGTAATAAATGCTACACGAGGAAGAATGAACACCAGTCTGAAACCGAGTCCAAAGCAGCTAGCAGACCACTTGCTTTCTTTTCAAGCCCCTAACAAACTCAAAAGTCTCTCCGAGTCCACCATGGCTGCAGGAGAGTGTTTTGAATAGCGCTGCTTGGTCGACAACACGCACTCTTGGGGTGCTCACGGACTCTGAGTATGTCCAGTGCAGCGCTACTACAGACAGTCTACAGTGTTTACATGCACATGTACATACCCGGCGTTGCAATCCTTTCACTGTCGGCATCTCACTCGTCAAGCGCACAGCGCATTCATACTGACTGGAGGCAGCTGTATGTACACGAAAGAAAAGATAGGTCACACATTCCACACTTGCGTTCTACATTATTGCTGAACAAGGTGCAACAAAACAGCACAAACAAAAGAGGAAGAAAGTAGTAGGGTAAGGCACAACGAAAAGTACATAGAGAGAAAGAGAGAGAGAGAGAGAGAGAGAGAGAGAGAGAGAGAGAGAGAGAGAGAGAGAGAGAGAGAGAGAGAGAGAGGTGCCCCAAACAAAGATAGCCACGTAACGTACGAGACTGCATGTACACGCGTGTGACATCCACCGTACCTTTCTTGTAGCTTCCCCGCATGATGTGGAAAGAGTAGAGCAGTTCATAGTAGCTATGCGAGGAGATTTCCACAGTGCGTGCTCTAGACTCCATGATGGACACAACCTCATCCTCTAGGCCCACGAACGGCAGCTGACACAGCTCCTCAAACGCATGTTGTTCATACAGTACATACACCAAGCGACGCAAGCAATCCTGTCGCCTAGTAACAACAAAAGCCACAGCACATGGACACAATAATCGGCTTGAGAGGGCTATGGCTGCATTCATGCAACTGTAAGATGGGAAACGCATACCTGACTGGGTCTGGGTTAGAGCACAGCGCGACGTAGGCCTTCTGCACATGCTGCAAGTGAAGATGGTGTTTGAACAGGCTGGACCAGAGAATAGCCTGAGCAGTAGCAGCAGCAGTAGCAGCAGCAGTAGCAGCAGCAGCAGCAACAACCAATCAACCAAATCAACAGAGTGACTTAACATGACATCATTCACAGTCACAGAAAGAAGAACAGCTCTATGGAAAAGAAATACACATACAAGTGAGAAAGAGAGATAGAGAGATAGAGAGAGAGAGAGAGAGAGAGAGAGAGAGACAAAGCATGGGCACTTACCACATTAGAGTCTGAGCTGTCTGCTACTGAGAGAGCGGCCTTGGCTATTGTGATAACTTGTGCTGACCAATCGTACTGATCAAACAGTCGAACAATCTACAGGAGCAGCAGCAACAGACACATTGTCACATCCCAATACCTGTGCAATGTTCCGATCAACTGACCGAATCACCAGGAGCACGGATTTTGCACAACAATAAACAGGTGATACAATCAGTCTAGAAGAAGGCAACCGAACCAGCTGTCAAAAGGAATTAGTGCTCAGAAGGAACCTCTTGCTGTTGTGAAAAGAGTGCGTGGTCGGAATCCGAGCGCAACGGTGGTGTAGTCGGAGAATCAATTTACGATAAATATTAATCTGCACATATGATAGAGGTTCAACAGGGGCGGGTGGAAGAGGAAAGCAATGGCATCCGTGGACGCTTGCAGCTTACCTTGGTGTAGTAGGCCACAAGGCGATGCGCTACACTGTCAGTGTGCTCAATGTCTGCGTAGAAGCGCTGCATAGGTCCAGCATCCACACTGTCTGTTGTTGCCAGAACACAGTCATATCACCGCATACAGTACATGTACCCATGACCATCACATACAGTTGAGTACAGAACTACACATTTATGAAGCTTCACTCCTGAACTCCAAAAAATGGTCTCTTTATTGCGATTCAAATTTATATTACATTAAAAGTTTCGTGCCTGGCCCATCATCAGCCGTGTACTAATACACTTGGGTATACATGTATGTAAACAAAACTACGATGCAATGCAGGCCAGGCAGCCACTCTCAGTAGGCGTAGCAAGGAAAGGTATGTACATGCATGTCGTCCCATGCTTCATTCATCCTACACAAGTGCACACGAACCACATGTCCTGCATGGTGCATTGCGCAATGCATGTACACATTCCTCTACATGTACTCTAGTAGGGCAATGAAATCTGTACTGTACACAGAGGTGCTGCATAATGTGCATATCCGAGGTACTGGATACTAGTAGTACATGTATACTAGCATCCAAGATCAAATAACGGCTATAGCAGAATGCAGGGTCACCAGAAGTAGTACTGTACATGTACATGGATACCCCACAGCATGTCATATCCAGGGGGATACCCCACAGCATGTCATATCCAGGGGGATACCCCACAGCATGTCGTATCCAGGGGGATACCCCACAGCATGTCGTATCCAGGGGGATACCCCACAGCATGTCGTATCCAGGGGGATACCCCACAGCATGTCGTATCCAGGGGGATACCCCACAGCATGTCGTATCCAGGGGGATACCCCACAGCATGGCGTATCCAGGGGGATACCCCACAGCATGTCATATCCAGGGGGATACCCCACAGCATGTCGTATCCAGGGGGATACCCCACAGCATGTCGTATCCAGGGGAATACCCCACAGAATGTCGTATCCAGGGGGATACCCCACAGAATGTCGTATCCAGGGTACGTTATACTGAACTGTACCACAGCACTACTAGCCCAGCACTACACTAGACAGCAGCACAGACAGTTCCATGCACCGCTATGTACACCAGTGCGGCATCAGATCAGGAAGAGCAGTGCTGCTGCACACAAGAAAACAAGATACACATCGCCAGACAGGCTGCTCACCGACTCCCTGCGATGCCCGGATGAAGCAGTCTGTAGCTTTGTCCATCTCTCGTGATTGCACGTAGCACTGTCCAAGAAGAAAGGTGGCGTAAGCACTGTCAGCTCCTTTCTGTTGCTGACTGTTGAGCGAAATAAATTCCTGTGGCAAGCAAATACAGCCATGTCACTCCCAATATACACCGACTAAACAACCACAGGGAAATTCCTCACAAAGGGCATAGAGAAATTTAGATAGCACAAAGATACCCAGCCATAGCTCCGCGCAAAGCTACTTCATGAAATCGCATACAACACTGGATTCAGCTGGCAGATGACATGTTCTCAACTTGTCAGCAAGACGGTGGCAACTGCACAGACTGATCCACGAAAAATACAATGCCCAGCCCAACTCTTACCTCAATGCGCTGATACTGACATCGGCTTGCTAGGAAATCCACAAAGAATGAGTTTGTAGGCAATGCCCAGCTGTAATATAAGCCGTCAAGGAATGCATGGCAAGTACTTCAAATACAACTTGACCAAGATAGCTGGTACATGTACATGCGTCACTAACAGCATGCACAACACAGAGAGAGAGAGAGAGAGAGAGACTCGAGAGAGAGGTATGAGCAGAATCACTCCTTGTTTCGCAATACCAGGACATCAGGACACGCACGCTGTTCACATCTAGTCATGTGACACACACCGACACAGACGCACACACGGATAGTAACCACTAGCTCCGTAGAGAAACAGTGCGCATGTAAGAGGATACAGGAAGTCCATGATGACGTTGATGGAGGTCAGCAACAGCTGGAAAAGCGGCAATCGCTGAGGTGCCCAGAAGACGGAGCGCGTGGCCAGCACATTACGCAGCTGCAGACCGCCCGTTGCCGCCATACACAGCTCTAGCAGCGAGGAGCCATTAGCCAGCATGACGGAGTGCGACGCGTGTAGTGTGTTGATGATGTCACCCAGAGACAGAGCAGCCAGCTGATGTATATTGGTCTCCAGTTGTGATTGCGTGATGACCTGCACTGGTGTGACGGAAGTCCACGTCAGTGCAGTGTACATGCACACTAGCTGCAAGGCTTGCTCGCGCGATTCCGACGATAGTGTCCAGTCTTCGCTGGTCGAGAGGCCAATCTAGACAATCACGCAGCGCCGGCAACGACAACAGCGACACAAACAGAACAAGAAAAAAATATGGCACGGTGTCCAGGAGAATTAGACGAGACTGCACCGTCACACTTAGAACGTGCAGAACCCCTGAACAACATGGTCTCGGTACCAGCCCTCTCTTTCCATGCATCTGTGTGTATACTTTTAATACAGTACAATAATAATAATAGAATACACACAGCTCACATCTTCCCTGAACCTGTTAGACAGGAGCAGAGCATAATATGGGGACTTCAATGCCATACCTATCAACTTACATTACGCAACAACATGAAAAATTAAAAACAGCCCTCACATCACCAAGGGGAAAACAATCCGAAAGCTTGGGTGGACATCACACAGCACTATTACTGGGCATATCGTTAGGGGACTCGCCAGCAACACTCACCTCATTCCTCCGCTGCAGAACACCATAGATAGTCAGCAGCAGGTCACGGCACATGCGTCGCCGTATGGTCGCAATCTGCTGCAATGATCCGCTCACAGCCAGCACAGATAAACTGGAGCTGAAGAGCTTCTGGCACCAAAGAGCACGTTCTGGGTCCGCTTCTGCAACAATGCACAGCAGGATAGCAGAGAAAGTGATATTCTCAAGACACAGCAATACAATACCATAAAGTTCCGTAAATAAGCCCTGGGCGTATACAGAACAAGGGTCTGAAAACTGGGCGTTATTTCAGGACTGGACCTATACAAGGTGCATATTGCATCGCTCGCGTCTTATAAGCATGCATAACATTTGGCACACATACGCATACACAGGTACAGCATCACCCTGGGTGGTTTTGGGCACGGGCGAACTCACGGGCTTTGAGGGTAGATATCGATTCGGTGGGCGTTATTTCGAGTGGGCGTTATTTCGAGTGGGCGTATACACGGAACTTTACGGTAGTCATGCTGTTCTAATATTGTATCACGCGTTGACTTGGGTAGAGAAACCAGGCACCTAAATTTAGATTACACGCCTAGAAGGCACTAGAGTATGCACTGTATGTGAAGGGAATACTGGTCACCGAATTCCACATTACACCAAAACCTGGCAGGTTCCCGGCACCGAAATTGTAATACACCTAAAATTACATGTTATACAGTATCCAATACTGATCATCAGCAAAAACCAAACACAGCATATCAGACTAGGCAAGGACTCTAGTTGGGGAGAGCAACCAATGCAACTGCATCGTATTCATCTACCCCACATCCTAACTGGAACGAATGGCCACTACTCTCGCTAGGTCAAGTCTTACACAACTGCAGATTGATCGGCACTTGTAAAAAGCCAAAAAGAGGAGCACGAAAAACTGCCTCAGTTTCCGGCAGAGCTGCAGTGGTGGCAGTACCCCCCCTCACCCACACACACATACATGCCCACAACCAACCAACCAACCACACACACCTGCTTCACATGATCCGATCACATGCGCAGTTGATGCTGCTACATCCAGCAGAAACATGAGTGATGCAATGGTGCCAGCAAGCCCATCAATGTCAGCCAGCCTGAGCAGGGACACCAAGACAGTCACATGCATACACAATTCACACACGAATGTCGAGTGCAACACAGTTAACGAGTGAGGGGAGGGGCATGGAAATGCATACGGAGAAGAAGGACGTTGTCAAAGTCAATTCACGCATGCACCGACACAACAGAAACAAGCAGCAGGACGGTCCAAACTGTGTAAAATTGCCCAACGTGTTCATTACGTTCTCAGCAGGGCAGGACAGGGAATGACGGAATAATTCAAAGACTACAAAGAAGGGCTTTACTCATGTTTGCTTACCTAAGAATAGTCTCTGAGAGGCCATCATGCGAGCTAGATTCTTCACTTCTACACAAACACACAAATGCAGGGACACAAGAAGAAAAAAGGACGCTCGGCGAAGATCAAAAAGAGGAAGAAAAAGTGCGTGCACATGGTACAAAAAAAAGAAGTGCCCCCTGTGAGGATCGAACTCACGACCTTCAGATTATGAGACTGACGCGCTGCCTACTGCGCTAAGGAGGCAGCTGATGACAATGCCTTATATCGGACAATTTCTTACTGAAGAAGTTGAGCAATGGCTACAATAGGGTTTCACCTGTTCTCAAGCTGCCGCATACAGTGATGTCAGATGCCAAGGAACAGGGGGAGATAAGTGTTCTACAGTGCACAAATCATTGTGCAAATGGCACTTCATTCTTGATCGCCTGCGATCACAACTTACTGGTCTGCAGAGCTAAGCAGGGATGTAATAAGCTGTAGTGCGGCATGTACATCACCGCAGTCCAGCAGAGCATCCAGCTGCTCCAGGCTTGGCGCAGAGAACTGCTGCGACACCATGCGACACACCTGTAGCACGCACACGGTGTCCTCCCAGGAGCTGGACTCCGAGAGCATGCCGGATCTGGGTGGGGGCACGTCCTGACTAGAGAGACCGTCTTCAGAGAGATATACCATTTCCAGCTCATCACACGGCCGCACTAGTGACACATATGACTGCAAACAGGGATCACAAGGTAGCAAGAGAACAATACAATGTAGTTTTAAATATTAAAAAATGCTGAAGCCTTGCGAAGGCCATACAGCGATGACCATCACAGCTAAAGCCATGCTTGCAACATCAACACAATCACACCGTTTTGCGACTGAAGCAGGGAAATTGCCACCAAGAGCATACTGTTGTTACCCCCCCCCCCCCCCCCCTACATCAGCTATCAGTTGACAACCACAACTACAACAGCATCCGCAGCAGCAGAAATGAGAAGTGGCACTACCTCACCTCTTGCACAAGTCCGGCGATACCTGTGCGACTGTCTGCAAACACGCCAATTGGTGACTGATCAACCTACGCCAGTCATGGCATCAGCAGCAGGGCACAGCAGACACAGTGAATCAGAAAGAAAGCAGGGTCTGCATATGTATAGTGATTAAAAAAAAGAGGTTATAAAATTAGAGAGATCACAACCAGACGAACGATGCCCTGGGTAACGGGTCATGAAAATCAGCAGTGTGCAGCACCTCAAGTGTACCATTCTTTGTTCACAGCCAGGAAAAGACAATTGTACGTGTGAGTGTAACTGAGGTCATACGGTGTAATAGTGTACTGAGTGTACCCGGGTCCCATGTGGTCTCATACCAGCCCACTAGGATGTGTGTGTGGAGTTTGCTACTGCTCAAAGGTGAAATGAGTGTGGATTGACTACAAAATATGCGATGTGTGTCCAGTGTACGTGTAGGTGTTGTTTGACCTACAGGTAGGACTTGCTCATCCGCCCCACCTAAAAAAACGACCATGAAGGGGTCCCTCTGGGTAGCGGGGCGCTCTCACGGCACATGTACTTCATGGCAAAAGTCTGGCAACCGGTATAGCCTCATCACTCAGAATGTGTACACAGTGTGAGGAAAGCAAGTGTACAGACAATGCAAGCACCATTACTACTGAACTTCCTGATAACAAAGTGTCATGTACACGTATTAGAATGGTACTAACTCAAATCTATGAGTGTGTGAGAATAGAGAACAAGAGAGAGAGAGAGAGAGAGAGAGAGAGAGAGAGAGAGAGAGAGAGAGAGAGAGAGAGAGAGAGAGAGAGAGAGAGAGAGAGAGAGAGAGAGAGAGAGAGGAGAGAGAGAGGGAGGGAGAGAGAGAGAGGGAGAGAGAGAGAGAGAGAGAGAGAGAGAGAGAGAGAGAGAGAGAGAGAGAGAGAGAGAGAGAGAGAGAGAAGGAGAGAGGGAGAGAGAGGGATAGAGAGGGAGAGGGAGAGAGAGAGGGAGAGAGAGAGAAAGAGAGAGGGAGAGAGGGAGAGAGAGAGAGACACTACAAGCCCCCATCGTGCCATACCGGTACAGTGCCGTCTAGGCGTGTAATGTAGCGATCATCACGCATCACAGTGTTCCAGGCTGATGATCCAAGCTGAGTGCTGGACACGTAACAAGGAAGAGAAAAGCGATTACACATAAACACATTGAAAACAGCAGCAGCACGACACGCCAAAATACAATAGCCAGCAACGGAATGGTACAAGTATGCATTAGAAAATCAATGTTACTCTCGAAAACAGGTCTTAGTATGCTCTTCCCCTACACCACCACACACTGATGATGAAACACGACAGTACCATAGTCATAGGTAAGCCATTGCATGTGGCCATACTTCACGAGATCTTTTTCCATACATGCACGAGAATATTCCAAACATGTGGCTGTCCTTTCCTCTTCTACTTACCCATCAACAGAGCTATGGTGCACAGATGTTTGCCCTGAGAGTGCGGAGCACAGCAGCCAGACGTCCGTACGCGACACACACATGGATAAGACCCGGTCCTGCAGTGCAACAAAAAATGCAACACAGCATTATAATGTAAACTAAACACACACACACACACACACACACTTGTACATGTACGAGTACTTGCTCACTGCCAGAAACTGGTCGGACAGGTCTCCCCTTGAGAGAGGGGAGAGAGATTCAAAACAAAGCTCGGAAAACACACACACGCATTTTCTTTTTCGGCAGGAATCAGAGGGTTCACCCTCTGATGAGAAGGGAGTATTGCTTTTGCCTATAACGAAGTAACATGAAAGAACACAACAACACACAGACACAAACCCAGGTAAATGAGAAGGACAAACCCTGGTAAAGGAGAAGGCCTACCGTTGATAGCGGGCGATTAGCAATGTGATGGACGATCATCTCGCTGTTGGACACCTCGACTTGAAGAAGACAAACCTGCAAGGCAAGCAAGTAGATAGTAATATTGCGACAGTTCTCTACTGTAGCAGTGGTGACACACAAACACAGGCTGAATATGTTCTGGCAACTCTCACACAGACATACACACACACACACACTTACACACACACACTTACACACACTTACACACACTTACACACACACACACACACACACACACACACACACACACTTACACACACTTACACACACTTACACACACACACACACACACACACACTTACACACACACACACACACACACACACACACACACACACACACACACACACACACACACACACACACACACACACACACACACACACACACACACACACACACACACACACACACACACACACACACACACACACACACACACACACACACACACACACACACACACACACACACACACACACACTTACACACACACACACTCACAGGAGCAAGCACAGTGCGACAGTAAGCAACAGAGGGCAAGCATACCTGCTGCTTTCCGTCAAAGGCAAGGCACGCTGCTAAGCCAACTCGTCGCAAACTGTCACCGGGAGTCTTCCGCAAATGATGCTGTACATCTACAGAGTGAAGATACATGACCAGGAAGAAAAAATCGGATAAATGGCCAAGGAGTCAGAACAGTAAGCGGTTGGACAACCAGCAACTCATCAAACTTGAGAATATAACCAGCTTGATGGGTTCATCAACAGCAAAAACATACAATACCAGGTGACACGGAATCATCCAAATGCTAGTCTACAATTGGTACATGATACAAAAAAAGAGAAAGTGCCCCCTGTGAGGATCGAACTCACGACCTTCAGATTATGAGACTGACGCGCTGCCTACTGCGCTAAGGAGGCAGCTGTCCACAGAGGTGCAAAGTCATCAACAAGTGACTACTTCGATCGATGGAACTTACCGTCTGCCAGCTGCAGATTGTCCACATCAGCAATGTAGTCGAGCAGATTGATAGTGTGACAGCACTCCCATTGCTGTAGCATGCACACAACGCAGCAAAAAGAGCAGTTCAAACCAGGGAGTAGTAAATACTAATATATATCTTACTACTCCCTGGTTCAAGCTATGCAACAAAGCCATTGCTGGCAGAGTGCACAGTGCTGATAAGTGAAATACGCCCTCTGTTTCACCATAGTAGAGTTGTAAGTCCAAGAACTTCATTTCAAAGAGACCAGGCCGCGACGTGTTCATTTTTCCAGCAATCTAGAGTAGATTAGAGTAGATTTTCATGTGCAGGAAACCAGGGGGCAGATTTCACTTGCCATCGCCAGCATCACGACCAGCACCACCACCGCGACCAGCACCACCGCCACAAGCAGCAGCAGCAGCACCACGACACGCACACACACACACATGATGTCACGACTGCCGACAAACTAGTACATACCGAAGTAGACCAGATGCGCAGCTTTGCATCCCGACACAGGGCGAATATGTAAACATCATTGCCCAACGCGTGCAAACACAATCCACACACCATCTCCGGGACAGCACCGCTTTGCCTGATAGAGTGATACAAACAAAGCACAAAGAAAAAAAGAGAGAGAGAGAGAGAGCGAGAGAGAGAGCGAGCGAGCGAGCGAGAGAGAGAGAGAGAGAGAGAGAGAGAGAGAGAGAGAGAGAGAGAGAGAGAGAGAGAGAGACCGGTATATGCACATTATCAAGTGAGCAGTGACCGTGTTTGGGAAAAGAAACAAAGCCGAACATGGCATATAATGCTACGCGAGAATCCACCCCACTGGCTCACACAGTCGTACACACTGGGGACTAATCTAATACGGATATACTGAACGTGCAGGTGTACGGACGAGTGCCTCCAGGGGATGAGAAAAGGTGTCCTTGTGAGTCATGGATCAGTGGCAGCACAAGTCAAGGCATACCCATACCTCATCATTGTTGGCACAATACCAGTCCACAAGCGCTGCATCATGGACGTCTGACGAAGTTCAATTTGTTGTGAGAAGTCTGGCAAAAAACAACAACAACAACAACAAAGACAGTCACAATACCAGATAATATACCCACCCGCGACATGTATTCACACCAGTCGTCATAAGACAGTCAACGAGATCAGAACAGAAACAGTATTTAAAAAAAACCCCATAACTGTGACCACCAAAATGGGGTTGATACACAGTCAATGATGAGGGAGAGGCATGAACTGTTGGCAACATATGAACACGTGCAAGGGCAATGGCTCAATGAACTGAAGACAGCACAAGCCAGTCTATCAGCTTCCTTCATCTCGCAGTCGTCGGCAGTGTGGTAGATATTTTCGGAAAGAGGTTGGTGTAACATATGTCGGTTACCTGGTGGTGATATGCTGTCACTTTCCGGCAAATTATGACAGACAGTGTCCATAACCCAGTCTATGGCAGTGCACTACACCGCTGCATGAAGCCTCTTTTCCGGGAAAAAGAACACAGTGGAGCCATGGCCCAATACTGTATAGTGTATACTGTACATGTAGTTGCGGTGTAATGTCTGAAAAGTGCTTAGAGTACTGTAAGCCGCATCTACAGGCTGAACATACCTCCACTACCGGGCGGTGGTAGTGTGATGACGAGCATTGAGCCCCCGTGCGTGGACAGCACAAATATCGCCTTGCCGGTCGGTGAGAGGTGCGATGAACAGGTGGGCACCAGCGTTGCATCACCACCGCCGATCGTGATGAGAGCGTAGTTTGACGAGTCCAGCAGTCCGTCGCTGCTGCAGTTGTACAGCACTGACGGATGTGCTGGCTCCACACTCCCGGTTAGTGTCACCGTGTTGTCCTGAAAGTAACATAACAGACAAGCAGGCGCTTCAAGATATTACACCTACCATCAATTCTATGGCCATCATAGATGGGTTTTATTCCCGTAGCTATGCAGAAGACGTTACTTCAGTAACGTCTGGCGCTAGCCAGGGTCCACACAGCTTTAATTTGGTGTTTGTTTGTGTGTTTGTTTGTGTCACACCTGGCGCTATCCGTATCTGACGGCAAAAAAAGCATAGGATGTTATAAATTTTTCAATTCTCCTTTTTTCAGTCATATCCTCGGATTTGAACCCGCACTATCGCCCTACATGCATTTCCCCATGCACTTCGCATTCATACCCATTCTTCCAAGTTGCTTTACGTTATTATCTTGCGTTTGAAAGCCCTATTTGAATATTGCGGGCAGCTGTATGTGACCAGCTGTGTTTGATGGTACGGTACGGTACGGGAGACGGTGTCGTATTGCCCTCGATCGTACCTGTCCCGTACCTATCCCCTACCGTACCGTGCCATCAAAGACGGCTGGCCACAATGCATATTCAAATAGGGCTTTCAAATGCAAGATCACAATGTGAAACAACTTGGAAGAATTAGTATGTATGCGAAGTGTATCGGGGGATGCATGCAGGGCGCGCGATAGTGCGGGTTCGAATCCCAGGTTATGTCTTTAAAAAAAGGAATTTTTTAAAGAACTTATAACATCTCTGTGCTTTTTTTGTGTCTAGGTCATCAAGGCAAAAAAGCATAGCGTAGGGCCCTGAGCTTCCAAGCTCTCTCGTTCAGGCTGTCATGCCAACATCTCCAAACACAAGTGTACTGAATGTCTGAAGACAGTGCATATGATCGGGACCTTGCAGTTCGCCGCATCACAGTCCTGTACATGTATGAGTGACCAAAGATCCCTATGCTTGTATACACGTATGTCGGTATTTTCAGTACTTTCCAACATCTGTGGATGGGCACTCTTGCACTGCATGATGCATGCATACTTGAAGTACATGGATAACATGACACAATGAGCAAAATACGATGTAAGACGCAAGAAACATTGCTGCACGACACACACATGCACGCACACACAAACGTTCACACACACACACACACACACACACGTGCGTGCCACCATACACTATACATCCACATACCGACACCACTGGCAGTTTGGACGGATGCGGGAACGTCAGCCGGTGGACTGTCTTGTCCGTGGCCACTAGGACAACGACAGCATGGGCCAGCTCAGTTACGGCAACATCAGGCAGCACACAGCAACCCGGGAAACTAAAACGAACTGCATTGTTACAGAGATTCACGTCGAGAGATTGCTCAACCAACTCCAGAACATTGCCAAGACAGCGCCTGCACAAACACATAGCACAGGTACACGTACAACGTCACTAGCCAGCACATTCAGTATGCTACGGAAGTAGAGGCCAGGCCTCTTGAAGTTTCAAATCATAGGAAAGTGTTTGAGCTGACAAACTCTTTCCCCGCACACTGCAAACACTGAACATGAGTCCAAAAAGTCGATTCGAACGTCTTGGGATGTTCTCTACCTTCACACATTGCAATAATCTGGTGTGTAGGCCAGGCAAAGGACCGGTTATAATAATAATATTATATGTTGCATATACATGAAAGCCGTGTTCAGCGTTTGCACAACGGTGAGAAAGCACTGTCAGCTCAAACACTTTTATCCATGGTGTTATGATGCTAAAATTGGACCTGAGCAAGTGGCCGGCTCTGAGGCATACCAAAAGGACGTTCACCCCACGTCAGCTGGCTCCGGGACTGAATCCCCTAGCAGACTTGATGCCACGCTACTCTGCTGTGTTCCTTCCATGCACGGAAGCACACTGCTATTAAAGTTTAATTATTATACTTCAGTAAAGTGTCATGCATGCCAGGTGCTTCGGTTGCAGCAAAAGCCATGGAAGTATACAGGGGACAGAAAACGTCAAGGTTTAAAAACACCACCATCCTCAAGGATCAAGGCTCAGATGCAGCTCCTAAATCGGTGGGAGGTGAGCAGATCAGGCCCACCGCCAAAGTGGTCAGACTGAAATAAGGGGATAAGGGAATGTTTAAAATATCTTTACTCGCCAAGCAGACCCTGGTGCATACATGTCTGCCGGGTTTACAACGCCCCAAGCACACTAGTCGACCACACTACATGTACTGTGCTTTGAACATACTGGCACAGCATTCGCGTAACACATAGTGACAGTGCAAGTATTATACAGAACCATTGGACGTGCATCATCACCGATTATTTCGCGGGCCTCATTCCCAGACCAGGATGTGTTCGCGACCAATATAAGTTCCCTGCTGGCAAGGCTACACTTTATCACTTCAGTATTGATGGCTCATTAACTGTTACTTGTCTGTTTTATCTTCCTGAGGCGTGCAATCAGAACCTGCCCTCCTCCGCTATAAAAATATGCTGTTATGATTTATCATTCATGTAGTGTATGTACCAGACATGTATTCATCTAATTGCAAGTACTATTGATCCACCCTAAAACCACAACCGCTTAGGCATGAACTCTCTATAGCAATTCATTGTACTGCCACCCAACACCCAACGCATCCCGCACCCGGGATACAACTCCTATATCCTCTAGCACAATCATACCTCAACGCTTCTTATTGCTTTGCAACCGTAGAATAAACTTGTATGTAAACTCTACGTGTGAACCCACAGTCTCTTGGTTAGAGACACAACAACTGGCGACGAAGATGGCCGTTGCAATTGGAGCCATGGAACCATTTTCGGTTGGAACGACGGATTGGTCTACGTACTATGACCGCGTCGAGCAGTACTTCGCTGCCAACAATGTGGCCGAAGACAGGCAAGTAGCCACCTTCCTGACCCTGATTGGTGGCTTGACCTACAAACTGTTGGCTGACCTGGTCAGCCCGGACAAACCGAAGGACAAGACGCTGAAGGAGCTGTCCGACGCGCTGGCTGCGCATTGTGCTCCGAAGCCCTTGGTGATCGCGGAACGATACCGTTTCCACAAGCGGGATCAACGCCAAGGAGAGTCAGTAAATGCCTACCTCGCGGAGCTCCGACGGTTGGCACGATTCTGTGAGTTTGGCGATGTCCTGGATACCACGCTGCGGGATCGGTTCGTGTGTGGTATCAGGAGTCAAGCTCTCTGCAAAGTTCTGTTGGCAGAGAAGGACCTCACTCTGAAGACCGCCATCGAGAAAGCCAACAGCCTGGAGGTAGCTACTCGCGATGCATCCGAGCTCGCGGGCAGTGCCACTGCTGCTGGTGTACACGTTCTGGGCACATCGCAACATCGTCGTGCTGGCAGACCATCGTTCGGAGGTGCGAAGTCCGCGAACTCAGGTCAATCCCGTACGAGCTATTCAGCATGCTTCCGCTGTGGCTCGACGGCACACGGCGCAAGTGAATGTCCCTTCAAGGCATATGAATGCCGCCACTGCAGGAAGACTGGGCACCTCCGCAAGGTTTGCAAGAAGCGCCTCGCGGAAAGATCGACAGATTCAGCGAAACGCTCAAGTGGTAGCAGCGCCTGCCACAGCTTGGCTGTCGATGTCGCGGACGACGACGAGTTCAATTCACTTTCTCTTCTAGCCGCAGACGTCCTTCAAGCGCCAGCAGTCGCCACGGATGAAACGACACCCACGACCGCGCGGAAGGCACTTTGGATTGATGCTATCGTCAATGGCCAGTCGGTCCGCATGCAGGTCGACACTGGAGCTGCGGTGTCAATCATTCCGAGTGCGATTTATCGAAACTCGCTGTCTGCCTCGCCTCTCACCGCGAGCAAGCTGAAGTTGCGTACGTACACCGGCGAGCCCGTGCATCCTCGCGGAACGTTCGTAGCACGCGTGGAATACTACCATCAATCCGCGGAGCTACCACTGCATGTGGTGGACACGCAGGGGCCAGCGCTCTGTGGCCGGGACCTGCTTGCCCACATCGCTCTCGACTGGCAGCGCTTGTTCCAGGTCGAGATGGCTGGCGTCCCCTCCGCAACCGTGTCCCCTGGCCAGCAGCATCCAGGATCAGCAGGTACGCGTCTTGAGCAGCTCAAGGAGAAATTCTCCGATGTGTTCAGCGACGACTTTGGCAAGCTCAAAGACGCCAAGGCTCGTCTCCAGCTGAAGGACGATGCAAGCCCTCGCTTCCTCAAGGCGCGCCCATTGCCCTACGCCATGCGGCCAAAGGTGGAAGCTGAACTGGACAGGCTGGAAGGTCTGGGTATCGTGAGTAAGGTACAGTGGAGTGAGTGGGCGACACCTATTGTGCCTGTAATGAAGCCCAACGGCTCAGTTCGTCTCTGTGGAGATTTCAAAGCCACATTGAATCCACACCTGAAGGTGGACCAGCACCCGCTACCACGCGTGGAAGATGTCTTCGCCACCCTGGCTGGAGGCCAGCGATTCACCAAAATCGACCTAAAGCAGGCATACCTCCAAATGGAGATGGATGACGCATCCAAACCACTCCTCACACTCACGACGCACAAGGGCCTGTATCAGCTCAACCGACTCGGGTTCGGTGTTGCCTCTGCCCCAGCGCTCTGGCAACAGGCTATCGACCGCATCTTGCACGGCGTCCCAAGCCAGGCCTGCCTACTAGACGACATTATTGTCACCGGCCGCAACGACGATGACCACCTGGACAATGTGGAAAGCATCCTGAGTCGTCTGTCGGACCACGGCCTGAGAGTCAACCCGGCCAAGTGCACGTTCTTTGCAGACCAAGTCGAGTACTGTGGACACATTGTCAGTCGCCACGGCTTGCGCAAGACTGATGGCAAGGTCAAGGCTATCAACGAAGCCCCAGCACCGCAGAACGTGTCCCAGCTACGGAGCTTCTTGGGCATGGTGTGCTACTACCAGCGCTTCCTCAAAGACTGCTCCACGACCCTGCATCCACTCAACAACCTGCTCCGGAAGGGTCAGTCCTGGCGCTGGACAGCGGAATGCGCGGCTGCATTCAAGGCTATCAAGGCAGCCATCGCCTCGGATCAGGTCCTCATGCACTTTGATGCCGACCTGCCCGTGCAGTTGGCAACCGACGCATCACCATATGGCCTGGGGGCGGTGCTCTCGCACATCATGCCGGATGGTACGGAAAGGCCGATTGCCTTCGTGTCACGGTCCCTGACGGACACCGAGAAGCGGTACGCCCAGATCGATAAGGAGGCGCTCTCTATTGTCTGGGGCGTCCGCAAATTCCACACGTACCTGTTTGGCCGACCGTTCGTCCTGCTGACGGACCATGAGCCGCTGACAGCCATCTTCAGTCCTAGCAAGGGATTGCCAGCCATGACGACGGCCCGCCTACAGCGGTATGCTATCTTCCTAGCAAGCATGAATTATGAGATCAAGTACCGCAAATCAGCCGATCATGCAAACGCTGACGGGCTGTCACGCCTACCGTTGCCACACTCACCACAGGATGAGAGCCTAGACTGGGCAGACGTGTTCAACATGGCCCAGATCGACCCGCTTCCAGTCACGGCAGCTGAAATAGCGCGTCACACAAACCGTGACCCAGTTCTCGCCAAGGTCCTAACCAGTGTCAGCACCGGCCGGGCCCTGTCAACAACCGACGGTGACATGCAACCGTTTGTACGACGCAAAGATGAGCTGGGCCTACACCAAGGGTGTGTCATGTGGGGTCCGGTCCAGGTCCGGTCAGCCGACTCCGCTCCGCAATCATCCGTACCGATGAACACAGCGCCTTTGCCGTCCGTGGCAGAACCGGATCACAGTTTGTGCTTTCCGACTGCTCATTCGCCAGCTAGTGTTCCGACACCACCCAGTGTCCAAGCCGCTGCTACTCCAACACCTCCGCCTGCGCAAACACCAGTAGCAGCAACTACGGCAACGCAGCAGGTCCAGTCGCCGCTGGCACAAGATACGACTGAACCCCGCCGTAACCCGCCGAGAGCCCGAGTCCTGCCGGCTCGCCTGAGAGACTGAATTGCTTCTTGCTCACACAATTGCTGTCCCGTGCTCTCAGCTCATCCGCTTCTTCTTCTTGTGCATTAAATGTTATGCCGTATAGGAATACCTCGTAGCTCAACATGTACCATAACATTTAGGGGAGGAATGTAGTGTATGTACCAGACATGTATTCATCTAATTGCAAGTACTATTGATCCACCCTAAAACCACAACCGCTTAGGCATGAACTCTCTATAGCAATTCATTGTACTGCCACCCAACACCCAACGCATCCCGCACCCGGGATACAACTCCTATATCCTCTAGCACAATCATACCTCAACGCTTCTTATTGCTTTGCAACCGTAGAATAAACTTGTATGTAAACTCTACGTGTGAACCCACAGTCTCTTGGTTAGAGACACAACAATTCACGTCAACAATTCTGGTATAGTCTCTGTGTCGAATATTCGAAAATGGTAGTCTGGGGAGTTTTTATCGATGCAATGAATACGTGTACAGTGCATTGATTTAGTTTAAACTCCATCACAAGCCCTCTCCAGCCGATCTCATTCACAATGCCAGCAACATGATTTCTGCTGCTGAGGGTACTGAAAGCTTTTGCTTAACCTCCAGACGATGAATATACACGTAGCGGGAAAAAAAAAGGCGAGAAAGCTTGAAAGCTCAGGGCCCTCGCTATGCTTTTTTTGCCTAGGTCATCATGCATGTTATCCGAACTGATGGAAACGTTTCTGCAATACAATGATAAAAATAAAAATCCGCCCGCCCTCCACATTTTTCTCTGAAAAAAGGACGATCATGAAGTATATTCTTTGGCTTGGCCTAACATGGCATTCGAACCTGCACTATCGCCCTGCATGCATTCCCCCGATACACTTCGCATACATACACCCTTCCAAGTTGCTTTACGTTATGATCTTGCAGTTGAAAGCCCTATTTGAATAAGGTGGCCAGCTGTCTTTGATGGTACGGTACGGGATATGTACGGGATAGCGCCAGGCATGCCGACGCGACCCCAGACACAAAACACAATTACCAAATTAAAGCGGTGTGGAACCTGGCTAGCGCCGGACGTTACTAAAGTAGCGTCCATTGCATAGCTACGGGAATAAACGTGCATTTCAAATGTAGCCATACTCATCGCGTTGGTTTATTTTTTCTCTATGCACACTATTGTGTCGTGCTTGCTAAAGTCACAACAAATGCATTCACATACCAAACTAGAAAGCGGTTGCGAGTGACTGATGATACATGGTTACTCTCCTTGTAACAAAATCCTCCACCGCATCTCGCACTCTGCTGGTGATTGAACTTCACGCCAACATCAGCACTTTGCTGAGGACCTTGAATGACAATTTGTCGCCATTGCAATGAGTCCCATCCAGGAATGGTCACCTCTCGCCTGGACGTGGTCATAACTCACGCTTTCAACAGCGATAGGATTATTGACTGCACTGCAATTGGTCAGCAAACTGGAATCACCATCCTCCCAGCTATCAGCACAACAGGGAGAGAAACGTGTAGCAACAATTCCAGCTCTGAAAATGCCTTTTTCAAAACAAGCCCTGATCTGAGACGCAATCAAAACGACAAAACATCAATTTTTGCAGATTCATACCTCATTTCAGGATTTTCTGGCGCCATTTCCCGCGTTGCCATAGAAAGCACGTGCAGGCACTTCAAACTTGCACGTGACTACAGCAATTATGCACAATTGCACAGCATGCACTGATTGCACTCAGCAGGGATTCCCGATGCGCCTGGCAGGCTGGCACTAGAAACCCGATATTTTGCTCCGGAAAAACATGATTGTATTAATTTTTGTCCACTTCCCGCGTACAACGTTTCATCAAAATCGCACGGGCGCGGTTTCTCAACACGGGTTTTCACACACGTGTCCCTGGGGTCTTCAAAATCATGTTGATCCACAATGATCTCGTCCTTGGCAATCGAATGAATGACGTATCGCTGTATCATGCTGAACGGATAAGAAACAAGGAAATCCAAGTATGAGGCATCGATTTTACCCAAAAAAAACCAATAGTTTGCTCCGATTTTGCCAGCAATTTCCGGTTTTTAAATTCTTGGATATTTTGCCGTAAGAATTGCCAGCAGAATCTGTCTGGGCCTACCCTGGGTAAAGCAATGATGCTATAGTAGTATTGTAGTACAGAACTGATGATCTGTTGCTTGATGTGCTTATGACGTTACGTGTAGTTGTTACACAGTCACACTACACATGAATAATAACACACTACAATTAGTCCTGGCCTGAGATACCAAAATTAATAATTGAAATCTCCGTGTCAACAGATGCACCCTTGACGCTTTGACCCCATCCACATACTTCGAACTAAGTACATGGCTGTAGGCCTGAGCAAGCCCCACAAGCAACTTGCAAGAATCGGATTGCTTCATATGCAGGGAGAGAAATTGAAGGTGAAGCGAACGCACACTGAGAATGGTGAGAATGGTAGCCTAGGTTGCGATAAACTCACAGGCTCATTGCAAGGAAAGCTGAGAACACACCAGATAAACTCACAGGCTCATTGCAAGGAAACCTGAGAACACACCAGCACAAGCATGATCATAAGCCAGGGAGTAGTAACTTAACTACTTCCTGGTACAAACAATGTTGGACTGCTAGAAGAGGAGGCGGCTGAAACTACAAGACGAGGAAGAATATAGGCTAAACGAGCTGTGAGAGAGAGAGAGAGGCGCGCATATGGCACAGCATGGAGTTCACGATAGTTCAGACATGATGTGTGCAGTAAAAACAGACAGAAAGAAGATTATAGAAGGAAACGGTCAATAACTAAAACATACGAAGCACATACTTTGAAGAACCAGTGAGCGTGATCCTGATGATGGGTAGCGGGGTGACAGTTAGCTATTGCTCTCAACATAGCAGATAAACAAAAAAAAGATAAACAAAGAAAGAAATAGGCGGCGCGGCGGAGAAAGAAAGAAATATACCTACAAAACATTGTGTGCGCGTTCTACTGCACATCACATTAGAATGTTTGATGTGATGAGCAACTTGAACGGCATAGAATGGTGATGAGTCATGTGTGTCTACTTTCCAAACACATGCAGTGGCTAAAATATCTAGCAAGATTTCGTGTGCTTGTATGCTGCGTTGGTGTGTAGTGCAGGCAAGCACTGGGAGTTCAAGTCAAAGGGGTTCAAGATAATACACACGTGGTGATGGATGCAGAGAACAAACATGGTCACGCCCGCAATGCAGTACTTGAGCTGATCATCGAGGCACTGTTAGTGTCAGAATGAGAATCTGACAGGCTACAGGCAGTCTATAAACCACCGTATGGGCCCCTAGCGTTTTGGCATTGGCACTATTACTGAGCAGTGAAACGTGGTCTGGGGCCTAGGGTGTGGACAGTGGACAAACATTCTGTGGAACGGTGTTTCTCTGATCTACGTTTCCTCCAACCAATACGGAACAGCGTCTCTCTGACCAGTGTTCTTGTGACCAGTACGGACCAAGTACACTGCGGTGTGCAAGCAGTGGACATGAACATCAATCCGGAACACGAATGAAACCGAGTGAAGCTGCATGAAGCTTACAGCGGCCGAGTGAGGTTTAGCGAGGCAAATTGGCAAAGGTGCGTCGTGTGCTCCAGCACTATTGGATACTGGCAAAGCTAATTCTGGGATGAGTTGTGAAGGGAAAGGGTCCTATAGGGTGCGGGGTATATGAGATAGTATGCTACTTCGAGGAAATCCTTGTGAACGAGATGGAACCGGCTGAGTGACTTGTCGAGGTACCGTGCCAGTAGCTGGTGCCATTGCAGGAGACCAAGAAGGGCGGATACCAGAACGCTGCTGCTGCTGCAGCTGCTGCTGTTGCTGTTGTTGCTGCTGCTGTTGTTGTTGCTGCTGCTGTTGCTGCTGTTGAAGGTGATGTTGTTGCTGCCCACTTGTAAGCAACGCGTGCTGCTGGGCAGCCAGCATCTGATGCTGCAGCTTTTGTTGCTTGCGTTGCTGCTGCTGCTGCAGTAGCAGACGCTGTGCTTGTTGTTGTGCTTGTTGTTGCTGATCCTGATGAGTACGCAGACCAGTAGCCATCCGGGTGCCAGCGGTACTCTGTCGACTCAATAACTCACCAGTGGTTTGATGAGCGGCCAGGGTAGGATTGTGTAACGGTGGTGGTGGCAATGCTGCTGCGCTTGCTGTTGCTGAAGCCTTCGCACTGATCGCCCAGCGGCCAGTAAATGCAGTTTGTAGCTGTGACAGGGCTCTGTTAGACAGGTGGGCAACTGCCGCGGCTGTTGCCACAGGCTGTTGAGGCACCTGCTGCTGCTGTACTTGCGGTTGTCGTGACTGCTGCTGCTGCTGCTGTTGCTGCTGCTGCTGCTGCTGCTGCTGTTGCTGCTGCTGCTGTTGCTGCTGCTGCTGTTGCTGCTGCTGCTGCTGCTGTTGGTGTTGCTGTTGTTGCTGCTGTTGTTGCTGCTGTTGTTGTTGCTGCTGTTGTTGTTGCTGCTGCTGCTGGTGCTGTTGCTGGAGATGATGGTGGTGCTGCTGTGTTTGTTTAGTTGCTGCTGCTGCTGCTGTTGCTGCTGCCTTGACAGCCATCCATGAGTCATCAGTGAGAGATAGCGACCTTGGTGTAGGCACTGCTGCTGCCGCAGCCGTCGGGGCTCCTACCATTGGTGGTGGTGGTGGTGCTGCTGCTGCCGCTGAGGCTCCTAATACCGGTGCTGCAGCTACTGATGCTACTGCTGCTGTCATTGTCGGAAGCACTGAAGAAATTTTTGGTGGGTACTGGAAGCCAGCGGAGCCAGGCAGAGATGATGACGATGACGGGGAGGGCAATATCCCAGTGGGCGTTGGAACGGGTAACGGCATGGTGTTGTTGGGTGCTGTTGGGGTGGTTGCACCCGGGATGACAACCGCCGCATCTGCTAGTGCAGCATCCGGTGTTACACTGGGGTCTGGCCCGGCGCTTGCCTCGTTCTGGCCACAGTGTTCCATATGCAGTGGCCAATCTTTGGTCTGACATTTGGTGCTGCAGTAGTTGATGTTATTGCAGCAGAAGAAGCTTGCCTCTTCGTGACAGGAATTACACTGCAAGCCAATCAAACACACACACACACACACACACACACACACGCACACACACGTACAGACACAGAACCAGATTTTTCGTCACGAAATACAGACATCGACCCTGTTTATCACAGTTAATTTGACCATCGTAGTATAAGCCGCACTGACTTTGTGTGTGTGTGGGGGGGGGGGGGGGGGGGGGGGGAGGGGATTACTGGTGTTTAAAGTGCGGCATATACTCCGGAAAATACGGCATGAGGAGCACGGCAGTATATACCGTATTTTCCCACATATAAGCACATGGGCTTATAAGTGAAAATTTGCTACAAAAATAATATATTTTGCTGTGTGAACATGTTGGGGTAGAAAGAAGCCCATGCGCTTATATGTGCAATATAGGTTAGCCTGTGTCCTAAACAACGGTGTTATCATGCACAATGCTTAGCGGCATATTCAGCTTCCGGGTGTTTCACCAATAGTGTTCACGTATAAGCGCATGCGCGTGGGGGGGGGGGGGGGGGGGGCGTTTATGTCCGGACATAAGCATGTATGATTTATGTGTCTGTTTTCACTACAATCATTCTCTAGTTCTGTAGGTCATGTATGGTATCACTCATGCGTGAAATCATGTGATCATCAACCCTGTTTTTCCCGGGCTTGTGCTCCTGTGCACGAGACGTATGCTTCAGATGTATGGCCTTTTTCCCGCTGCACGGCATCTCACGTGCAGAGTTTTTCCGCGTGCAGTGCTCTAGCAGCTTTGGTTTTTTTGTTTTGCTTTCTCCTTGTCTTGAAAAGAGTTCATGGTGAACAGTGGTTGAATCCAATTCTAAGTTTCTTCTCAGTTTTAGCAGTGTCTTATGTTTGATATTCTTAGTGCATACAGTCTTCCAGAGAAAGAAAACAAACATACTGGTCCTTCGAGCCGGATCTTCAGGATGGACGAGCAGAGTGCCATACCTGGACAGCGAGTCAGTTCAAGATCAACGAAGGGCAAGCTGCCCAAGCGATTTATTTCCTCCGACGCAGACGTCGGAAACCTAACACAGCGAAGACATGATGAGAGAGGCGTAAGGACTAGTGCATCCGAAAGAAGAATAGCCAAAGAAGTCGAGAGACTACAGGCGGAGTTGGACAAGGAAGCAGAAGTGGCGAAGTTGCGACAAGAGTCGATCGCCATCCAACTCGATCTAATGAAGAAGGCAAGCACGGTGGAGAGGGCGAAGTCTGAGTTTCGTCGCCGCTCTTCCGCATCTGCTTACAGTGAGAACAGCAGCGAAGATAGAAGTGTCTACTCACCTTCCGATTTGGACCGACCAGTGGTCGGCACAGGACGTGGGTCTACACCACAGTCAGCTGATGGACTGGTCGAACCGACAGCCACAGTTACAGACGCAGCGTATGCGTCGGGTGATGTTGAGGCAAACCCGGTGGAGATGGTGCTTGGGCAATCGCCAATAGTGCCACCCAGTGTTACTGGTTCAGCAAGTTCAGATGCTGATGACGACGAAACAGAGGTGGATAGTTGCAGCTCCGACTACAGCAGAAGGCTGCCTCTGTGGTATGTTAGAGAACTAAGGAACAGAAAGTCGAACTCAGAACTGGCAGGGGACCAGCAGCAGCAGCAGCAACAACATGTCAGCAGATCCACACAGCAGTTTGTTGTCAGGAATCCAGGCAGACTACAGCCAACAACTACCCTGTCAAGGGCAGTAAGGACACCAGCACACCCAGTGAGCAGCAGACCAGTGCCAGCAGTGGATGCTGCTGTTCCGTCACCACCTGCTACTATCAGTGCAGTAGGCAGTAGCACCACCAGTGGAGCATCAGCAACTAGGCCGCATGGTGTGGACGGTCTCAGCGCACAGCGCGCCGTAGCCGCATCCAGTGCAGCGCCAACTCAACGCTCTGGCTTCGTGAGCCAGGCGTTCGCACCAATGACAGCACTTACAGCAGCCGCCCCTCCGTTTGTGCCGAAGCCCAGCGTGACGGTGCACGGAGCAGCTACCAGTAGTCAGCCGACAATCTCGCGTGAGGTCAGACCCGGCCTGACATACACCAGCACACCGGCGTATCCATATCAGCCTATGCCTGTACCACAGTACATGGTTTCAACAGCAGCACCCCAGTACCCGAGTAGCCAAGCACAAGCAGTGCCAGCCCACCAAATCGGACAGCATCAGGGTGCCCCGACAGTGACGCCGGCCTACCGCCCGAGTGGCCACCTCAAGGCACTGAAGCTGCCCATGTTTGATGGCAATGAAGACAATTACGTGAGATGGCGGCAGAAATTCATGGGACTGGTCGGCGCAGATCCGAATGTCACAGAATACTACAAGATGGCACGCCTGAGGGAGGCTCTCGCGGGTGGCTGTGCTGAGGAGCTGATAGAAGACGTCATGGACGGGCCGGGGGCCTATCAGGCAGCCATGCAGGAGATCGAGGCCTGGTATGGTGGTGAGGATCGTCAGATCGAGCGGCACGAGCAGGAAATCATTACGTGGCCGAAGATCACTACCATGAAGGACACTGAGAAGATAAAGAAGTTCGCATTGAAGCTGCGGAGTGTCCTGGTGAACATGAGGTCATGTGGTATAACCCCTGGCCGAGAGCTCTATCTCGCTGCAACGGAGAAAGTCCCGTCGTCAATGCTGCTCAAGTACTTTGAGAAGTATGATGACCAGAAATGCGATGTACAATCATTCGCGGACTGGCTGCTTCACGTCGTGCACATGATGCGGAAGGTGGACGAGCGCCAGCGCAACAGCTACAAGAGCCAAGCAGTGTCATCCAGCAGCAGTTCGGACAAGCGCCAGGCTGCTGCAGAAAGACAATCCGCTTGTGGCAGCCAGAGGACCAAATTGTCAGAGCGCCGTCAACACTACACTCTGACAACAGCCGCCGAGAGCAGCGAGCGGAAGTCAGCCGGTACTCCGAAGAGCTGCATCAAGTGCGGTAAGCAGCATCAACTTGCAGACTGCCATGAGTTCGCGAAGATGTCAGTTGCTGAACGCTGGAGCTTCGTGAAGCCCCTCAACATCTGCATCTGTTGCCTGAGACCGGCTAAGCATCGATCGGCAGAGTGTCGCAACAAGCCCTGCGACATGTGTGGGCGGAAGCACCACAGAATGTTACACTCGGAGAGAAAGCCCAGCGAACAGGCGCCGGTAGTTAAGGCACAAACCGCCGAAGGTGACAAAGCGGGTGCACATTCGTCTGCTGCCGTCAATGTCGGAGCCAGCTGCTTCGCGAGTGACAGTCTCTCCCAGTCTCAGCACGTATCGTTCATGACAGTGCCGGTGACAGTGAAGAATGGTCCTCACGTCGTCGAGGCTACCGCACTGCTAGATTCGGCATCATCCGTCAGCTTCATCAGAGAAGACCTGGCCAAGCAGCTGAGTTACAGCGGAGATGTCGAAACACTGACGACTACCGTACTAGGTGGCAAGACCATCCGAGGTGATCGTGAGAGAGTAGCGGTTACTATCACCCGACAGGGAGGCGACGAAGAGTCTGCATTCTCTGCCTTCGTCCTTCCAACAGTGACTGGTGCCATCAAGCCTGTCGACTGGAACGCGCAGAAACAGAACTGGACGCACCTGAGCGACATCAGGTTCCCAAGGCACCAGCAGCATGCTCAGGTGGACATCCTCATTGGACTCAATGCGGCACAGCTTCACACGTCCCTGGAGGAACGGCATGGCAAGCCTGGTGACCCGCTAGCTCGGTTGACACCACTCGGGTGGGTGTGTTACGGCGCAACTGACAACTCCTATGACCAGCCCGAGATGACATGTGTTGGTGCATCTCTCGTCGGGTCTACGCAGGACCTGAGACTAGATGAACTTGTCAACAGCTTCTGGGAGTTGGAGAAGGTCGGCATGGGTGAGACATACTCAACACCTGATGAGCAACGGGCAGAACAGCTAGTGACCGAGTCGATTCAACACGATGGATCGCGTTTTGAGATGGGCATCCCGTGGAGTGCGACGAGCGGGATTCCGAGCCTCGAGTCCAACGCAAAGCAGGCTGAGCAGCGGCTTCAGTCGTTGGAGCGCTCGCTCGCCAAACGACCGGCTGTGTACGAGGCATACCGGAACGTGCTGTCAACCTACATGACGAAGCACTACATCGAAGAAGTTGAGCCCACCACAGCGGCAGAGGACGGAAGTGATCAATGGTATCTTCCCCACTTCCCAGTCGTGAGAAATGATCGCGTGACCACCAAGGTGAGAGTCGTCTTCGATGCGTCCGTCAACTGGGGAGGTACGTCTATGAACGAGGAGATGTATGCTGGCAGAAAGACACAGAACAATATTGTTCACGTCCTGCTTCGCTTCTGCCTGGAGCCGGTGGCCCTGGTCGGCGATATATCAGAGATGTTTCTGCAGATCCAGCTACGTCAACAAGACCGCAAGTACCACCGCTTCTTGTGGCGGCACGACCCGCAGCACGAGCCGAAGGTGTACCAGTTCAACCGCATCGTCTTTGGTGTAAAAGCGTCACCGTACCTGGCGGGTAGAGCTCTCGAGGAGACCTCCAACAAGTTTGGCCATCTCTACTCAGCTGACGTATCGGCCGCGGTCCACGATGACACTTACGTAGATGACCTACTCCATTCGTGTGCTGATGATGACACAGCCAAGCGTGTGCGCCTCGAGGTGAAGTCACTACTCCATGATGGTGGATTCAACATCCGCAAGTGGCTGTCCAATTCTGCAGCAGTAATGGCCGATGTTCCAGAGGAGGATCGTGTGCCAGGAGCTGTTGCCGAGGTGGGTGATCACAGTCACAGCACGCTGCCATCCACGAAGACTCTAGGTGTCACCTGGAATGCTGAGTCCGACAAGTTCCTCTTCGTCTTCTCCGGCTGCGCAGCTGAGCAGATGACCAAGAGGACAGTCCTGAAGGAGATGTCCACAGTATTCGACCCGCGAGGACAGATCTGCCCGTTCACGATTCGCTCGCGGATGATGTTCCAGCAGCTATGCATCAAAGGGTATGGCTGGGACGATCAACTGGACGAGCATGATGCCAAGGCTTGGACGCAATGGTTCTCGGAGCTACCCTCACTCTCAGCAGTCCAAGTCGACCGGTGTTTCAAGGTGGCCACTCTCGACCCCTCCACTGCTGAGATCCAAGTGCACACGTTCACCGACGCATCTGATGGAGCGTACGCTGCTGCTACGTACATACGGTGCCAGTATCCAGACGGAACGGTGAAGACGACGCTAGCCCTGGCGAAGGCGAGACCATCTCCAATCCGCAAGCTCTCCATCCCAAAGTTGGAGCTGAAGGCAGCGGTCCTCGGCACGAAGCTGAGCCTCGAGGTGGAGAAAGCACTCAACCTGCCAGTCCGAGACCATGTATTCTGGACGGACAGTATGAACGTGCTGTATTGGGTCAGATCTCACAGCCGGAAGTTTCAGACCGACATCGGGAACAAAATCTCCGAGATTCACGCCGCTACCTCTGGAGCTCAATGGCGTCATATCCCGGGCCGACTCAACCCCGCAGACCTGCCAAGTCGTGGATTGACAGCGGAGAAGCTAGCTGACAATGAAGTCTGGTGGTCCGGACCGGAGTTCCTGTCGTCGCCTCCCGATCAGTGGCCAATTCGAGAGATCACTGTGCCATCATACGTCGGTGGAGAGACGAAGCGAGCCCTGGCATCTGCGTTTGTCACAACAGCAGCGGAGCCTGCACAGTCTCGCTTGTCACCAGCCAGGTACTCGTCATGGAAGAGACTTCTTCGCGTGACGTGCTGGTGCCTTCGTTTCCTCCGCAACTGCAAGCAGGCAGCTGGATCAACCAAAGCCAGTGCACCTGCCACATCAGATGGATTGCTGCAACCTCTCCCAGCCAGCAGCACAGAGGGGAGTTGCGACTGCAGCGGCAGTTGTGTTCCAGAACCGGAGCTGTCGGCTGAGGAGATGGTACTTTCAGAGAGGTACTGGTTCTCCGTTTCTCAACGCGAGTCCTATGGGCGCACCATCAGCCGTCTTGAGCGTGGCCAACCACTTGAGAATGGCGATCCGCTGCTGCCACTGAATCCAGAACTGGATACAAGTCAGCATCCTGCAGTGCTGATAGTCGGCGGACGGCTCGATAATGCTAGCACGAAGGTTACGGCATGCACACGCCGGCCCGTGATTCTCCCACCTAAGCACCAGATCACCTCACTCGTCATAGCATCGGAGGATGAGAAGTGTCATCACGAATTCGGAGTCAACTATCTACTCGCAAATCTCCGACAACGCTATTGGATCGTCCGCGGGAAGCAGGCAGTGAAGTCGCATCGACACGGTTGCAACGGCTGCAGACGATGGTGGAACAGGCCAGCATCCCAACTCATGGGACAGCTTCCTGAGCAGCGTGTCGCTATCACTGAACGAGTGTTCTCTGGCGTTGGCGTGGACTACGCCGGGCCGTTCTCGACAAGGCAAGGCCGTGGACGAAGCCGTGCCAAGCGTTATCTCTGCCTATTTACGTGTCTGGAGACACGTGCGTGTCATTTGGAAATGGCTTACGACATGACGGCGCAGGGGTTCTTGATGTGTTTCTCCCGATTCTGTAAGAGGCGAGGCACACCGAAGGATGTCGTCTCTGACAACGGCACCAATTTCGTCGCTACTGAAGCAGAGCTGCGAGACGCCGTGGAAGAGCTGGAGCACTCTGAAGATGTTGCGGCAGACATGGCGTCAAACAAGATCAACTGGAGATTTAATCCACCAAGCGCGCCACATCACGGAGGTGTGTTCGAGTCTATGATCAAGCTGGCGAAGCGTGCAGTGTACGCCGTTCTCGAAAATGGAGTGTGCAGTGATGAAGAGCTTGCGACCGCATTCGTTCATGCGGAGGCTATGCTGAACGCCCGACCTCTTACGAGTATCAGTGACGATGCCGAGGATCTAGAGCCGCTAACGCCACTGCACTTCCTCGTGGGTCATCGCGATATCCACCACGCCATCGATCATCTGGAGCCTGACGGACAGCCTGATCCACATGACAGGTGGAGAGTTGTACAGCGCCTAACTCAAGACGTCTGGCGAAGGTTGGTGAAGGAGGTGGTTCCAACGTTGAACGTCCGGCAGAAGTGGCAGCAGAAGAAACGCAACATCAAGGTGGGCGATGTCGTCATCTGTGTTGACGCACACACCCCTAGAAGTACCTGGCCACTCGGTCGAGTGGTTGCTGTATACCCGGCTGAGGACGGTTGTGTACGCGTAGTGGACGTCAAGATCCGCAAGCGGGTGTACCGACGTGCTATCAATGTCCTGATTCCACTCGAGAGTGAGCAGTGAACTGTTAGCAGTAGTGAACAGTTTCGCTCCGTGTGAACTGCTAGCAGCAACGAACAGTATTGTACAGCAAAGTGACATGTTCTTAGGGAACATTGATATGGTCATGCACCCGACTTGGAGATCATTATCTGCTGTTTTTCTCATCATCTTAAAATTCAAAATTGTTCTTAGGTGACAGTCCAATTCTCCGGCGTTGGCCGTTCCACTCAAGTTTGGTGCAGCGTTCAATCCATGCTATACATGTAGTGTGATCTCTTCTGTTTACGTTAGCTTGCTCTCATCCGTCAACCATAGTTCTGCCTTATTCGAGCAAAGAGGGGAGAAATGTATGATTTATGTGTCTGTTTTCACTACAATCATTCTCTAGTTCTGTAGGTCATGTATGGTATCACTCATGCGTGAAATCATGTGATCATCAACCCTGTTTTTCCCGGGCTTGTGCTCCTGTGCACGAGACGTATGCTTCAGATGTATGGCCTTTTTCCCGCTGCACGGCATCTCACGTGCAGAGTTTTTCCGCGTGCAGTGCTCTAGCAGCTTTGGTTTTTTTGTTTTGCTTTCTCCTTGTCTTGAAAAGAGTTCATGGTGAACAGTGGTTGAATCCAATTCTAAGTTTCTTCTCAGTTTTAGCAGTGTCTTATGTTTGATATTCTTAGTGCATACAGTCTTCCAGAGAAAGAAAACAAACATACACATGCGCTTATATGTGCGGAAGTACGGTACACGCATACATGTAGATTTGCAACAGGTCCAAGTGCATACTGTAACATTTATTAAAAAACCGCTGCTGAAAAGGTTAGGACCGCTTTGTCAAATCTATGAGTGCCAAACACGGAAATGGGTTGGCATGTAAACTTTACACTAGCATTGTTTTAAGGTTGACAAGTAATTAGTTGGCGTACCCATAAACGTTTCTTGCTCTCTTGCACAGCCAGCTGACGCTGCTCCTCGTACTCCAGACGCAGCTTTTCCAGCTCGGCATTATGTAAGTCGATGAGTTCTTCCTCCCGCTGCGGACGCAAGAAAAGCAGCAGCATGAACACCAGATGAGACTCCCAACATCGGCAGTGTGCTAGTATTTACTAGTGAAATACCCCTAACCCAGACGACAGAGTACAGTGCAAACAATGTAGAGCGACTACACATGGTGTATTCAGCTACTGGCTGCCATCAGCAGCAGCAGCGGCAGCAGCAGCAACTGCAGCGGTTGTGTTCTTCTTCCATTGGTGTTCTCGCATTCTGCTGATTGTAATAAAAAAACCTTTGTGCAGGGGAAGCAGTAGTCACGTGCCTCCGCAAGCATTCAACAAAACTACTCGCCATCAGCAGGCGCGTACGCAGGGGGGGGGGGGTTCCTGTTGCCCGGAACCCCCCAAATATTCCAAACGAGCAACGTTTTCAGGCATATTTTGGCAGGGCGCACGATCGATCTGGCAAGAATGCAAAACTTCAACAGATCGTAACTCAGTCAAATCTTGCTCAAATCCAACAATCCAAATATCCAGGTCGAATAGAAAACTCTCAGCTGTCGGTTGAAACAGTTTGCGACGCGCTGCGAGCACTGTCTTTTGAGATAAATCGTTCGTAAGTTGAGCCGCGATCTCGCAATTTCAAAAGCACACAGTGCGACTTGAGTATCGAGAATTTGAGATTTTTCGTCACGCTGACTTGCTCAAAATTGCAGGGGCTTCCCTTGTGATATTTTCAAGAGTACACAGCAAAAAAATCGAAACTCTGCGATGAAGAAAAATGAAATCCTGGAGCTGGACGCGTTTGGGCCTTTGGCCCAGTTTGGGGCATTTTTTCGCACCATCGCTGCACTTTACCGCTAGACATGTAGCATATAGCGCTGGATATGTACATGACTGTACTGTGTCCCGGCTATCATGGTCGACCTCATTCTCTACCTGACCCTGGTACCTTTCCACTTCCGGGAAGCCTAAGATAAGGAAGATTGAGTAAGTAGAACTGACGTTATGATCCAAAGAACACGAAAAATGCATAGTTTTGAAAATTTCCTAGGGCTCTTTAGAAAGGGTTAAAACGAGTCATTGTTCGCGATTCGGTTGGAAACTCCCCTAGAGGTGACCCTGCGTACGCGCCTGATCACTGTGATCAGTGACCATGGCAAGATTAACGAACAATGAGCTCAAAGGTCAATCTAGGGAGTGAGAGAGAGAGAGAGAGAGAGAGAGAGAGAGAGAGAGAGAGAGAGAGAGAGAGAGAGAGAGAGAGAGAGAGAGAGAGAGAGAGAGAGAGAGAGCAAGATGAGACAGAGACAAAGACAGAGACACAGAGAGAGAAATGACGAATAAAAAAATAAGGCGAGACAGAGATAAAGATATATAGCTACATGTAGATAGATCGGCAATACAGGGCGGGAATACACACCTTCTTGACTGCTTCATCTAAAGCAACTGCTGTATCAGGCGTGTCAGGCGTGTCACTGGCAGAAGCAGCTGGTGTTGAATTTGTTATGCACGAGAATAGATTTGGAAGATCGATATTAACCTTGAGCTGCTGTGCCAGCTGCTGACACGATTGATGCAAAGAAACAGCTATGCTTTCCACAAACTACAGAGAGACAACAAGAACAAAAAAAGCAGAATGGCAAAGTATGGCCCTGGTACATGTTCTACATTTTCAAGTGCTATAGAACTTGTTAGTACACCTGCATGTTCTGTGTGTTCTGTGTGTGTGTGTGTGCGTGTGTGTGTGCGCGCGCGCGCGCGCGCGCGTGTGTGTGTGTGTGTGTGTGTGCGTGTGTGTGTGTCCTCTACGTTGTACTGTCTGTACACATGTCCGACCTGTCAATGTCATCATGGTCATGCAAGCGTGAGTTCTGCTAATCCTTATCACAACGCGAATTTCGTCACTGAGTTTGTCCTATATTGGAGTGCGAACATCAATGCAAAATTCATCTTGCCAAACCTCCGTATTGATTGTCTGATGTGACGCACCTGCTTCATCTATAGCGGACACTAGCAAGAGGAGTTCCAGCGCAATTTGTGGCACGCATGCGCACACACGTATCAGCACATAGTTATAATACATGCAGCAGTCAAATACTACCCGCAAGCCTCCTCCTCCTCCCCCCCCCCCCCCCCCCTCCAGCACATAACTTACATACAGCCTCCCCCCCCCTCACCACCACCTACGCAGTACACACATACAGCCCCCTACCCTGACTAGCACATACAAACACGCTAACATCCTACCTCCTTTACAGCAGCTTGCTGCCCAACGCATCCATCACAGCTAGCTGTAGGCGGCCCGTTGTTAGTGACAGGTGCCTGTGCTGCCAGAGCAGTTGCAATCATCGGATTCGCCACGGCAGCGACATGGCTCCGGGACAAGGGTAAAATGGCTGGTACAACGGCTGCCGCTGCCACCATATCTGCTGACATACTCGGTGCAAACCTAACACCTTCCATGGGCGTTCTCTGAACGCCAACCACAGTTGTAGCATCAGCGGAACCTATGCTCGAAATGGGCGCGGGATTTCTTGTTGTCTGACACACTAGAGGACTGACACGACCGGAAAGTATACGAGGCAAAGGATGGAGATGAGAGGGAGATGCAATCGGCCGATCTGCCGGCGACGACAGGTCTATGGGTGACGTGGCTGAGCCGGGCACAGTGGCCATGGACGTGCCAGACGCAGAACCGACAGCCGTGCCAGCACCGTTAAACGCGTGATTTGCCGTGCTGCGTGCGTGCACCGCGTCGGACGGCGTGTACGCAGGACGGGCAGAGAACGGCGCGGATGAAGCTGCTGCCGCTGCTGCTAACGGGAGACCTGTCGTAAGCAGAGCCTGGCTGGAAATGCCGGCAGCATGCGTAGGTGTGCGTGTGTTCACTTCTGCTACTGCTTCTAGCTTTGGTGACGATCCTACAGGAACATAGAATAGAGCAGCAACAAGGGGCAGAGACGTTTGGAAAGGTCAAGTTTCATTAAAGAGCATGCAATCAAACACCAGCGGGGACTACAGTAGTACAATGTCAAAACAGTGACACATTTCGCATATACCGAATGCGCTCGAATAGGGCTTGAAAGTGATGACGTCAAAAACGGCCAGGGAGTACTAAGTTGACATCAGATTTCTATTTAGGATCCACTAAGGTGTGACTTTGCTATTGCCTCAGTATGTGGGTGCATAGCAACCCACTCATGTCGTATGCAGGGATGACTTTTACTTCGCCACCAGTTGAAACCCCGCCCCCAGTAGCCAAATCAGTCAGTTTCACTGGTTACATCACCTTGCTGTGAGTAAGACGGCTTGAAATGTGCTTGGATCCATACAAAAACTGGATCCAAGTGGATCCAATTTTTGAATTTTTGAAATTGTTGCTATGCTGTGACGTAGCACTTTCAAGCCCTATACAAGCCCAAGGCCCAAGCCCTATACAAGGTGCTAGTTATGTCACTGCTCTGACTGCCAAAGTGCCGGCCATAAGGACTTGCTGCCGCGATAATGACCATTGTATTCTACTTGAAAAGTAATGGCACGAAAAGCCTAGTCCAAACTATAATGGCTTCTGTGCTGAGTGTGCTACATGGAACTTACCAGTAGCTTGTACCGACATAGCTACTGCAGCAGCAGCAGCAGCAGCAACGGCAGGCTGTCTCTCAGCTGTTGTCGTGGCAGCAGCTGTTGTTGCTCCAGCCGTACTCTGAGCAGCTGGAGTTGCTACTGCACCATAGGAAGAAGTACTGATAGAGAAGCCTACGCTTGTGGAAGTACTCGCGCTGCCCGTGCTGCTGCCGCTTATCGTCGCCGTCGTCACTGGTGTCGTATCGCTACTAGCTGCTGCATCAAAGCTTAGTGATCTTGCAAGGCTTGTTACCGCTGCCAATACAGCAGTGTTAGCAGTGGCTGCAGTAGCGACATGGGCGTGCTGCATACTGTCAGTGCTGGCTTGGCTGGTGTTCTGCTGCTCTGCAGTGTCCATTGCTTCCTCTACATAACACATGTCGCACACACAGGTGAAGAAAGTTGGTGAGCGGATTCCGAACACGATCAATACAAAAGCATGCACACATGTGCATCCATGCACGCACGCACCCCCAGACAGACAAACGCACCCATACACCCCCAGACAGACACACACACAAATGACCAGGCACAGGCGATTTTCTTGGACAGCGGTACAACACAAACCAGCTAACGCCATTTTCGCGAAATGAACAATTAGATCACACGCATGAGTTAAACTGCATGTTGCGACTACAGTGTAGAGATCAGAGAGCAGCAATCCACCAACACTGTAGGGGTGTACATGTAATGCGCTCGCCACCAATACTACAATACGGCCTCTCTTATCAAGGCGCCTAGCAACCCAACATGCCTGCGTCTCGCAACCACTGATAACTCCAAAACAAAAGCTACAACTACAGTGGACTAGATCACTCTCCTCAGCGTGGCGACATGAAACATGATCAATACTTGAAGTACAGTAAAATCGGTCAAGGCGACCACTCGGATAAGGCGACCACCTGTCCTAGAAGACCACTGCAACCAGGACCAAGGGATGCTATTTCCAGTCAATTGACCCTGGCCTGGGTAAGGCGACCACCTGGTGACAGAGACCACATTTTGAAGGTCCCTTGAGCGGTCATGCTAGACAGGTTTCACTGTACCATTCTCAAGCACATATAACAAGTTACAGCGGAAGCTGAGGGCTATCAAGTAGCTCAACTTAATTCCACGGAAAGGAATACGTTTTCAAGATTCAACCGGAGGTTCTGAGGTTCTGACTACAAGGTACTGTAAGAAAATGTAAATATAACGAGAGGAAGTAAATCCAACGTTTTAATGAGTGACATTTCTTCGTTATAAATAGTTCTGCTGAGGAAGTAATGCCTCATATGTGTTGTGTGCGGATAAGCCCGAAGATTGCAATATCGTTAACGTATTTTCTCGTTAACCTACGAATTCTGGACGATTGTTTAATTTGCGACCCGTTATAATAACATGCCTTACAGTACCAGGTCGAAGTGGTGTCTGGACAGGAGAAGAGCTTCTACTGTACGCCCAGAAAGCAAATGTCAAAATAAGCTGCTTTTAGCTAGATGAAGACGGCAGTTTGGCAGCGAGCGGGCCGACGGCGTCTTAAAATACATGGCTGGTGTCTCATAAGCACTAGTCTCAAGATCAACAGTTACCGCAGTGTCTTGTATAGAAGCCTGTCTTGAATAGAAGCCTGATTTTCAAGATATACTGTCGGCACATACGCCTGGTTTTAGTGTTGACATACATAAAAAATACCTGTCTCGTATAGAAGCCTGCACAATATCCCTAAGAAAGTCATAGAAGCCGCGGCTTATATACACGACTTTACGGTATTTAGTTACTAACCTGTGCCATCAACAGTGGTGGTAGGGGAGAGGTGCAGTAACACGGTCGGCACAGCATCATCGCCATCATCAGTACAATCAGCAGAAGGTGTGCTACTAGCAGAGCTGGCGGTCGGAGCAAGGCAGTCGTCCGGCGCAAGTTCCGTCACGCTGGGCAGCACATCCATGGCAGCCAGAGCGGGAATGTCCTTACGCCGCTTGGCCTGCGACATGGGACTATCGCAGGCAGCAGTAGCACTGGCACCTGGTGTGGCCACATAGGCACCTGCCTTGGACGCGGTGCTGGCATCTCCACGGGGAGGTGTAACCTGCTCTAATGCTGAGCGACCGCGCTTCAAACCCGATCGTGTAGAATGCGGAGAGCCGCCCTTTCCACCTTTGGACTGCTCTGGTGAGGAGGTGTTAGATGCTGGTGAGCAAGGAGCAGAGAGATCTGAGACAACCAGGACTACGTCTTCAACACGATCATCGGCATTCTCATAGTTGAACAGCCACTGGCCACTATCTTCCGCAAACTCATCGTCTTCACCTTCAGACTCAGAAAACACAGCCTGCTCGGGTGTTGTCCGTCCTGCCTTGCCACTGCTGACGCTATGGCGGTAAGCCGGTGCTGATGTGTCTAACTCCTGTGTCGATGCCGGCTTTTCTGCTACTGCTGCTGCTGAGCCAGACTTTGTTGTTGTTGCTGCTGCGGACACTGCGGTCTCTGCACTACCTGAATGCTCGGCAGCCATTGCACCCACACTGGTTGCCATTACCGCAGGTTCTACAGCTGATGGGAGTTTCGATGTAGTTGATGGTGGTGCTGGCTTGCTAGAGACTGAACCACTCGTAGTGTGTTTCTTTGCCTCGCTTGGTATAGGGGTCTTGCTTCGCTGGCTCACAGCAGCACTACTAGAAGTAGCAGCAGTTGCTGTTGTAGGTAACGGAGAGGAAGAGCGGGAAGAAGCGCGTGGCCGCACCTCAACAGGAGAAACAGACCTACTATTCGGACCACTGGAGTCAGCATCTTGACTGGACGGTGAGAGTAATAGTGCCGCTGCAGGTAGTGCTGACAACAGCTTCTGCACTTCTGGAAGAGCAGTGCCTTCTAGTTCACTATACGTCTGAACTTCTTCAAGTGCTTGTCGCCAGAAATTCACATGACTACCAGTTGCAGCTGATGGGCCTACTCCCGGTTCTTTGGTGATTGGCTTTGTGTTCTTAACCAGCGTAGAATAACTATAGCAAGTAAAGACAGACAGAAACACACAGGCGCACACACACACAGGCACCCCCGCACGTATACACAGGCACAGACACACACACTTTTTTTTAAACCTTGTGACGCCCAATGCCAGAGGCGATGATGGTGATGCTACAGCAGAAGCCATACCAACTTGTACTGGGATTGCACCATTCAACAGCTTGCAAGGCTGAAGAATTGACCACCACTATTCTGCCTGGTCTACACCACACAGCTTTGAAGTGGCTTTTCTGGCCAGTGAACCCCTACTTTTTGGTCTTGTTCATTTTTCCCGAACACACATCACACCACATACTCCGGCATGCACTGGCTGTTGGTAACCACCCAGGAGAATGAAAGAAAAGACAGGAGCAGTCTGACACACACACACACACAGACGGGTCAGTCAAGTGAATACAGTCGTCCCTCTCTAATCCGGCACCTTTTGCAACGGCATTTTCTGCTGGATAAACAAGGGTGCTGGATTATCAAATCCTGCCCTCCAACCCGGACCACATGTTTAATATCATACATGTTTGTGTCGTACGTCAAAAAGTAGGGATTTTCTGTGTCAAACCAAGTACTTTATGGAATGCATGTCTATAACATAGTAAACGATCATACTCTTGGGAATATCTTATGCACTAGCATAGGATATTCCCAAGTGTATGTTACATGTGTTGTGTATGTTACAATGGTCCCTGGCCGTATGCGATGTACAACTGCTGGATTAGAAAATCGAATTATGTGCAGTTTGAGTTATTGGTTGCAGAAAATCGCTGCTGGAGGCGGAATTCAAGTGCCGGATTAAAGCGTAGAAAATGAACTGAAAAAAATCCGTTTTGCCAGAAAGTGTGCTGGTTTGCAAGGGCGCTGGATAAACAAGTGCCGGATTAGAGAGGGACGACTGTATAGTGATCACGACCGCTACGCTCCCTTAGTACTTACTGGCTGTGATCGCCGAAGAACATGAGTTCGTATTTTTCACCTTCACGGGACTTGAACGTATTCATCACCTACACACCGCCAGCAGCAGCAGCAGCAGCAGCAGGGCAGAAAGTGAAGAATACCAAAACCATCAGTGGTCAACTGCCTCAGCCAAAACCTGTTATACCGTCTACAACTGTGAGAAGCAACTTTACAGTATTTATATGAAAACACCGGGTGATTTTCCCAGGATGAAAACACCGGGTGATTTTCCCAGGATGAAAACACCGGGTGATTTCCCCAGGATGAAAACACCGGGTGATTTTCCCAGGATATCCAGCATGTTGATCAGGTGTGTCAGGTAAACTGCTCAGAGGTGTGCTAACCCAGGCCAGGGTTCTAGCCACAGGAGGGTAGGCAGCACCCCCTCCTGTGAAATGTGCCCCCCCCCCCCCACACACTATTTTGACCGCCTACTAGTAGGTTGACATTGCAGCCGGGGCCTTGCAATAGCATACCTTTGCTGGCCAAATCGGGTATCCACGCAGCTTTGCCCAGACTAGCTTGTGACCCTTAGTCTGCAGCAGGCACAGAGATACACAACACACATACATTGCAATGGGGATGTGTGTGTGGGAGAAGTGCGTATCGTGAGCAGATTTCTGTAGTATACTAGTAGAGTGGCACAACTGCATGGACAGCCACAGGTCAGATGTGAAGTAGCAATATCACAAAGCACGACAATGTCTACATGAGTGAGCATCGAACTAAGAGCACAGTAAAACCAAGAGCAGATGACCCCAAGAGTGTGCAACTCCAGCTATGGGGTCTGCGACGGCAGAACTTCACATCACGTGATGAACCCGTACACATTATTTGCACTCTGTGCATGATTGATACAGGGTTGTACGAAACCCAGCTTTGGGTACAACTCTCTTGTGATCACTTTGCACTGTTTTCCAGTGTAACCTTTTGAAACGTGTCACGCGATGTGAAGTTCTGCCGTCGCAGCACTGCATAGAGGTTGTGCAGGCAGTTGCACACTCTTGGGGTTATGTACTCTTGGTAAAACCTGTAACTAACGACCACCCCTTGGTGCCAGAAAAAGCGGTCTTTAGTGGCAGGTGGTCTTTAGTAAGAGGTTTGTATTGTGAGACAGTCCGTCCGTGCCTGACTCAGTGGTCGGTAGTACCAGGCTGGGCGCTAGTCATGGTGGTCGTTAGTTACAGGTTTTATTACACACGAACATCCACGAGAAACATAGAAAAACTTTTTTAATAGTGTATACGCAACTAATATTATACATGTAACATCTTCCAGTTCCGTTTTTCCCTCACAGCGAGGATGGTGCTGATGATGAGAAATTGATTTTACAATCCATGCATACTAAGTGTTGTTCCTCTGTCGCAATGGCATGCTTTCATGTACTCTTCACGTCACAAGTTTGTACAACGTCTATTGTGAGCAGTGTTGCTTACACAATTCGGATTGGGCGTGCAGTAGCTACGCGCAGACGAATTCAACTTTGTCATGTGTGCAAAGCACGGTGGGCATAACTCCAGCAGGACCACCTGAACATTCGAGACAGGCAGGCAGGCAGGTAACCATACACATAGACATACACATACACATAGACATACATAGGCACAGCCATCCACACACACCAGTAGAGCAACACACAATGGAAGCTGTGCTCAGTCGCACAGGTGTTGTGTGGAGCTTCGGCGAGAACGGGCGCTTGCCAGTAACGGGCGCCTTCTAGCCCCTTCTGCCTGGCACCGGTACTGAAACCGCATCCCGTGAGCAGCAATGTTCAGTGCATGGCTCTGTGACCGTACCACTTGGGCTGCGCAGCCTGCACAGTTCCAGTATTCTTTGGCTGGGATACCAGGTGCCATACATGTATATATCCATATATTAAATCATGGTATTTATTTTTCATTGCTATCAGGTTCGGCCTCATTTTCTCTGTGCTGTGCTGATGAGTCCACAAAGGACGAAACAGTTCTGTCCACAGATTGAGTATAATCATGGTAAGTACTAGTAGACACCGCAACCCCACTAAATCACTGCAAGCACAGACACAGATGTACCATGTAGATGTAGCACGTGATGGCAGACATGTCATATGCGCAGCAGGCACACAGTACATTCGGGAACGGGTGCTCTATGCCGCAGAACGTGCCTTCAACGAACACCCACCTGATCACGGCAAAAGCGCACCATGTTGCGCGCCATTGTGGTGAGCTTGTGGCCCTCTGGATGAACAGGCAACACAAACGGGGAAACCAGATATAACATCAATTGTTGAATAATTAACTGACATCCATGCAGGCTATATCAAACACCACAGTAATATACCAGCATGTTCTAGGTTCGACCTGGTTCCATAGCTCAGATGGTTGGAGCACTGCTCATGACAAGCAAAGTCCCAGCTTTGAGTCCTTGTGGGGTTGGCGTTTTTTTCTCTTTTCAGGCAGTTCACTTCCCCGACTGATCTGATCCTTTGAATGGCCATGCATGAAAGTACTTCTCAGTTTTCATTACATACACGGATCGAACACACTGTCAGTGCGAACTTCATCTCCCCTTTCCAGCCCCCCCCCCCCCAGGAACCTATGAAAGCTGCACCCTTACCTCCATTGTAGATAATGCAGTTGTGGATTATCCACTTTGTTTCTTGCAAAAATTCGCGCGGGTTTTGAAACACTGCCCCGGACAGGCTTCGCAATTTCTGTACAAAAACAACAAAAGGCAGAAACCCAACCACCGTTTAAAGCAGCTACTGGAACTCTCGTCGTTGGGTATTAAAACCACTTTCAAATAGAAGCCCACAAAATAGCGTATTGTAGCTAGGGCTGAAACAATTATACCGATAACTCGCATATCGATCGTTAAGAGTGGAATCGATAATCGTTAGTGTTCAAAACGAGTGCTAACGATGTTTATGCATGTACAGTCAGACCTCGCATAACCGCACACATCCGTTTTCCACAAAAATATCCGGATAGGCGAGGGAACCGGATAATTGAACACACATACTGTATGTATGCATGGCAAATGCTGTAAATCGGTAACCAACGGTCTTCTTCCGGATGGCGAGGGATCCGGATAAAAGAGGACCGGATAAGCGAGGTCTGACTGTATATCAGTGACAGTATTCTAGCCCTTGCACTCCATCCGATTGCGAATACGAGTACAATCATGTACTTTCAAGCGCGGTAAAAATGACTTGTGGCTTTGAAAGAGATCGGGAGAGAAGACTTTGTCTTTTCAGTTCATTTGTGGGAAAGGTCAGAGCAGTTGCCGGAGGGTGATGACAAAATTCTTCGCTCTAGAAACAACGTGAAATCCTCTAGCTCATGTTGATAAACCAGCCAGATGTCTACAGATGTCAACAGTGCGGAGCCACAAATTTCTAACGTAAAGGTATCGCCGAATATCTTCATAAACTGGTGTTCGAGGTACACGGGTAGAGCCGACAAGAATCGATAAAACCAATATATCGATCATTATTGATATTGGTTGATTGTTAAGAGATATTGAATGATCGTTTCAGCCCTAATTGTAGCCGAAATTATTGATCGTGGCCATGCACAATATATAGCCGGGCTTCAAAACAAGCCGAGCAGGGAGTAACGTGGTGGCCGTGGTCGGTGATTCAGCTTCTACAGAAATCCCCCACTACCCTCAGGATCTGCCACCTCAGCTTCTACAGAAATGCCCACACCACCCTCAGGATCTGCCACCTTAGCTTCTACAGCTCCTAATGCTACCGAAAGGAAGAGGCCCAACCTACACAAATGCCGTGCTTCTCACTGTGAGGATTTACAACCTCTCCCGAAGCTCAAGTTGCCATCTCCCAGGCCTACAACGCTATTCCAAACCGTCATCATTGCGGATGGAGAAGAAAAAGGTGTTCAAGCAAAGTACAGCAAGACTGGACACGACAATCATGGTGTGCCTGGGAAACGATTGAGAAGATCGATGCGCAGGACGACGGTAGCAATACACTTTGCTCCTTCAACAACCACACCATGTCGCTAAAACGTTCAAGAGATGAAGAAGATGATGATGATGATGATGATGATGAGTATGAGCGCTTCGTCCGAGTACAACTCTTGAACTGGTATTATTTGCCATTGCGAATGATATATCAAATGCAAGTTATCAATAGCAGTTCATCACTTGAATGATTAACCCTTTCAGGGTTCAGGGTCACAGTTCATTTACTGAAAGCTCATAATTTTGCAGTAATTTTGAGTGTCATTTTCAATTCTTATTTCATCCTTAATTTTTCATACGTGAAGTGATGCACTGCTATTGATATCCTGGTGTGTTCTAAGGCTATGGAAGTGAGGTAGATAGGGAGGTAGAGGAACGAGCAGACATGGAGAAGGAGACCCGCATCGCACCACTCTCAGACACATGGTAAGACGATCGAATTGTTTTGAAATGCCAGTTCACTCAGAGTCAACACGATAATAATTTTGAAAACACTGGACATACCACTCCACTATACAGTTCACATACACACACACACACACACACACACACACACACACACACACACACACACACACACACACACACACACACACACACACACAATAATACCCCATTTGGGGGGGGGGGGGCAGGACATACATGTAATACCCCATTTTTGGGGGCAGGGCATGTACCTACAACAGAACGCTCCCCTTGCTCACTACTTCTGCCACCTCAGCTTCCACAGAGATTCCCCACTACCCTCAGGATCTGCCACCACAGCTTCTACCGACCGTCACCCCACTATCCTCAGGATCTGCCACCTCAGCTGCTACAGAAATCCCGACACTATCCTCAGGGTCTGCCACCTCAGCTATAACAGGAATCCCCACCACTCTAAGGATCTGCCACATCAGCTTCTCCAGAATCTCCCCACAGCTTCTCCAGACCCCCCCCCCCCCCCCCCCCCTCAGAATCTGCCACCTCAGCTTCTCCAGAAATCCTCACCATCCTCAAGATCTGCCACTGAGAGAGAGAGAGAGAGAGAGAGAGAGAGAGAGAGAGAGAGAGAGAGAGAAAGAGAGAGAGTGTGTGTGTATGTGTGCGCGTGAGTGAGAGAGAGAGAGAGAGAGTGAGAGAGAGAGAGAGAGAGAGAGAGAGAGAGAGAGAGAGAGAGAGAGAGAGTGAGAGAGAGAGAGAGAGAGAGAGAGAGAGAGAGAAGAGAGAGAGAGATAGAAAGATAATCAGATAGATAGATAGATAGATAGAGAGAGAGAGAGAGAGAGAGAGAGAAGAGAGAGAGAAGAGAGAGAGAGAGAGAGAGAGAGAGAGAGAGAGAGAGAGAGAGAGAGAGAGAGAGAGAGAGAGAGAGAGAGAGAGAGAGAGAGGAGAGAGAGAGAGAGAAACTCACCTCCCTGAGTGAATCCAATGAGACAGGGTGAAATATATACTTGGGGTAATCCTTGAATATCTCCACAGACACTGGCATGGTAAAAACATTCGCCTGTGCAACACCAAGATCAACAAATGGGACAGCGTAGAAAGTAACTTATTTGCTGCTGCATGAATTTACATACAGTACACATGAGATGCAGGTCACATGACAGAGTGGAGATGGCAACAATCTATAAAACCTCTTGTACGGGAAAATAACGAAATGAATGCAGTGCTCGAAAAACATGACCAATTGCCTAGTAAAATTAGCCATGTCACATGACCCATGACCATGTGATGTGGCCACAGTATACCATAACCTCTATAGAGGAGTGGGCATGTCCAAGATAAGGAGTAGTAGGCTGGAAAGACAAGACAGTCCTGTAGCAGCTATGTGCAGCTGCACAGTATGACACATCCTGCTTGTATACACACATTACCATCCAAAAAATACTGGAGCTCCACCATACTTTTTCCCCAATCCCCCACGCCTCAACATCAAAGGAAGAAAGACGCAGCCATGCCGTGGGTGTACTGTAAACTAAAAAGCTGGTCCTTACTCCTTGACAGGTCTCCATCTGGTCCAGTATGAAGTAGTACATCTTCTTCACACTATTGTGGTCAACTTTCACCGCACTCTTCACTTCCTATCAGCAGACACAGAAACATTCGCAGAGAATATGCATTAGGGTCCCTCAACTCAAACACTCAAATGCGCTGCCATTGCTGCATACGTCACTTGAAATACTCACTGTGATGATGGGCCAGGCCTGAACACTTGGTAAACATTTCAAGTGAAGTATACAGCAAAGAGAGCGTGTTTTGAGTGTTTGAGTTGAGGGACCCTAATGTGCAAATGGCTGCAGTGGAGTCTGCGAGTACTTAGAAAAGAGAATATATCCAAAGAGAATATACACAAGAGGGGACTGGAAAGTCCAACCATAAGCAGGGTATGACCTAAGCAAGGGTATCTAAAACTGTTTATACGTTGTACAGGCACACACGATCCTGCAAGAGGGAGAGAGAGAGAGAGAGAGAGAGAGAGAGAGAGAGAGAGAGAGAGAGAGAGAGAGAGAGAGAGAGAGAGAGAGAGAGAGAGAGAGAGAGAGAGAGAGAGAGAGAGAGAGAGAGTGAAAGAGAGAGCTCACCCGGCACACAGGGCAGAGCCAGTCACCCTCTGGTTCGGCGGGTAGCTGGGCACACTTCAAGTGGAAAACCCGTGGACAGCCATCACAGCAGATGACCTGACCTTCCTTGTGGCACTGCCAGCAGTAATTGTCATTATCTGCATCCTACATCACAAACATACATGCGTCAATACATGCACGCATGCACCGACCCACGAGTGCGCACACACACAAACACACATATGTATACACACGCACACACACACACACGCGCACACACACACACACACGGTCTACTACTCATTCGGTCAGTGAAGTCTGGATCTAACATTGTTCGTGATTTCAAAACTCCAAATTCACCTGCCTGCGGTTGAATGTGCCTGTGGTGCATGCATGCATGCGTGTGCTGCAAAGGCAGATCTTTTTTGAAAAGTAGAAAAGGGGGACATCCTAGTAACATGTATCATCAAATCACAAGTGCAGTGCATGAAACAAGGCCATGGAGATGTAACTCGGGCGTTAGAACTGTAATTTCACAATTTTTCGGTACTTTCGGCGGATCTGTTTCATACCTAAAATTCCAATACACCGAACAAAAACTAACACACATAATCCAATAGGGAACTGATTCTCTGTACCTAAAATTTCTGTTCACCTAACCTGGCCTCTTGCCCTCATCCCGAAAATATTGAGCACCGAAAATTTCTGAAATTAGAGTACTTTGAAGTGTACACCCCTATTCTAGTACTGGTATGTGTAACGTGGCCTGGAGCACTAACTCCTCTCTCTTCCACTTCCGTGCATGCATGAACATGTGCAGGTCAGTACACTGTCATAGCATCATGAGTATACAGTGCGGGGATGTGTAGATCACTGTACAACGCCATAGGCACAACAGGAGATGGGCAGGACGTAGAACACAGCAGCGTACAGCCACGCTAACCACCACCACCGAGCAGAGCAAGGAAAACAATCACGAGTGCTGGGCCCTGGCCAAACACTGCAGTACAGTGGATCCTGGACTTCTTAGCACATTTACAAGTACAGTGTTTTTCTGAACTATTTCATCACCATCAGACCATCAGTGTCTCTCCTAGCAGAGTCAGAGTGAGATCATCATAAGTCTAGCCACTGACAGAACAGTAGTCTGTTACTGAATGCGACAGGGGAAACCAGTTGAGGCACAGCAGACTTTTGATGAGTACAGTGACAAATATGCACATAGTGTTCACACATATCAGCACATGCATGTACACACATATCGGCACACGCATGTACACACAAACAAATAGAAACATACAGGAACACCCACGCGCACGCGCGCACCCACCCGCCCACACACATGCCCCCACAAACACCCACAACCACACCCACGTACCATTCCCTGGCCAGCGCGCAAGGCAGTCAACCTTACCCCTCCACTAGATGAACCGACTGTCTGAGCTGGTGCACTTGCATCTAGAAATTAGAAAGACAAACAGGCAGGTGTTTATGCAACAGTCGGCACAAAAGTAACCATCTACTTCTATTAAAAATGATTTTGTGCTCCAACAAGTAAATACACATACCGTAAAGTACATAGCAGACTGAGCGGAGGACGTTCAGGTTGGTTGTAACTCTGAGTTTCAAGCCGCTAGGCAATCATCAGACAATAAATACTCGGATCTACCCAACAGTATGCTTATAAACACATTGGGCAACAAGCATAAGAAAATTTAGCGCTAAATCTGGTGGCGTAAGGTATGGGGAGAAAGCTGGCACGGGCCAAGGCGCTAGGACAGTAGGAGAGGCAACAGGCGAGTGGAAGTGCCGTAAAGTTGTGTATAAAAGCTGCGGCTTATGTGACTTTGTTGGGAGAATTTTGCAGGCTTCTACACAACACGGGTATTTCTACGCGAAGCATGAAAAAAGAGAAATAGGTCCAGTTTGGAATTGTCGTAACTCAAAGTTTCATGCCACTGCAATCATCAGACAGCTGATAATAAAAACCAAAAACTAATCAATATGAATAAGATCATGCGTGATATCAAGAGTCCATAAACAAGAGTATGCAACTGTGATCTCTTTTCTATGGGCCAGATGCGCGGCGCGCTGCCTTCATTACATCATTCAGCTGCAGTCCGCGCACTGCAGAAAATCAAACACCGCACTTTCCCTCCAGTTTGAAATGAACTTTCGTACGGAACTGGAGTTCACGCGCCAGAATTCAGAGATTGTGTAGGTACTGGAACGAATCGAGCAAAAACGGATGGGCTCGCGCGAGAAATTGAGAGTTTGAATGCACGCTTTCAGAGCGTGATGAAGGCAAGTTACGTAATGAAGGCAGCGCGCCGCGCACTGACCCATAACCACAGTTGCATACTCTTGTTTATGCACTCTTGATGATACTTGGCGCTTAGATTGACATTGCTCTACGCGATTCACGAATGAAGGCCAGTATCACACAGACGTTGGATGATGTGAGGGATAAGTAATGGCCTTACTAATGGGATAATGTTAGCACTGACGTATGCCGAAACCAGTCATGACTGTGCCGGGCACTGTCCTTGCGCGGCAGCTGCGACTGGCTGCTACTTGTTCTACTATGTCACGCTAGGTGAGAATTTTTTTAATGTAATAGAGAGGTTCTGCAAAACGAAACTGCGTACAAACTTTCGCTCCACGTAATGAAGTGAGAAACTTCGCATGAACTTTTGCAACTTTGGACGCAAAACTTGCAGGGAACGCGAAATGAACTTTCGTGGGAAGTTTCGTGAGACCGGGTCATGGTGTACGTGCATTTGGCGCGTGCAAACTACGAAAATGTGTAAAACACAAAGTTCGCGCGAAAATTCGTACACATTTTCGCAAGGCCTGTCGCGAAACTTTGTTCGAATTTTCGTTTTGCAGAACCTCTCTATTATTTGTTTTCGTGGCGGCATTCTGACACTACTTATAGTTCGCTTCTTTTGTTCAGGCTCTTCAGGTTATTGGCATTGTTCAGTATAGTAAGCTGCAAAGGCACAACCTATGCAGAATCTTATGTAGTAACCCAGCCCAGCTGCTAGCACAACGCAGTTGGCTGAACTCTTGTGTTCATATTCACCCCCCCCCCCCCCCCACCCACGCACCCCCCCAGACCCCCTCCCCCCCCCCACACACCCAGACCCCCCCCCCCCCCCCCAGACACACACACAGCAACGTAAGATACACTTACCAAAATTAGGCCCTCGGTCACTGCGCCATAACCGTGTGTGAAATAGATGTGGTGAGAAAGACGAGCAAAGAAGCACACAACAACAACAACAACAACAACATCAACAACAACAACAACAACAACAACAACAACAACAACAACAACAACAACAACAACAACAACAACAACAACAACAACAACAAGCAGCAAGCAGAAATGCATTGACTGAGACTATGGACATATTCGATTGGTAGGATCCGGATCGAGATCAACCGGATCCACTGGATTCACATCCTTTCAATTCGTCAAATCCAGATTGGGATCCGGTGGAATGGGATCCGGCCAGCCCACCTCGGGGAGCAGGGTTGACCGGATCCAATGGATCCTTTTTCGTTCCACTCGACCATTTATGGCACAACAACTCCACATTTGGCGGGACCAAACCCACGGAAACGCTTTTCCTTGTGCCTTCTACACATCAAGGTGGTCGGCGTCAAGATGCTCGGAATCCATGGAGCTCATTGAAGCCTGGATCGGGGGACAGTACGCAAACCTCATCAAACAAATCAGATGAGGTCTTCTCATTTCGCAGGATTCTTACAACTACCAGCTACAAGTTGACTACAACACGAGCTTTGAGTCGGCGAATCTCGATATCTCCTGTATCCATGATGCTTGCACAATAAAACAGGAACTGAAGAAGATCCGGCGGGGAAGAAGAACAACTTGACAAAGTGCACGTGGAAATGCTGCCCTGACAGTGTTTGCAATGATGTTCAAATTACATAGTGGAATCTGGTCCTAGTATGGAGTCTACAACGTTCACATATCGGAACCCTGCCTGCGGACAGTCACTTGTTCGACTTCAAATTCAGTTTTCAAAAATTGATCGGTACCTTGACAACCCAAGGCAACTTTCAATCGCCATTTTAGTGGTCATCATGAAGACGACTAACCCTGCCAGCCATGGTTCCATTGGATCTGGAGGGATCCGAATGTGATCCAGGAAATGGATCAGGATCCGGATCCTACCAGTCGAACATAGCCGACGTAAGGTCATAAACCGTGGTACAGAATAGCATGGACTGTAGCAGTGGTAGGCGTGCATGCCACATGCTAGCGATTTGCCTCTTAAAAAAGCCAAAACAATGCTTCCTAAGGGTGTGTATTTATTCCTAGATCCTGAAGGTGGGCCTGGCCTGAAAATTTGGATTTTATTAATTGATTATTTTTGGAAGAATTTGTAGCTGAGACCGTTTTTGGGTAGTGGTGTATAACTGTGTGCAACACAATGCTGTCTGCAATTTCCGTGATGCTCCCAAACTGCAAAGAAATCTGCACTGATACAACGCTCCATGGATGGTATTTCTGACCAACCAAGATGTTGCCAAACAAACATTGAGCTACTAGTACACCGAAATCCCAAATCCTGGTGGTGCTTTCGGACCAGGCAGGTACATTTGCTCACACACACCCAATGTCCACTTCAAGTTACCAATCCGAATCACAACTACATGTACGCACAGAAGTAACAGCGCTACACACCCCACAGCAACAGCAACAGCAACAGCAGCAGCAGCAGCAGTAGCAGCAGTAGCAGCAGCAGTAGCAACAGCAGGACACAGACATACGTTCAGTAAATCACCTACCCGTGTGGATACTGTACAGGATCGCTGTAGCGCTGTTTCCAAGTTGTCTTGTTTGAGCGACTGGATCGACGTACCTCTCCGCCATCACCAGCGTCAGGTCCAGCACCAGGATTACCAGCAGCTACTGCTTTGCTTGAAGAGCTGTTACGCCTTGATGCTGGCTTCATGCTGCTGGGTGTGGGTGATGGCGACAACTCTCTACCAGATTGGCTTGTCTGCCTCTTCCTTGCAACTGTACAAGCAGAGTTATCACTATTCTCAAGAGCACTGCTTACACTTCTTTCACCATGTGCATCAGACAAGTTGACTGCATTTGAAGTGTCTTTCCTAGCAAACGACGCCTCCACCTCTTTGTCATTGCAACTGTCGCTAGCACTGGTGATGGCTTCAAGATGTAATGCGTCCGTGCAAGAGTCGCTCACATCCATCCTGACTTCGCTTGTCACTGAACTGGTGGCCAGTGCACTAGCTTCATGCAGCTCACCTCGATCTTCAGCTGTTAGAATTACTGTGCTAATGGAGGCTGTGGAAGGTGAGCTTTTGACCGAGTTGGTGACAGCGGAAGTACTATTATCGGACTGCGGGTCACCAAGACCTTTCGTCTTGCTTGTAACTTCAGTATCTACATCAGCTGTTTCTTTCTTGGGTGAGACAGCTGTCACGGTCAGTTGCACTGCTGAATCAACGGTTTTATCAGAACCCTTAGAAGGCTGTTTACTGGTCGCAATCTCAGAGGCTCTTTTTCCAGCAGGGCTGCCTTCAAAAGTTGGATGAGAAACAGATGTTGGAGACTTGGGATTCGTTTTATTCGGTGTTCCTTTTCGATTTGGTGACTTTGAATTCTCGCGCGGGTGTCTTCCCAATGACCTAGGAGATAAATCTCCCCGTGACACTCGACTGGATGGAGGAAGTCCTGGAGAAAGCCTCCCAGAAGATGTCCTGCTCGAGTGGCCGGGCTTTCCCGTCGCTACTGATCTTAGACCTGGTCTTGCCGGTGATGCTACTGTTTGACGTGTAACGCGCCCGTCGCCTCTCTCAGATTGCACGCCGTTGCTGGGTTCAAGCAATGTTTCCCTGTGCCGCTTCATCATGCACGGCCTCCTGGCGTCACCGCTGACCGATCACAGCATGCAATCCCAGAGTCCACGGCGGATATACTTGCACCTGCACAGTCTGTAAGCATAGTGATAAACATATCGGGCCAAAGACAATGCGAGACGGACAGGTTACGCAAAGAAAATTTAAATCAGCTGCTTAGTCTGCTGGTGTGCCAAATTAGGAAAGATGTGTTCTTCAGTATTGATTCAATGCTGTCTGAGAATGGACACTTTTACAACATTTGCAGTATCATTATTATTGTTTTGTGTGTGTGTGTGCATTTGTCAGAAAACAGCTTCCCTCAATAACCTACTCAATTCGATACGTCATTCACCCATCACTTTTGAACAACATTGGCCTCACCTCTCCGGCGAGTGGACGGTGGGTTCTCGTCCTCAAAACAATCGCTCAGCAGCTCACGTCCTGAAGACCTCAGCAACTCACGACGTTGTTTCACTCAAAATCAAGCATAATCATTCATCAGAGGCAAGATCACACACATCACAGACACAGGCGCACATGCACAAGCGCTGGCGATCACAGCAGCATTTTTGTACTCTTCCAGCTTCCTACAAAGAAATCCGCGCGAAAACGGAGACCGGGTAGATACAAGACTGCTCTGGATGGCACTCACATGGCCGATATGGCTAGTGACCTGCCACCTGGTCACTATGCAAATGCATGGTGCGTGCCGCAGGGACCGTGGTTGGTTCCCCGCATGCATGGTCGGCGGGGATTCTACGCGCGCTGCTGAATCTACATGAGCCACACCCGGTACGGGACCCGAGGTCTATGCGCGAGTGTGAGGTGGCCTGAGCTATTCCGGAATCTTGGCCTCCAAGTCCAAGTCTTTGTAGCCTAGCCTCATTTTGAGTCCTCAGAATTCAGTCAGAAAACAAAAGCCTCCTCCGTAGACAAACTGTAAACTCGGGCCTCAAAACTCAAACTCTGCAGCCTCTTCAAAAAGACCAAAGCGTTTTCACCGGACCAAAGCCCCCCCCCCCCCCCAGGGAAGAAGGACCACTGGGCACTGGGCACTTTCGCAGAACCTAAGCCTACGGCCTCTGTAATAAGCTGCACTGAATACAGTAGTCCACACACAGTGTGATCATCAAATACAGTAGTCCACACACAGTGGGATCATCAGCAATTGCCTGACGGCCGTAACTGCGCAAGCAAAGCATGAAGCTCTGTCGGCGGAGTCACGGTTTCCTGTACTGTTGTATTTGTGCCTTTGCTGCATGCCACACTCTCCGTCTCTTGCAGTCTTGAACGGACACCCGGGATTAGAGTCCCGCTCAGCCAGGTCCATATGGGCTTACAAAAAGCCAGTTCGACACAACTCAAGTGTACTCGTCACTGAGTCAGGGTTCTCACCAAAGCGACATAGCGGGGCGCTGCACCCTCCTTCACCTTTTGACCCCCCCCTAGGGGTGTGCGGATAATGCTCGAAAATGTGGCAGATTCTGGTCGAAAAGCAGTGAAATTGGCAGAACCATACAAACCTTATGGCGGGCAATTCCTCGAATTCTGCTCCATTTCTTTATCCACATGCCAAACATGCATGAAACTTACCAGAAAAAGTACCGAATTCTGCCAATTGTTCTGCCGGCATTATCCGCATATGCCTACCCCCCCCCCCCTTCAAAATGAGTGTGCCACCCTTCAGAGCGCTAGCGCCACCCTCAGTTTACAGGGGCGTCGGACACGGTACGGTCACTACGGTATTGACCGTACCACTTTTTGCCCCAGGTACCCCGTGAATCAATAAAATACACTGATCTAGACTCTAAATTTCCAAAATTTTCCGCTCCCCCATCCCTCCCCCGCGAGTAAACTATACTTCAGATGACTGACCGTACCACCCTAAAATACCTTCCAAAGCCCCTGGACCCTGGTTTATAGACCTTATTCGATAACGTGATTTTTGGACTCGCCTCCAGGGATTTGTTGTAAGCTGGGGCACGCGTACGTGAAACGAGTGGCAAGAAAGGCCCAGTTTGTACAAGGGAGTAGTAAAATACCGGTATTTTTCTACTCCTATGTTCCCACGCCGAGTCCACTGTGCACTGAGTACAGGTCTCTTGCCGCTCCCTGGTTCCCGGGACCCCGGTTCACGTGATTGTGACGTTTATCGAATAAGGTTTATACCCTGGTTTATACCCTGGTTTATACCCTGGTTTATATGCATGATGAGTACGCATCATGTATTAGCATGCCGCATGATTGTACGAGTTATTGCTTCCTATGATCATCACCGTTACCTCTGAAAACCATACCCATGGCGGATTCCAATGGCCGGTCAATAATACATGGAATGGAATGGAACGGTAGCTTACCGGCGTCGGTGAAAGTACTTTTAAAAGTAGTGGCCAGAATGGCAGTCCAATGACTCCCCCCCTCCCCCCCCCCCCCCCCCCCTCCCTCCCTTCACTTTTGTTCTGGCTACCCTACCCAGTGGCAGTACCCTGGTCATTGTGCGTGTGCATGTCACCATTCACTTGCATGCCAGATTAGACATACATGTACAGTCATGTACATGATGATACAATGTAGTACTGTATGTCAAAAGACAACCATACTGTCATACTATCATAGCATAGAACTACTTACTTTACTTTAGAAGCAGGACTCAGCCAGGAGTCGGGGAAAGTGTGCACATGCCATGCCATGGTGCAGGGGGACAGATGGGGACACAGACCAGTCACCGACAGCACCTGCCCGGGCTTACTAGTTAGACAATCATGAAAGACCCTATGTCACCTGCCGGGTTGTCAGACATCGAGAGACCCGGCCAGGAAATCCGCCGGACTCTAGTCTAGCGTCTACGTGAGTGTGGCCATTCTGTGAAAGCTCCTCCGAGTCCGAGTCAGATGTTTGGTCATCGGACCCATTGCGGTATATCTTACCTTAGCCAAGGACTGGGCAAGCCATAATAGTTCACAAACCAGCAACAGCGACCGAGCCGTTCCAGCGTTCCCTAACCACTCAGGCGCATCCTCCTCTACAAGTGCCATTCTGAGATTTCGACCATGGCCGGAGCATCGCTACGTCGATTCAGTCCTGCGCTCCTACGATGCACCGGCAATTCCTTGTTTCTTCGCAGGGCCGCCACCGGGCCCAGTACTGGCAGTAGATCTGCTAGCCAGTACCTATTCCTCCGTGGGAATGACCGAGCTACAGTCTCTGCGACTGCTGCTGTTGGTAGATCTACGACGCAGTGCTCTGTGAGATGCTGCTGTTCAGGCGCCACTCCGAAACATCGTCGCTACGCCATGGCCATAAAACTTCGTCCCGAGTTCGAAGAGGAATACATTCGCTACCACGCCGCTGTGTGGCCCGGTGTGCTGCAAACCATCCGTGACTGCAACATCACCAATTACTCCATCTTCTTGCGAGATGGCACACTGTTTGGCTACTTTGAGCACACTGGTCTAGACTTGAAAGAGGACATGGCCAAGATGGCCAAATGTCCCGAGACTCAGAAATGGTGGGACGTGATGAAACCGATGCAGCAGCCAATGGATAACCTCAAGGATGATGAGGACTGGTGGGCAATGCTGGAAGAGGTTTTCCACACGGACTAGCAGGCAGTCTGAGTGCAGCCGCGTGACCCCTCAACAGTATTAGTATAACGTTAGAATGATGTGAATGGCACGGCCATGCATCAACTCAGAAGTTCATACAATGACTATGATTGTAGTCACATTGGCCTGCATGTATGAAGCATAGCTATCCTTCATGTCATTGATATCACAATCCGCAAAGACATAAATGGTAAAATGGTTCACCTCGCCTCTGCTCAGTCCAAGCCTCTTGGATACGTCCGTCCTGGACATTATTCCGCCGGTTCATTATACAATGGTTTTCTACTGTACATTCTGTGTGCCCCTGGACACAGGTTTTGGGCACATGAGCACAAGCTTCATGGATCAACTCAACAGATGATCTCCACTATACCCCACAAAAATTCCAGCATTTCCAGCATTCAGTCCACGTTTCGATGGAATGCTTCTTCAGCTAATACTAGCAGTGATTTGTAAATTGAATATAGAGTGGTTTCTCTAGCCTTGTACCATGCTGTCATTGCCATACATGTACTTGTAAAGTAGTACTAGTAGTATAGCATACTACTATGGTGGTCAGCTTACATTCACAAGCAAGGTCTTCCAACACAACCTTAATACAGTGTAGACCAGGGAGCCGTAAAATACCGGTATTTTACGACTCCCTGGTGTAGACGTCCATGCGGTGAAGTACACTAAGACACGGTCCCACCTTGATAATACATGTACAGCAGGGGACAGGGTGCAATGGGACAGTGAGCGAACATATACCGGTATGCTCCAAACAGAACTTGGGTGGTGAGATGAGTTGAAAGATCACCGCGTAAGGCTCCATTATGCAACCCACTAGATCAACTGCACCACTTGAACTGTGTGTCCAGAGTAAGAGAAGATTCCGAGACTCGTGAAGACTTGCTCATCCACACCACCACCCCCATCACGGCAGGCCACCCTAGGTGGGGCACCCAGGGATTGCGATACTTGACAATAAACACCCAGCAATTGCGATACTTGACAATAAACACCCAGCTTCTATTCAGGATCATAATGACTGTCATGTTCATACCGTAGACTGACCGAAACAGTATAGAATCTCTATCATGAAAAAGTGGCAAAAGCAGGGCAAGTTGAGGTGCTGAGGCTGCAGCCGGGCAGAATCCAAACACTACTTGCATGAAGAACACACACACACACACACACAACTAAAGGAAAGAATAATATTTCCACATCCCACATTAGTTAAAACACAGAGCAGCAAGCCAACATGGCGGTAAAGAGAGAGAGAGAGAGAGAGAGAGAGAGAGAGAGAGAGAGAGAGAGAGAGAGAGAGAGAGAGAGAGAGAGAGAGAGAGAGAGAGAGAGAGAGAGAGAGAGAGAGAGAGAGAGAGAGAGAGAGGATAAAGAGACACAGAGAGAGTGGATGATGGTAGTCTTTGCAGTCAGAATTGCCGGTGTACTCAATTCACACAATGTTAAAAAATTATTGCGATGCAGTAAAAAATATTATGTCCTTATTGTTCTGTGAAATGAGTTTCATTGTTTCATCATCAGTTTTCAAGTCAATGTCACATGCATGTGTAAGGCAAAAGTGAGAAGTGTGGGGATAAATTCTTGCTAAAAAAAGTATGTGTCCTTGTTGATAGGAGTCCGAAAATATTCTGCCCAGCGGCTGCAACAGCCCCACTATGACCTTTAAATAAGGAATGAGACTCGACTCCCAAACTACCTTTTAAACATGTGGAGAGCAGTGCTGTCTGTTGTCCTTGTGGGAGATCAGTAGCGTCCAGGAAGCGGATGATCAGCTGCGACAAGCATAGCACTGTCAACACAATGCACATCATCACGCGTGTACGGGCACTTGGCCGATATGGGTGCCATGCCCCAACATCACTCACTAGCACCACTGCCGCCGCCACCGCCACCGCCTGCATCGGACGCAGTGATACTAGAAGGAGCAGATGTTCCCAAAACCGGCTTGTAATACGAGTTGAAGTTGAGGCACAGCAGGAACTCGTCCAGGTGTGACTGATAGCTCCGCTCCACCATCTTGGTCACGACTGCAGTCAAGCAAACAAAACAACAGAAACCACTCGATTCAGTTTCGTTCACGTGTTGCAAACCTTCACTCCCATTCATTGGGCAATTTTCAGTGGGTTATGTAGCCGACTCTTCCACCATGCTTTACTTGGCAAACTGACGTGGTAGATACAGGACCTAACAGGAGTGACGGGACTGAGACCACAACCAATCAAAGAAGTTGAACACTTTTGGGTTCACTGGTCTAAATACGGTTTCAACGCGTAGAAGGCAATGTTGCACTCACCGTTGAACAGAAAGCCGGAGTACTTCTTGAACGACTGGTGGGTGGCGCGCACCGCATCAAAGTGAGAGTGAGTAGCCCAGGTTGTGCTGCCATCATCACTGGTGGTGAACTCCCAGCGACCGGTCACAAGCTGTGTGTGAAAGCGCAACACCGTGCTCAGGACCTCGGCCACAATCTTCATCACAGCTGTGGCCTTTTGGCTCAGAAACGACCTGCAGCCAGCAAGGAAAGGAGAAGCCAGAGGTTGGAGAAAACACGCCCATACCTCAGGTACACCACAGCCGGAACACAGGACAGGAGGAACTCATTGCCACACCATGTTGTAGCGCGAATCCACATAAACTCACTAATGAACAGAGTCACATGCGTTGGATTTCACTCGCTATCATTGAGTGTAGCTGTAGAGATTTCACACTGTGTTTTGTTGTTCTTCTTTTTCTGTTTTGTTTCGGGTTTTTTTGTTGGAACATGGAAAGAAATCTGCCCAGGCCTTCAAAGTTTATCCGGGAAAGCACTGACGTTTCGAAAGAGGAGTCTGCTGCAGCAGAGTCACAACAGTGGGCTTATTAAAGATAGACTACCAAAGAGACTGTGACAAGAATGATGGTTGGGTTACAGTAACCGGTAGCATCCCTTACCGGAACAGCAGCTTTCTCAGGTACTCCGAGTGGCAATGGATGAGCCTGTCCAGGTCAAATGCCTGCAGTGAATCAATACAGTAGCCACGTCAGATAGTGACATGGTCGTTACATGTGCACTGGTGTAACCTAGCCACCACTGGGTCTGCAAGACCACCATTCTTTGGCACCAAACGTGTAGAATATGCAATGGTCGCCCTGGTCTCAGAGACCACCTGTTCTAAGACCGTGATGGGCTGGTCTCATGATGGTCACTGAAGCCAAGCTTCATCTGTATGTGTGTGGGTGCTGCACAATACTGCCGGTAGGTCTGCACACAATTGCACACTTGAATTGGAGACTCCTCAATCTTTGCTTACAATGCGTAGTTTCATACATCAAGAGAGCGAAGCCCAGCCAAATTGGTCTAAGTCTCACATTCAAATAAAAGTTCTGGCCGGCAAAAGTTGATTTGCCGGCTCCTGAGATCACGTATTCTCTCCACACCATCACCACCATGTACCTGCTGCACAACGGCATAAGTGTGAGTGTTTAAGTGGATTGCACATGGTAAACACTTACCTCCTCGGCCAAGTCCACCTGAAACTCTTTCCAGCTGACTTGAATCACCTGATCGGATAGGTAGCCTTCAACCGACTGTACGAAATGCTGCATCTCGTGCCTGGTTAAGTGTGTCGGTGCGGTAATAGACAGAGTTATACGCATTTGGTCAGAGTATGTCCTAATCTGCACCCTTCGCTTCCCCATGGCTATGCAAAACGTACCCCATCTCAGACCTGGGGGGGGGGGGGGGTCAGGGCCACTATAATGCAGTTGGGAGGATGAAGGGAGCGGGGTCTGGCTGTGTCGCACCAACAGACACAGCTGAATAAATAAAACGCTGCGGGATATCTGATGATACGCTGACTTGTACTATAATTGTGAGTTCTAGCACATCCGGCTTGCATATTTAAAAATAGCTCCTTAGATGTGTTAGTGACAGTCGCACAACACTTTCAATGTCCAGAGGGTATTAACAGGTGCCCAGATGTTTAACCCATTGAACGCTGATGACGTCTATAGACGTCATTGAAAATGCCCCCCATGCGCGGATGACGTCTATAGACGTCATGGGATATATAGCGATTTCTGGCACTCTCTGGTGTGCAAAAGCACTGTTAGTCCGTTGGATCATGATCCTGCCTCTTACGATAGGTTGTTGATACGAATCCCGCTTAGAAACACTATGCGTCTTTTTTTCTTCTCTTTTCAGCGATGTTTCAGCTGCAATTTCACGCATTTGGCGTATTTCACGCAATTTGAGCAAACTTGCGTCCCCTGTTGTGATGCGCTATTCTTTTTGGGGACCGTATCGATTCTGTCACCCTGTGGTTGATAGTCTTGGCAATCATTTCCAAAATATTTGAGGACCCCAGTTGCCAGAACCCTGGATTTTTAGAACTTGCTATTGGCCCTGTTTTTAGCACTTATATGCAGAGTACCATAGGCAAGGCCCAGTAGCGCTGAATGGGTTAAAACATACCTGAACAGTTGGGCCTGGCGAAACTGTTGCGATCGGTAGACAAAGCGATTGTGTTCACCATCTAATAAAAAGACGGATATCAAAACACCACCGTAAATACAGTAAACCGGGCAAGTTTAGAAATGCTCTAATTTTCACGAAAGGGGTGTTTTCAAATGAGGAGCGTTTTCGTTAAACTTTTGTATTGCTCATTGGAAATTCGTACTCCTCAGTTCAGTATGCACTGCAGGCTTTCGGACTCTCAGTCTCTGGTCAGACAGCAATGCACACTTCTGATACTGACTGACTTTTCAAAAGAAACCCAACCCATCCACAGCCAACGGATACTGATTCATTACTGTAAGTCTACAATTTTCGGCCCATTCAAATTTCGGCCTCCCAGAGCTAAAACACATTTCGGCCGCATCAAATTTTCGGCCTGTATTGCTGCCGCCTGTGTGCAATGTCACACTGAACCTTGCAAAACAAAATTTCGGACGCAACAAAATTTCGGCCAAACATGATCAGGCCGAAAATAGCTGAAATAAATATGCGCCGAATATTTGTTGACGTACAGTAACTTTATGAGAGGAGCGTTTCCCCGGAATTCATCAACGACTACTTACGTTATTTATTATTACTAAAGCAAAGTATTGTCACTTCACGTACTGCCCATAATAGTACAGTGCATACCATGAGTTAATACTGAGAAGAAGGACACACTGCGAAGGAGGACACACTGTGAAGAAGGACACACCGTGTTCGGTTGGGAATAAGGGCTGAACGCTGCATCGCAGCCTTCTCGGACAAAAACCAGTCGACTCAGCGTCCAAAAGACTACAACATATGAGCCAATCGCGGTCATCCGTGCTTTTATAAGAACGAAATGGCGCTTTTAGTGACATTGTGCATACAAATTCCCATCTAGTAGAGCACAGTCACCCAGTTTCGGTGGAAGTGCGTGAGTTCGATTGGGAATAAAGGAGGAAGGGAGTGTCTCAGCTTCCTCGGACCAAGACTATTCAACTCAGCGCCCCGAAGACTACAACTGGTGAAAATTTGATTTTAGACTACACTTCCCCTTTTTAAAGACTAGCATCATATCAACAAGAACAGGGTAAGTACTAAGTAGACATTGGCCATTCTGGCTACTCACCGTGATCGGCGCGATTCTTGAGGTAAAACAGGCAATCCTTCAACAGCCAGGAAGCACGTTTCATCTCGAGCAGAAACAGGAAGACCTACATGTACAAGCATACCGTATTATCTCTAATATAAGCACAGTCTCCAATAATAGCACGTCTCCAATAATAGAACACCTTGGGGCGGCATTCAAAAAATAAAGTGACCAGTCTCCATTAAAAGCACACTGTGTTAATTCATTATCTGTACCGGCGAAAAAAACCCTGAAATGTGTGTGTCTGACATGAATTTGGCATGGCAACATGCCTCTGAAATGAGGTTGAAATAATAATGGAACAGTCTCCAATAAAGGAACGTCTCCATTAATAGCACGGGGCGGAGGTACATTGAAAAAATAAAGGACCGTGCTTATATTAGAGATAATACGGTACGTACAGTAACAGCTTCCCTTTGCAAGCCAACAAGAGACCACCTGTGTTTAGAGACCACCTGTCCTAAAGGACCACCTGCATTTAGAGACCACCTGTCTTCAAGGACCACCTGTATTTAGAGATCATCTGTCTCTAGGGACCACTTGCATTTAGAGACCAGTCACCTGTGGCACCTAACAATATTCCAACATACATTTCAAGTGTGAACATGCATGCAATGACCAACTGTTACTAACGACCAGTTTTCGGTGCACCTTTGTGGGCTGGTTGTTGAAGGCAGGTTTCACCGTATGTCACAATAGATAACGAGTGCACTGAACAGCACTGGGGCAAAGTAGAAATACGGCAGCTGCAAATAGAAATATGGCAGCTACACATACTCAAGTACAGTATCAGCTTGATAACTGTGATGCACTAAGCATTGTTATCAAGATAGCATGCAGGTAAGTGCACACTGCATAGTGTATACATGTACATGACTTTTAGTATGACAGCATATTACAATACAGTCAGACCTCGCTTAACCGCACACATCCGTTTTCCACAAAAAATATCCGGATAGGCGAGGGAACAGGATAATTGAACACACATACTGTATGTATGCATGACATACGCTGAAAATCGGTAACCAAAGATTTTCTTCTGGATGGCGAGGAATCCGGATAAAAGAGGACTGGATAAGCGAGGTCTGACTGTACAAGGTTTATCTAATATGTACATGACTGTACAGTTGCATGAGAAGTCTCCACTTCCCTTGCTAACTTGCTATGCTTAGAGTGGCCATGCTGTCATAGCTGGACACTAGTGGATAGTGGTGTTGTCGTGATAGCTGGATAGCGGTGTTGACGTGATAGCTGGATAGTGGTGTTGTCGTGTTGCATCCAAACCTACTCTCACCTTGTTGTACTTGGACATGCTGTCGTCCGTGATCACGATATTCAGCGGCCAGTCAATCTAGACCGCATACATGCACATGCACACGCGCGCACACACACACACACACATCATTATTATGCATACATTCATGTACATGCACACTCACACGCACGCACACATGCCCCCCCCCCCCCCCACACACACACACAGGGAGTATGGTACTGAAGGCAGTAACAAAAAGCAAGACTAATCTCTTCTATCTTTCTTCCTTTCATCAGTGGCCATTTTCGAATCTCACTACATTCCGTGACTGGCTACAGTCGTGCCCTGATATAGATATCGTGACTATGAAACCAGGCGCCAGGCGCGAGCTGATGGTGGTGGTGGTGAGAAGGAGAGCTCTGTGCCAGAACTTTGCAGCCTAGAGAGCGTGTGTGGGCAGGCGTGTGTTTACCGCCATATTGCCAGGTGTGTCTTTACCACCATATTTATCGACTATGAAATAATATAATAAAATCCAAATTAAGGCCACACTTTGTTTTTTCTATGTTTCTCGTCATCGCCCGCGTAGGTTTTCAGAAATTTCGGAAGAAAAAAAAAGTTCATACTACGTACATGTAATGATGTATGTACGCTGCACATGCTGCAGCAGCTAGATGCGTCAATCAATAATCGTAAACGTTTGCACCACAGCAGCAAAGGAGCGCTCCTCGTCCGTTCTCCGCGATGAAGGCTGTCATGACGAAGCTTTCAGTCGTTCACTGCCTGAGCTTCGTGGGTCCCAGGAATACCGTAAGTCGGACGAGTTCCGTGGCAACTGGCGTCTGTGGAACGATGTCGTAGGCAGAAAACCCAAGCAATAGACGCATGGCAAGGAAAAGATGAGCAGCATGGAGACAAGAGTTTGATAAACGGACACAAGAACGTTGAAGTAACAAAACCAAAAATCAATGACGAGTGGGAAACGTTTGTTGATGCGATAGCAGATATGTATGTTCTCTTCGCCATCTCGTAATCAAACTTTATGCTCTCATTGTTGCAGTTTGCCTGATATTCGTGGGCTGTGATAATGTAGTGCAATCATGTATGGGACTACATATACATGTACAGTACATGATTGTACAATGTAGTGCTGTATACATGGTATACGCAGTGTCTTGTATGAATCACGTATATACATGTACATGTACATTGTAAAAAATATACACGGTTTTCAGTGGAAGTTGTTCTTGTTTTTTTCCTTGGCTTTTGTTTTTTTTCCGCCCGCCCGCGTACCTTTTGTTAAAATTTGCCGACGAGAAACATAGAAAAACAAAGTGTGGCCTAACACTGAAAACTGTATAGCTACCTGGTAGTTGATGCGCAAGAAGTTGAAAGCACCAACAGCTGAATGCAGACACACAACACATACCGGAATAGAGCACGGAGAGAAAGCTAGCATTGTCAATGTGCCCTTTCCTTAAAAGCCATGATGCATAAGTGCCACCCCCCCCCCCCCCCCCCCCTGCCCTCCTATCCCTCCATCTCTCTGTCTCTGTCTTTGTCTCTGTCCTTGTCTCTGCCTCATTCTCTCAGTCTGTCTCTCTTTCTCTCTGTCTCTGTACTTGAAGTATGTTGTGCTGTTTGATGATGGTGGCCATATTCTGCATACAGTCATAGTTAACTTCGAACTGACAGATCGAAGTCAGAACGCATTCTTTTCAGGAGGAAGAAGAATATAATCTCTTTTCATCGATGGCAATGTCCTATATTTTTTAGACTATATACACGTACAACCTTTTTTCTTCATTTCATCACAGAAAAGTGAGGCCAACCCAAAACATCAAGAACATAATAATGATGAAAGAGGATCCAAAAACGCCCGCACAAATCCAGACAACATGCTTGAACTGATCAAAGCAGTGTGCTCTACAGTGCACGCAGCCACAGCTAACGGCATGTCCTATGCACTTGCAACAATGCTTGCACAGCCACATATATGTCCTATGCACTCACATGAAGGCCTGAACGTTCCCGACGTGTGTCGGATGGAGAAGCTGAGTCGCTTGGCGTCCGGGCTATCCTGCTGCTGCGCTTGTCGGAGTGCGTGGCTCAGCAGGTCGGAGAGCGCCATAGGCGACCGTATGGTGTGGACTGATTGTCCAGAGCTCAACTGCGCAGCATGATGGATCAAGGATGGATCATTCAAGGATGAATAACACATTCAAATCAAGGTTTTTTGGCAGAAAGAAAGAAGAGCCGCAGTAGTTGTATGCACCATGACCGGCCCACGATTCGGGAGAGATGCCCAAAAGGGTAAGAAAAAAGAACTGCGTCGCCCGGGAATCGAACCCGGATCAACTGCTTGGAAGGCAACTATGCTAACCATTACACCAGCAACGCTCCATGCAACCTCCACCCTATTTCCCAATACTAGTACATATACAAGGAACTCATCCATACTCCACTCTCTTTGAATTGACCCATTGCGCAATGACGTAAAAACACCCTTCACAGCCAAATATGGAATGCATGAGTAATGCTTGTGAGTATGCTGGGATCAGGAGTGCACTGTTCAACACCCCAGACGACCCCCCCCCCCCCCAGGTGGCTGTGAAGGGTGTTTATGGTACAAATTACGTCATTGCGCAATGGGTCCATTGTCAAACGCTGTTACACGTACTGTCAATGCGAAGAGAGTGTACGTGCAAGTGACACATCATGTGTCTGTAGAAGATAAAGTACAGTAGTACATGTATGACCAGGCTGGCCTGCACAATGCACTCACTATTCACCATGTCAACATGCCACTGACTGCTGCACCCTACCTGATTGAAGAGGCGCTCGCCAAGCGCCTGCCCAAACTCTCCACACTCCAGTAGCAGGTAGCGGCGTAGTGCGGCAAAGTGCTTGCCAATGGCCAGGTCGGCGAGGAAATGATGAAGAAGAGCGTCGTTAGCGGCGCGTGATCTGTGTAGTGGGCACATTCATCAACGACGACGGTGACAATGACGATAATGGCAGCAGCAGCAGCAACAGCAGCAACCGGACAGTCGGGTTCAGGATACCGTATAGGCGCAAATAGAAGCCCCGGGGCTCTATTTTTCCAGAAGACACCCAGAGGGGGGGGGGGGGGGGGCTGTATTTGAGAGGGGGCTCTATTCGAGAGGGGGCTTTATTTTTTCAATAGAAACATCAATTTTTCACACCTTTCAAGATGATCGTTTCTGGTGCAGTGTGTTCCCATTTTTGCATGTCTCTACGTTGACCCCAGAGGGCCAGAGCGATCCCGTACCTCCAATACGGATCTAGTGATCCGCAAAGCACACTGTGTTGATCGTGCATACCGCACATGGTTCATGTACTGCACAACAAAGTACGGACTGTGGGCGCTCGATTAGAGCCCCGGGCTTTTATTCGAGACGGGGCTGAATTACTTCGAATGCCTCTGAGGGACGGGCTCTATTCGAAGGGGGGGGGGGGGGGGGTGTATTTGCGCGCGTACGGTAAGTAAGGTTCAAACGGACATGTAAAGTACAATGTTGTGATCAGACTCAGGATCTGGGTTTAACCAAACAGGGACACAGCACACTCCTGAAATGTGCAGTTGTGGCGCATTGAGACCAATCAACAGATCCACTCTGGACTCGTTGCTTGCAGGTACGACGTCACTGAGATGCGGCCAGCGTTTCAGTTCCTCTGTCCAGTCGAAGGCTGGGATGGGACGCATGATGTGCGGAAGCATCCACACTCTGACGGTCGTTGATGACTGACCATCAGCGTGGCATAGTTCAGCTGATGTATAATGCTCCAGACGGAGCTTCTCGCCCCCCAGAACAGCGGTATCCAGCGGGATGTTGGCTTTTGTTGTCTGTAGCCCGAGCTGGCTGACAAGTTCTGTGGTTATAAAGCTGCAAGAAGATCCTGAATCCAGGAAGACGTTAGCTTTCCTTGACCCTGTCGGACCCTTTGCGGTGGTGGCAACAGTCATAAACGCGACAGACTTGGGCTCGATGGTAGTGCCACATGCAGTCTGGGTGTGTGCTGTCTTGTCGGCTGCTGATGCCTCTGTGCTTGTATCCTGGCAAGTAGCTGAGCGGTCCTTGCTGTGTTGACTATTGGCTCCGGTTGTCCGTTGGTTCAACTTCGTGTAGTGTAGCAGGCGATGATGTGGCCTACTACAGATGCTGCACTTGGACTGCTTGCATGACTTTGCCTTGTGGCCTGGGCCAAACAGCAGATGCAGACGGGCTTTGGTTTGATGAAGTCCCATCTCTGAGAGATTGTCAACTGCTTGAATTCACGGCAATCGCTGAGTGCATGGTCTTTGTTGCAGTATATGCAATCATTGCTGCTGTCTGGGCTCTGGCCACTAGTAGTTGCTACAAACGTACGGTCGGGCTGCTTGCCAAACTTGGCTCCACCACTACTTGGTCGCTGTTCAGCCAGCTCGGCGCCACTCATTCGTTCTTCGACCTGGCGCAGACGCTGGACTCTCTTGAGCAGGTACTCTGAGAAGGCACCAATGTCGCACTGCGAGTCGTCGTGCTTTTCCATAAAGCGTGTCAACACTGACTTGGGTACCTTTTGCGTGACATTTAGGTACAACTCTCGCCCTGGTGTGATGCCGCTGGCGCTGAGATTGATGAGTGCATTCCTCAGCTTTACGGCAAAACTCTTCAACCCGTCGAGGTCTCGCTCATTGACGAGTCGCGGCGCTGACATCAATTCTTTCTCATACCGGTCGATGTCCCGTGTTGGCCCGCCATACCATGCATCTAGCTCATGCAGTGCGGCATTGTAGGCACCAGGACCATCCACAATTTCGGCAACCAACTCATAGGTGCCACCACCTGTCAGCGCTTCTCGCAGACGTGCAAACTTGTGCCCCTCTGACAAGAATGCATCGTCGTCGATGAGTTGCTTAAAGCGCTGCTTCCACCGGCTGTAATCGTTTGTCTTGCCACTGAATCTCGGCAGCTCTAGTGGTCTCAAATGCTGTCTGGACAGCATGCTGTTATAAATCTACAGCTGCTCTGGACCAGACAATACTGCTGCAGCGGGTGCTGGCACTGTAGCTGCTGACTTCTGTGCCCTGTGACTGTGTCCCTGCACAGAACTGATGGGTGCAAAACTGGACTGCACAGTCACTGGTTTCCAATTACTGGGTGTGACACCACATGTAACACTAGTACTAGTAGTGGCCACACTGTATGATCTGCCAACACCAGGCCCTAGGCGTGTACTCACTGATGCTGTCACTGGCTGGGTCATGGCAGGTAAGCCATATCCTACTCCTGCCAGTCCTGGTCTGATTGAGCTCACTGGATCGTAGCTCAATGCACTTGGCCCTGGGTCTGGGTTGAGGCTGCTGCGGCTCACGTGAGTGGCTGGATGAATGGTAATCTGCCTCTGGCTCTGGTGACTGGAAGGCTGGGGCCCACTTGGCTGAGCTTGCACAGGCTGCTTAGCTACAGCCAGTACAGGACCTGTACTGTTCACACCTTGGTGATGGTCCCAGGACACAGAAGCGATCGAGCTGTGGTCGTCAGGAACACTTCCTGTGCCCCGCGCACCTACTGCAGCTCCAGAGCCGTCCACACGGACCACACGGTCCACAGGCACAGGCACTGAACCTAGTAAATCTGCCGTCGCAGTTTGTAGATCTACATGCACTGTGACTCAACTGACCGGCCTTGCTGAGGTCAGGCAAACTCTGAGCGCCATTCTCCGGGCCTTGCTGATCTAGGTCGCCTTCTTCCTCCGGACGAGGATCTGCGTCAAAGCCAGCACGGCTAAGCGTGACAGCTCCTTGTCTGGGCTTACCAGCTCCAGTATCCAGATCGCTGAGCTCCAGCCTACGTAGAAACTGGTCATGACGCTCCAGCAAACTCGTCGTCAATCTTGGACTCTGAGCCTCCTTGCCTGCACTGGCGATTGGCATCATTGCCTCGCAACTGCACATTTCACTTGCCGAGCGATTCTGCAGTGAGGGAGGTCCAATTGCCAGGAAGACACCGTTGGGCTGGGTACTGTTCGGCGAAGGTCCGACTGACAGCGCATCAGAGATGGCGGAGCAATCACTACTGGCTGTGAGTGACAGTACACTGATAAGCACCGTCAACAAGTTCTGGGACCTCGAGAGCGTTGGCATGCAGGTCAAGAGCACATCATCCTACCTGACTCCAGATGAGCGTGAGGCTGACGCAATGACCGTGCAAAGTCTCCACCACAACGGCACACGGTTCGTTGTCGGCATCCCATGGCGAGGCGGCGGTAGCAAGCCAAAGATTCAGCAGAGATCGGAACAGTACGCCAGGAAGCGACTCTGCTCGCTACACCGTATGTTCCAGAAAAATCCTACTGTACAGCTGCGCTACTCAGAAGTGCTTCAGAACTACCTGAAGAAGGGCTACATTCACACAGTATCAACGTCCGCAGTTCAGGCTGCTGGTGTCGACCAGTGGATTCTGCCTCATTTCCCAGTAATCAGAGAAGACAAGGCCACAACAAAAGTTCGATGTTTGATGGCTCAGCCAAGGTGCACGGAGAGTGCATCAACGATCTCATGCACACCGGTCCGAAGTTGCAGAGTGACTTGGTGAAAGTTTTACTCCGCTTCTGTCATCAGCCGATCGCACTCGCCGCAGACATCTCTGAGATGTTCTTACAAGTCGAGCTGCGCGAGACGGATCGCAAGTACCATCGGTTCATGTGGAGTGAGACACCACAGGACCCAGTGGTGTTCTTTGAGTTCTGCCGGGTTGTATTCGGCATGCGTGCATCACCTCACCTCGCAGGAAGAGCACTGAAAGCAACGGCAGAGAAATTCAGCGGCGAGGCTGGCACCGAGGTAGCAAAGGCCATTGATGACAACTTCTACGTGGACGCCTTGCTGATGTCGCTACCGTCAGTACAATCTGCAATCGTCACTCGGAGTGATCTTCAACAAGTTACACAGCGTGGTGGTTTTCACTTGCGGAAGTGGATGAGCAATACGGAAGCGGTGTTGGATTCCATCCCACCGGAAGATCGAGCCAGCAACAAGATGATGACCATAGCCAGCAGTGAACTGCCACCTCTTCCTCACAAGGCTCTTGGAGTCGCCTGGGAGCCAGATGATGACCAGTTCACATTCATCTATCCAGAACCGAGCAACGTCCAATTCACACGGCGAGGAGTGCTCAGTCAAATGTGCCGACTGTTTGATCCCAGAGGACAGCTGTGTCCATTCACCATCCGCAGTCGCGTTCTCTTCCAAGCCACCTGCATCCGTGGAACAGACTGGGATGATCCTCTGGACAGTGATCAAGCATCAGAGTGAAAGCAATGGTTCTCAGAGTTCCCAAGTCTGAGAGATGTGAAGGCAAGCCGATGCTTCACCGAGATCAGTTCAGATCAGCCTCTGACACTCCACACTTTCACAGACGCGTCTGCATCAGCTTACGCCGCCGTGACGTACGCCCGACAAGAGCGTGATGACGGGACTGCAAAGGTGACATTAGCGCTCGCCAAGGCAAGACCAACACCTATCAAGCGCAAGACCACCCCATGCTGGAATTGCAAGGTGCAGTGCTAGGCACTCGGTTGAGCTGCTCAGTGGGTGAGGCACTTGATGTTCCTGTATCACGGCAGTACTTCTACACTGACTCGATGAATATGTTGTACTGGGTAAGATCGCCCAGCAGGAAATTCAAGATCGAAGTCGGAAACCACATCTCGGAGATCCAAGAGTTCAGTAATGCAAGTCAATGGTGTCACGTCAGCACCACAGTCAACCCTGCTGATATGCCAAGTCGAGGTGTTGGTGCGACGCAGCTGGCCGATGATGCAACATGGTGGACAGGTCCAGCCTTCTTGTCCAAGCTCACCTCCACATGGCCCAGTAAGCACATCATGCCACCAGCAGAGCTTCCAGGTCAATTGAAACGAGAGATCACGATGGTGGCCACTACGCAAGAGCTGCCCAC